CGCGGATACGAATTTTACCATCGAGTGTTCATGACATCTTTTACACCTTCAAAGTGATAATTCAATTCAAGCAGATAAATTCGTATCCTCAAAGGGACATGTATCATCCTTTTCATTCAAAAGATATTGATTTAAAACTTGAATCAAATACAATTTTTTTCTAAAAAGAACATCGAATACAAAGATCCGCTGCACAAAAACTCAGCTCGCCGGAAAACCAATTCAATTTCGGACATTGTAATACAACAATTTCTTATTACAAGAACTATTTCCTTAAAAAAGAATTGAATTCAGCATCAGGTAAAAACAACAACAAAAAAAAATTTAAAAAAAGCCTACATGGAAAGTAAAACTGTCATGTTGATAAATTCGGTTCTAATGACGACCTTGATACCTTTATATGTGAAGATATAAATGGTACATTTACAGCGTGCGGTGGAGATGTCACGTTTTGGAAACTGAAAAAATTGTGGTATTTCACCGACAACCATATTACCGTTATTATTATTACCATATATCGCGAATGTTACGATATCAAAAGAAACGTAGGGATTGTGTATTTTTTTTCAACCTCGAGCTTTGTTTCAAATTTCGTTTTTTTTCGAGAGATAATTGCTGGTTTTGACTTTGACGAGAGCTATAATTATATACATCACGTTATCTGGCTCTGTCACATGCTCATCACGCGCTTCTGCCGCACAATGATCACGTACATTTAAATCTTTAACTCCCGTGATCTAATTGTTAATTCTCCCCTCTAGCGGCTACATGTTTCCTTTCAAAGGAGATACGGAAATTTGGTGTTAGTTCAAAGAGAACGAATTCTACCAGATAAAACTTTGAGTATTTGCATTACCTGTTTGCTGGATAACGTATTGATATTACAGGGATAAGTTGCAAGTTATTTCATCTCTAGGAGTTAGAGGGTTTAGGAAATTGCATCGCGTGCAGACTATTTAACCACGAGGCAAATGAGAGAAACCAATGAAATTTATAAGTGTATGCAAGTGAAATATTTTCACGTCTGACAACAATAACCCGAGAAAATTCGACTGAAATTAAACTTAATTGTTGTCAGCTGCACGAAAATTAAGATTACGATCTTTCATTATAAATGACATGAGCTCTAAACAGCTCTAATCAGTTGCAGAATGAAAATTGGTTTGTACCTGTTAAACTGTCATCCTCTGAATCCCTGTATTCTCCAAATGATGTCATTTGTTAATTCTACATGCCTGAAAATATCAAAAATAATATTTTGCTTTACAACAATTTCGATGAAAAAATGAACAAGGTTACATATTCACGAGTTTAAAAGATCTAACCTCGTCTAATACCCAGTTTCGTGATCACAATTGCTGTTCTTCTCTAAGAAAGTTATTTTGCTTGTTTTTTTGTTTGTTTGTTTTATTCTCTCTATGATTATTACTTGTTTACATGTTTCTGCATGACGATTAATTTATCTTGTAATTTAAATTTAGTTATTTCCGTTTTGGTGCAAAACACTCTCAATCCGCAAAATTCCTTTTCTCCTCAGAGCAGGCCATTTTACAGTCTGTCGTAACTGAATCGATAAGGATGAATTCACACCGTGAATTATATTGTACCAATGCAATTTCTCTTCAAGTGATCAACTCGATATATCCCTCGATCAATATGATACACATTTGTTTTTGGTCACTTCCCATTAGCGTTACAGTTCTCTCAAATTTTCATTTTCCGCTTTCACCGTGACAACTTCATAAAGTTTCTAAAAATAATAGCGGTAAACTTTTTTCTTGTAAATAATTCCCGCCAATTCTGCACGAAATATTTTTGCAGTCAAAAGCGTAAGTGTCCAGTGAAATTCAGTGGCGCTCTAGATCTCATCCCGATACAATCAGTTTTGGAATAATAAAATCTGTTCCTTTCTAATATGAAAACGATGCTGATTCACAAAATCCAGATGGGTTTGTCAGTATGTAGTCGATTTCCGAACAAGATTAAATGGGCATCCATGTCTCAGTTGTTTTCATTCACTGTCTTTCTTTTACATGTAAAAAAATTTAGTGTTACATCGAGATACTTTGCTTTTACTGATAACTTTCTCTGTTCTCAAAGATCACTCCTTTTTTGCTGCATTGATATCTACGTGTACTTTGTAATAACAAGTTGCACATATTCATCACCGGAGGAGATACAAAGCTAAAGAAATCACATCGATAATATGTATTCTTTATGTTTATTTTTTTCCAATTTTCCCGTCTTTCGATTATAATATGCTACATATTTCTTCATTATCTTTCCTCACCTGAAGACTACTTGCAATAAATTCAACTCCAATAAAGTTCTTTCCCAAGAAAATAATTGACTTCTCGCTTTATCTAAAGAAAAGCATATTCAAATCGTTACGCGTCTTGTAAAGAATTAAAGCGAATACCATAAGTACTCTTCTTAGAGAAATATCCGAGGAAGTTATTCCAGAATTTTTTTAAATCTATGCACTCCATGCATCTTTGCGTACAGAAACCCTCAGTGTATCTTACAGGAATTTTATGAATAAATTGTTACTGAACCAGTTGTCGTTAATTTGGAAGAGAAATCTGAGGCCCTAGCTCTCTTTCTCTTTGAGCTCCAGAATTGTCTGCTGAGTTTGGATGCAGTAAGCGAGGCCATAAATAATTGTATTATAGTTCATACAGACAAGTGACACACATGATACTGAAATCAGAAATACTGCAGCTTCAAAGATCCCTCATGGGAAGATAAATAAGCTACCTCAAGGTCTGGTATGTTTATCAACATGTCAGCATTGATATTTACTCTGTCGTTTAACTTGATCTGACGGATAGGGTCTTTTTTTCGGTCGTCGGTTAGAAATGATTTTTTTCCTTTGTCACGAAGGAGCTTGAAATTTCCTTTCTTTCACTATGTGTTATTTAGACATGACACTTTCGACATCGATGATCTCAGCAGTATGCAGGATGATCCTTTATGTATCCACTGTATGTCATGGCTCATTAACGAGAAATCTAAAGCTATGTGGGTGAACTTCAGATCGTAAAATCCGATGGCCTTGAGAGGAAAGTTAATGTTTTCCTTCCATCCCCCCGCGTTCGTGACGAGTGAATAAGATCGATATTTCTTTCATTCGTTTGTCTCATGTTTCAAATTATTTCTATTTGTATCTTTAGGTATCTTTAGTCAATACCCGTTTATCTCATTCACTGCATTAGGTCGCTATTAACTTATTCTGTCCTCACCTTAACTCCTGTGAAAATGTGATTTGCCCCACAAGTGTGTAACGAAACGGTGCACTTGGTAACACCAGCACTATTGAAGAAGCTGAATATGAGCTCATCGAACTCGAAACAGAAAATCGTGTATCATTGTTTATTTCGTGATCCATGATTCTATTTTGTAGCTACGCTGTTTCACTATTTATACGCCAGATGAGACTGGGCCTCAGACAACATCTTTTAGGTTTTCATTAATCAGGAGTATAGCGCAATGACATAAACATTCCCTTTTTAATTTTTTCGCTGATGTGATAATCGTTAAACCGCCGCCTGTTTAGGTTGTAGAACCGCGGACTGCCATGCGGGACGCCGATGGTTCAGGCCCCTAACCGGACCAACACTCAGGATCTTTAAAGGACCGAGGAGAATGAGCTACCTTTGCTATGACATCTGTAAATGGTTAGACGCTCTAGTTTTCTCAGAACAGGACGATAAACTGCAGGCCCCATCTCCTGGATTTTCTCTGTACTGGTTAACAGGGAACGTTAAAGAATCCTCGCAGTTTTCGCAAAAAGTAGGGAACGCTGCTCCCGGTGTTGTGGTGTGGCCTTGTTTCCAAAAATTAGAAAAACTGGAGGCACCTGCTAAATTTCTTTTAAAAAAGTTGTGAACTGCTCAATGCAGTCTTGATAAAGTTCTCTCCAAAGGGTTGTTAGTCACATCAGAGAATATCAATATCATTGTTATTATCCTTATCGTTGTTGAAAATCCAGTCCTTTCAGTGATACTCAACGATGACTCCATAAGTCAGATCTAGATTTATCAAAGGAATGTATTGAGGCCAAAATCAACGATGACTCCATAAGTCAGATCTAGATTTATCAAAGGAATGTATTGAGGCCAAAATCACTCGTACTTGTCCAACACACAATCTTTAATATTCTTCAACAAACAAAATAAACTTAAAAATTGAAGCGAAGTTAACAATTGGAGCGAAATGAAGATTTCAAGCGGTTGCTAAAATACGAGACTCACTTTAGACGATTCCTCTTTCCCAAGGAGAAATCTGATTATGATTTTTTTTAAACTCTTTTGTTACTATTATACTTCGGCAAATTAAAAAAAAATATATTTAATTAATCAAATGAAAGTGAGAAACGATTCGATAGACACCTGTGAAAAGCACTTTGGGTTGATGGCTTGGGTTGATGGCTTTTACGGATAACGGTTAAAATTTTGGCCATTTTACGGCTTACGCGTAATATCTTTGAATTTCTGACAAGGGAACTCTTTTTTTACGGTAAACTTTTTTAACGACTATTGGGTAAAATTTACCATTACCATTATTTTTTAAAATAATTTTTCACCTGTAACTCGTATAATTTTAGAAATATATTTGTAGTTTTTATATGTAATTTTCAATCTCTACGACAGTATTGTTTGTTTCAACTCCAGGGCTCTTCTAGATACCAGACGCGAGGCTGAATGGGCTACTCTGGAGCGGCAAAGTTCATCATTCTATTGATGTATTTATCTATGTACCTGATTTTTCCTTAAAATATCATCCCTAAATCACGCATGAAGGTCACAACAATAAAGGAAATGATCACAAAACTAAAGAAGCTCTTGATTGGTACACAAATTCTTCTTGTCAACACCTTAGCAAGTCCACCTTAGGAAACGTACTGTGACACCGCCAAAATAAATGTAGATCCAATAAACCAAGCCAGTCTCGACCTAGTCTTCTTGAACGAGCTTGCGCGGCTACAAAGTTATAGTCTATTCCATGCATGTGGCTGTTTCCTCGTAGAATAAGGTTTCGTTCTTTTGCTTCCGCGCTTTGTGAGAATTTTTCTCCTGTTATTGTTAGTCGATCGGTGATGGACAAGGCTGGACTTTTCCAAAGTATTGGTTTAAGCGAGCAGAAAGCTCAGGAAACACTGAAGAATGATGCGCTTTCGAAGCGACTGGAATCTATCATAACTTTGGTGAGTAAAAGCTTGGGGTTTTCATTCGATAGATTTTAATAGCCTGTGATTTTTGTGGAGTATTAACTGATCATGGATGCACTTGCTTGAAATAATGTTTGTATATTTTTAGTGATTTCGATAGATTGGCTGAGAATGTTTGTTAAAGGTGCTACTGCAATCCCTCTATCTTATATCAGCTCGATCAGTTCTTCGTAGGCTGATGCAATAACTGGTACTTACATGTAATAGTAACATAAGTGGGTAACATAAAGTCTTAAGTTTTCCTCTTTCTTACGATTCTTGCAATAATTGGAAATCTTGCTTTTTTGTGATGAAATTAAAATGCACTACTGGAATGAAGATTTGTTATGTAAATGAGCATATATTGGTTTTGAACAGTACACTGGTAATATATTGAGTACAAATTGAGTGAGTGAGAGGACTGGACGAGAATGTACAAGGTTTGTATGTCATGACTCAAAGCTAAATATTCTCTGTCCAACTGGACCTAACTCAGTCACTGAGGGCTGATTATTTAAACAAAGTTAAGCTGTTGTTTAACAAAACCACATTGTAAACAATCCTCAGTTTAACTGAACCCTTTATCTGAACATTTATTTTTGGGAACAGGGTCAAGATAGCTGAAAGCTTGCAGTGAAAGGGCATTTTTAAGTCAATCAACCCTCTTATAGAGTGTGCCTCAGGCCCATTGATTGTGTAAAACCTTGGTTTATCCTAGACCTTGTGTAAATATCTGGCTTTATGTTCATGCAAACACTCTTTTTTATCCTTCTCTACTTGCATCCTGCACGTTCATTTGTAAAGCAGGGCTGGGTTAAGATAACCCAGGGTTAGTGTGAAACCTGATTTCAGACGTGAAAGTTTAAAAAGAAATTATAATTTTGGTATAATTTTTTTTGCCTTTTTTATCTTGGATGCTATCAAAAATTGTGAAAATTATCCCAAGAAGGCTATTGAATCAAAGGAATAAAGAAACCCTGATTAAAATTTAACTTTGGATTAGTGCTAATTGGCCTTTGAACAACTTGCCTCAGAGTGCTAATGGAGATGAAGTAATCAAGACACAAAATGAAGCAACCAAAATAAGGACAAGCAAGACCAATTTTGAGTTGTACTTTTTTAAGCCCATGGTCACTCTGTAATCTTTTGGCCTTGTAGTTGATCTCCTTTTTCCTTTTTGCCCTTTTCTTTGTATCTAATGAATTGTGAAGACATGCTTGTACCTTTGTGAAACAGTCAGTATGACACTAGGCTGGGGCAAATAGATTTTAGTGTCTATCGTAAAATTGTCCTACACTGTAGAATTGATGATGGCTATTTCTTGTGTTCACTGCTTCTCTATGCTTAGATTGAGCATCACAATTTTTCTGTTTTTAACAGGTGAAAGAAAAATCCACAGATGCAGTTGAAAAACCCACTGGTGTTTTGATGTACTCCTTGGCAAGCAGCAATATCAAAGATGAATCACAGATCAAGTTTGTTAGTAACTACATTGCAAACAAGAAGTTGGCATCTGCGATACAACTGACAGGTATGATGTTGCTATCTAGCGAAAGAGAGGGAGGAGAAGCTGTGATTGATCAGGTTTTTTATTATATCTCTGAATTACTATGTGCATCATGATTGGTCAGTTCATTAAGCCTTTTTTTACTATATGGTGTGCTAAATCAAAAAGTGTGTTTTGGTCAAAATCTACCCCCTCTAATTTAACCCAGAGATGGAAAAAAAAATATTTTTAAGTTACTAACCTTGTTTTCTTGGTCCATACTGTAAATTAAGTGTAAGTAGTGTAAATATTTTTAAGAAACAACTGAAAACGTATCTTTTTAAACAAGCATACTGTTAACTGTGTGAACATTTTTAGACTATCTACTATATAGATTTTTAATCACTTTTTTAATTTATTGTTAAATATAATTTTGTTTTCATTTTGTAATCTAACTATCATATTCTCTGGGGTTTCTTTTGATATTTTTTAAATTTATTGTAAAGTGCATTAGATCATATACTTATAATGAATTTTGCACTATATAACTATTAAATTTATTATTATTATTATTATTATTATTATTATTATTATTATTATTACAGAACATGTTTTTTTTTTTGCTGGGATTTTCCCCAATGGAATTTTTTTGACTGGTGCCAAAAAAAATTGGTCATAAGTTACAGTATGGACCTTGAACTTGGTGATTAAGAAGTACTTATTGTTTAGTTGGTGATTAATTATTTCGAAGGTGTTTTAGGGGATTGATAAATTTGATGGTACTGTCTGATTGTTTGAGTAAATTGAGAAGGACTGCTGTTGGTGGAAGTGACTGACATTTTAAAAATCATTGTGGAGGTCATCATCAGAATGGAGACAAGATGAAGACTTCCCCTGGGGTTGTCAAAATATCACGAACTGATATGAACATTAGTACTTCTCCAGACTGCCTTTGTCTGATTGGACAACATAAATAAATTCTACCCCTGGGTTCAATCAGTTAATTAATATTCATATTATGTGTTACTTTTATTTTATCTTAGCTGCAGTGGATTTTATGAAGGCCAATCCAGTTTTGCCTGTTGATGTGGCTGCCTTTGAAAAAAATTGTGGTATTGGAGTAAACATCACACCTGATCAGATTGAAGACTGTGTAAGTAAGAAATTGAAAGATTTGATTTACTCTTTTAAAGTAGCTCACATCAGTTTCACTTAACTTACTTGAATTGCAAGGTACTGTATATCAGTTGAAAGGGAGAATCACTTACATGTATGACAACTTAACCCTTTAAGCTCTAAGAGTGACTAGCATCTAATTTCTCCTTACAATATCACCCCTGAATCACACAATAATGTCATGAGAATAAAGGAAATGATCATTAACAAAAGAAACTCTTGATTACTAAACAAATTCTCCTTGTCAGCACCTTGAGAAATGTATGATGAGCAGTATGGAGAATATGTCTACTGATGTTAGGGTGTAAAGGGTTAATAATACCATTACTAATACTAAGGATTAAGATAACACTCATTTCAGGGACTTTTTGGTTTGATTTTATTTGTCTTTTTTTTTCCACAAGGTTGAAGAACTTATCAAGAAACACAAGGAAGAATTGTTGAAGAAACGCTACAAATTCAATGTTGGAATAATAATGGGTGAGTTTAGAATGAGACTTTATTCTTTCACAGTGTCTAATGAGCCCCTTTCTCCGATGAACCTTCTCAAATGAGTCCCCTCTCTCATAACACCTCCCTCCTGTAAATAGTCCCTCCCTAATAAGCCCCTCTCTGACAAGCCCCTCTCAAATAAGCCCCTCTGTAAAAAGGCCCCCTCTAATGTGCCCCTTGTCTGGAAGCCCTGAAAATTATAAATCCTCTTGTGAGCTTATTTAATAGGTATTGTTTGTATTAGTAAAGATATATGACCTGTTTTTACTTTGTTTGAAATTTTAGGAAAGGCGAGAGAGAAGTTAAAGTGGGCAGATGGAAAAGCTGTGAAAGCAGAAATTGATATGCAGGTTTGTGGTACAATAGCTTGCTATAAATCAGTCCTACTGTCTGCCTGTCATTCTGTATGTCCATCAGTTGTCACTCCATCTGTCAGTTTTGCCAGGAACATCAAACTCACACCAGGTCAAAGGAAGTCTTCACTGCTGACAGGAATAAGTTGCCCTTAGACTGAAGAAAATGTCCTATATTACATAGGAGATCCATGATTACTGTCACAAGTAGAGACTACTATATTATGAACATTTTTTGCGAGAAAGTTAGAGAGAACCATGCTCCAAAATGTTAAAAAAACAGGAAAATATTGATGTTTGAATAATTATTATGGACTTATCTTTTGGAAGGTTTGATTTCACACAGGTGTAACTATTAAATATTTAACAATGACTCTTTTGTTGGATGGTATTTATTGTTGGTATTTTGACTCTTTTACAGATCTTAGATTTGCTTGGACCTAAAACTGAAGCAGACATGCAGGCTTTCAAAACAAAGGTGACATAACTAGAGACTTGTATTTATAGCATCACATTTTAAAGTTTCCACCTTGATATAACCAATTGTGCAGAACCAGACAATGAGCAGCATATTAAGTAATTGATGGAGATGGTTTATAAGTCACTCTCAGGGGTCAATGGCTTTGACTCCCATGAGTGACCAAGACAGAATTTCTCCTTACAAAATCAATACAATATCAAGCAAACAAGTGATGAGAATAAAGAAAAATATCAGTTAGGGGATTATAAGTTGATCCAATACCAAATTCCAGGTGTGAAATTAATTTTTTTTTTCTGATAGCCATTTGGCTTCTAAATTCTTCAAAGTGGTAGCCAATTCAAAAAGAGTTGGGCGCCATTTTCAAAGACAAACAAAACCTTTTTTTTACGCTGTCATCGTTCTAGAAATTAAGTTAGGGAAAAGATCTTTAACATGCTACAAAGTGGACACTAGGATGGATGATCTGAAACATCCAAGCTCACCTAAATCCAAGATGGCATCTAGTTATCGATTGAGATGAATGTGCTGCGTTTTGGAAACAAACTTAACGGGGAAGTTTGTTGCGGATTTATCTTTGCAAATCTTTTTAATTCACTCTATCTCTAGGTAAGGTTATGATAAAGCATTTTAGTCGCCAATTTGGCAACTAATTTTCAGGATTTGGTCACCAAAGTGAAAAATTTAGTCACATTGGCGTCTGTATTAGGCGCAATTTCACGCCCTGAATTCTCCAAACACACATCACAAGAACTGTATAGTAAGGATGATTACTAGTGAGATCTTGGGAGTTAAAGAGTTAAGGATAATTATTATCAATATACGCGGCCAAATAGAAAATTGGCCTCTTCAAAACACACGCTCAGTGGACCGCAAAAGACTGACAGCGGGCTGCTAATGCATTATCAGCCCTACAGCTGATTGGTTCTTGCTTCATCATCCGATGGATTTTAACCAATTAGAGTAAGCCTAGTGTTGACGCGGGAAAACCATTTATTTGCGAAACTCCGGTTTTGAACTGCAGTTTTTTCAGTCGTCGAATCATTTCCCCGAATCGGGTAAATGATTGTCAACAATAGATCTGTGCCAGGTTGTTCAAAGCTGGGTTAAGGTAACCCAAGGTTAGTTTGAAATTTGCTTTCAGAGCTGAAAGCTGTAAGAGAAAATTCAGTACCATTCCTTTTGTCTACAATATGATGATTAGATGCCCAAATAAGAATAAAGGTAATTATCTGAAAAAGGCTTTTAAAAAAAGTGAATGAAAAAACACAGATTAAAATTTTACCCTGGGTTAACACTAATTGGACTTTTAGCAACCGGACTTGGAAGCTTCTGATTGTTAAACAAATTCTTGTTTAGGAAATGTGTTGGAAACAGTATGGAGAATATGCTTACTGATGTTAGGGTGTTAAGGGTTAATGTTATGGACTGTACATGTATTGATCATAGGAGGCCAAGCCCAGCAAAGAGGGAAAGCCAGCAAAAGAGTCTCGTTCTGCAGCTGTAGAGGTTTCATTGAATGGTGATACTGGAGATGATGAAACAAGTTCTTTGTTTGGAGAGGCAAGCAAGTTCCACAAACCAGGTTAATATACAATAGATCAGGATACAGGCCACATTATATGGTTTGTGATCAGTTTTAATCTAATCTGTTTTCAGCCATGATACTCTGGCATGTATCTAATAATTCATCTTCATATTTGCCTCTCCTGTCTTATTATATCCCACCAAACTAAAATTTTTATAGTTTTGTGGTTAGCCAAAATTATTTTACCCTTTGAACTTTTAAAATGACTGGCATTTCTTCTTACTGACAATATCACCTCCAAGTCACATACTAAGGTCATGACAATGAAGGAAATGATCAGCTCTTGATTGTTAAACAAATTCTCCCTGTCAGCTCCTTAGGAAAAGTATAAGAACAGCTTATAGAATATGCATACTGATCATGGTTAGGTGTAAAGGGTTGACTCATTTGAAATCGTGTGCTGTCAGTAGCTCCATTAGGAATAGTTATTTTCAGGCCATAATGTAATAATGTTTATGATAATGGAAATGTAAAATGTCTTCAGTCTCCCCTTGGTAACACACTTAGTTATGTCTATTTACCAATTAAACATTTTCAATACCTTTTTTAAACTTAGGTGAGAACTACCTTACACCTGCCTATGTTGTAACCCCTAAGACGATGGCACTGCTAAAGGAACATTTAGAAAGAACTGGAGGAAGAGTTAGTGTCAGATAGTTTTACTGTTCAAGTAATGAAATGATTCTTATAGGATTTCACAGTTTCAGTGTTGTGTGATGCATTATGCTTTGGAGACATGTTAATGATATGGACTGTTAACTGAGTACTTGGGTTACAAAACTGGCAGAGATCATTTTATTTTGTCCTGGGTTAGATTATTACAATAACTCGTTCTCTTGCACTGACTCTTTACTCTGGGGAATACAAATGTGCAATGCTGGATGGCACAGAAATCGAAAGTACATTTTAATAAGGAATTGTTGTTGATTGTCCAACATCCTACATAGAGAGAAAAGCCCCACATTGTAATCTTGGTAATTGTGAAGAAGAGCTCCCCAAAAAACCTGTTGGCCGACTGTCGGTCAACTGTCGGCACACTGTCGGCCAACAGGTAGCCTATATTTCGGGCAAAACCTGTTGGCCGTCTGTCGGCCGACAAACGGCCGACAGTCAGCCAACTGTCAGCCGACAGATGACCAACTGTTGGCTGACTGTCGGCTGACAGGTTTTTTGGGGAGCTCTTCTTTACAATTACCGTAATCTTCAATTGTTAGAAAATGGGTGCTCTAAAATACATGTAAGCATGGTTCCCAGCTCACAGTTTATTATTTTTTATTGTAATTTGTAGACTTCCATATTTATTTTCATTAATTAATTATTATTTTCTGTCATTTTTTTCTGTGTTTCCTGAGTTTACATGCAGTACCTACACAATAATTACATAGCATCTTCTGACAAGCTAAATATTACATGAAGTTTATTAAGGATTCTACTTTTCTAGGTGCAAACAAGATTTCCTCCTGAACCCAATGGCATTCTTCACATTGGTCATGCCAAAGCTATCAACTTCAACTTTGGTTATGCAAGAGTAAGGTTTATGATACTGTATCACTTCAGAATGCTCTGATAGCTTTTTCTGATTGTTTAGTCTAATTGTCCAGATAAGGGTAGTCTGGAGAAGGAATGTTTTGGTAGACTGCTTACTGATGTTTCAACAACCTAAGTGGAAGGCTTCATCGGAGTCTAAAGAAGAGTTTTTTTTTAGTTGAGTGGTATAAGTTGTGTGGTTTTTGGGGTGAAATGATTGCTCAGTTTTTGCGGTGATGATATTGGCTGTTAGATTAAAGTAGTATAAGTCTGTGGTGATTGGTCAGTTTTGATCTATTGTGATGTGAGGTTGTGTTTTTTGGTTTGTTGGTTATGTAAAGTCAGGAATAAGATGGTGCCAAAAATTGTTCATTATTTAATGTGGGAAGTGCTGCAAGATTAGCTCAAGACATGGTGATTTGGAGGGACCTTGTTAAGGTGTTACCTGTGTCACTGGGAACAGTGAAGTTGAGTGTATGCTGCCAGTTATTGTTGAAATCTGTTGTATTTAACAGACTCCTAGCACTAAATCTCATCTTGTTTATGTTATCATCATAATGATTTCTGTTTTAGCATTTTTTGAATGTAACTACGATAATTGTGATTGCCATCACAATCCCAATCTCATCATCATCATCATAACCTTTATGAATCTCATCAGTGTTATTGATGTATATTTATTATTTTTTGTTAATTCTCCTCAGGCCCACAACGGTGTTTGCTACTTGAGATATGATGACACAAACCCAGAGAAGGAAGAGGAAAAGTTTTTTACAGGAATTTTGGATATGGTCAAATGGCTTGGTAAGTAAAATAGTTTTGTTAAAGAAGATTTCTAGGAAAAGCTCAATATTTTCTGTCTGTATATCTCTCTTAGTTTTTCCTTTTGTCAAGTTCAAGAAGTTTTAACTGACTGTGAAGAATTTATGCCCATTGTCAAAAATTAATCCTTTGATCCCCAAGTAGTACTTCATAACATCTAATTTCCAATATCACCCCTGAATGAATGTTAAATAAATTTCCCTTGTCAGCATCTTATGAAATGTATAGAGAAAAGTATAGAGAACATGCATACTGATGGCGGCATCTAAAGGGTTAATTCACAAATTTCCAAGCAGATTCATTTGCAATCCCTGTTTGATCATCTCCATCATTAGCCACATTTGATTCTTCCTGGGTCATTGATGCCTTTTACTGACCAAGCTCAAGGTCTGTACAGTTTTTTCTGTTCAGTTTGATGGGTCAATGGGAAAGTATGTGGGGCATGTACCCCATTAGAAAAAACAAGGTTCCATAACTTACTGCACAGACCAAGAAAATGAGATTAGTAAGATATTTATTTTATTTCTGGGTTCAAATGGAGAAGAAAGATTTCTATTCAAACAACCTTTTGAATTTAGCAGGTGCACAATGAGATACAGCCTGCTTAATTGACCAATCATAGTGCACATGCTAACAAATTATTATCTCCTTATTGTTCTCCTTCCTAACTAAACCAAAATTGAATTGTGTGTAGCTTTTCCACCAGACTTTGATATCCCACTTTCAATTTTTTTTTTCAGGTTTTGAACCATGGAAGATAACCCATGCTTCAGACAATTTTGGAAAATTGTATGATTTTGCTGTAGAGCTCATCAAAAGGTAAACATTATCACATTGATGTGCATCTATAGCAACAAATCTGCTAGTCAGAGTAATGACAATTTTACTTTTTTCATCAACTTTGTGATGATTTAGGGGACAAGCATATGTCTGTCACCAGCAGTATGAAGAAATCAAAGGCCATAATCCCCCACCCAGCCCCTGGCGGGACAGACCAATAGAGGAATCACTGAGGCTGTTTGAGGTTTGCTTCAATGTTGTTTTTTTTAAGTAGCTCATGTAGGGGTGGCAATGGTAAAATCCTAGACTCCTGAGGTGCAAAGACTCTTGTTTAGAAACTTAAGACCCACACCAAACAGTAGTCATACAAGTCCCTGTTATATACGGTTGCTTAACCCAGATTGTTGCAAGGTACTGGTAATGAGGAGAAAGTTATGATACCCTCTTCTGTGTTGGTTTTTACCATGTATTTGACAAGCACCATGTTAACCATTCAACTCCCAGAAGTGATCAACATGAAACTTCTCCCAATAATTATATCCTTACATTATCCTACAAGCAGCTGATGAGAATATTCAAACTTATCTGGTAGAGGTTGTTGAGGTTGTTGTTGTCTTGATCTAACAGCAAATTCTCATAACTAATTTACAAGGAAATGTGTAGCAGCTAGAGGGGAGAATTACCAATCAGATCTTGGGAGTTAAAGGGTTTGACCAACAAGCAACCCTTCAGTTAATTCTCTTGATGACATAAATTCAGGTTGATTCATCCTTCTACTCCAAATAATCACCAATAATAAATTTTTCCTTACAATATTGATATGTTGTCCAGCAGGGCCCAGTTATTTAAAGGGTGGATATGTATATAACAGAAAAATCCCTATTCAACATTTATTGAAGTGTTAACAAAACCTACTGCACTATCCACCACATGGAGATTTATCCAGTGGATAGTGATATCCACCCTTCAAACCTTCAGGCCCAGATAGTTGAAGAGAAGATGGAAAAATGACAATCAGAGGGTATCCTTTGATTCAACACTAAATTCTCTGAGTGAAATTACAAGGAATGTATGACAGACTGTGAGGAGAATTGATATATACATCCTGGGAGTATAGGTGAAATACGTCAGCCTGTCTACAGTTAGATGTGCTACTTAGCAAATTGAAGTAATTTTCTGTTCAAGTCATTCATGGTTTGCACTCTTTCAGGATATGAGAAAAGGGAAAATAGAGGAAGGAGTGGTAAGGGTTTTTATATTACAACTTTCTTTCTTCCACTTGAGCTATTTCCCTTTTTTTGTCCAAGAAGCTATCTACCACTTGACCTGGAAATAACTTCCTCCAAGTATGGTCTTGTCGTGTATAAACTGTCACTTTGTCTTCCTGCAAATAATATTCTGCTCATGTTTATTTGTTTTCTTGCTCTTTTGTGAAAAATGGAGATAGCTTCCGTGAGCTTTTAAGAGAGAGAATTATGTAGTTATGAGAAACAAAACTGCCGATTAAATGATAAAAATAATTTTCAAACCCAGATTAGGCAAAATATCTTGATCTGTCAGTGTCTGGTAGATCAATTAACTTGTCCCAGTCATGAACTTGGACAAATAATTTGACTGCTGATCACTGGAAAATCATGCTATCTGTTCAACTTCATCCAATGATTCTTGTTGATTATTACCTTTCATGTTGTATTCCCAAGGCAACACTGAGAATGAGGACCACTCTTGAGGATGGAAAAATGGACCCTGTGGCCTATCGTATAAAGTTTACCCCACATCATAGATCTGGAACTGAATGGTACTTGCATTGATAAATTTTTGTTGTCATAATGTATTTATCTTGTTATAGAAAAATCAATGTCATTGTCGGATCACAGAGTTTATTTCCTCATCATTGTAGTCTGTGACAGCTGACTGAATTAATGATAGATTCTCACCATGCTTTTTAATGGTAATTTTAAAAAACTGATATTTATTTTAATTAATAGTGATGGATTATTTTATATTTATCAGGTGTATATATCCAACATATGACTTTACTCATTGTCTGTGTGATTCTGTGGAGGATATCTCACATTCACTCTGCACAAAAGAATTTCAGTCAAGGTAGGTGCAGTGTAGATAGGCATTGAATTTAGTAATAGACCCCACTTTGGACTGGTTAATTTATGTAATAACCCACTCAGGTTACTGAGAGAACATAAAAATATATTGTAAATCCCATGCCTATAGAGGTGAGTGATTTACAAAGTTTCTTGTGTTGTTTCCACATCCAACATTGGTTATTGTGCTGTTAAACCAGCAGAAGCAGGGTCTATTGATTTTATTAAATAAACTTAAAATGTTTCAGTTTTCTATGGTGCTATACACAATAGGTTTTTTTGAACAATTAGGGCATGTGAAGTTTCTCAATTTTTTTTCACAATAAGTACTAGACCAATTCTTTCTTGCTCGTGTCCGAAAATAACAAATGTTGGTTTCACCTTACATGTATAGTGTTGCAAAAGTTGAAGCTGATCTTTTCTCTGCAGATGCTTTTGAGTTTGCACCCACATTAGCTGTGTCACATCAGGCACAGCTTCTAAATGTTTGTTTCTTTCTGTTTGACAGGCGTTCATCATATTACTGGTTATGCAATGCTCTTGATATCTACTGCCCAGTGCAGTGGGAGTATGGTCGATTGAACTTGAGTTACACTGTTGTCTCCAAGAGAAAAATTGGTAAATTGATCTCCTCTGGGATTGTGAGGTAGGTGAGAGAAGAGAGGAGTTGTGTGCTGGTGTGTTATGGTTTTAACCCTTTAACTCCCATAAGTGACCAAGACAGAATTTCTCCTTACAATATCAATACAATGTTAAGCAGGCAATTGATGAGAATATAGAAAAATATCAGCTAGGGGATTATAAGTTGATCCAATACTAAATTCTCCAAATTAACATCACAAGAACTGTATAGTAGACAGTAAGGAGAATTACTAATGAGATCTTGGGAGTTAAATGGTTTAAACATAATTAATTATACTGAGAGGGCAATTTTCTATCCACATCCTGGGAGTTTTGAGAATTTTCTTCCAGATCTTTGGGTTGATCCTTTTGGTTCCAAGATCTGAATATAAATTCTTATCTCTGATTGTCAGACATTCTTTCCGTCAATCCTTACCAAAAAAAGTAATAAGTATAATGATTTTTTTTGCAGAGATTCCTTTGTTCTCTCTTAGGTGTTATTCACCATCTCTTTCATTCCCAAAATCAAAATATCCACTCTCTTTACTGTTCACCATACATTCTCTCGTAATTGTAGATGAGAGAATTTTGTTGTTAATCAAACAACAGTTTGTAGTTGATATTCTTCTGATACAAAAATTTCTTTTACATGTAGGTCTCTCCTGGTAGTGACAGGGTTAATTTTTGTCTTTTTCAGGGATTGGGATGATCCTAGATTGTTCACTCTCACAGCCCTGAGAAGGAGAGGATTTCCTCCAGAGGCTATAAATAAATTCTGCAGCAAGGTAACTTACTCCCTAATGTGTAAAACATAGTTTGTCATAGTTTCTGTGACACAAATTGTCAAGAAGTATTCAAGAAATTTAATACTTCTTCTGGTGCACTCCAAACTGTGACCGTTTTGGTTTGTAATGGCAGTTGCCAATGTAGGAACCTGTGTTTAACCATTATGTAATAATTTGTATTGTTTTATAACATAGTTTTAATGGTTAGAAGTGAAAGTGAGATTAACATTCATAAAATATTACTCATGCATCATCTAAGTAATAAATAATAAATAAATAAGTAATTAATTATTGATTCATCATTAATTAAGTAATATCTAAGTAGTAAGACATGAAAGGTAGCATGACTCTCCTGTTTTTGTAAAACTGAATTTCAGCCTCACTACCTTCTCTAAATATTTGCAGTGCTGTCATTGGTGTAATAGATCATGTAATAATATTACACAAGTTGACAACGTTGAAAAAAGTTGAGTTTACAGCCCAGTGTTAGGGACAGAGTGATGATCCCAAGAAAGATCAGGATTGACTCCTTCACTTCTGGAATCAATTTTCTGCACCTTCTGACATTCATTTCCTATACTTTAAGGCTTTGGGAATTTGCATGGTGTCAACTTGGAAAAAAATCGCCCAGTATTTAATATTTTTCTTTCTACACATTGCTGCCCTGTTTTACAATGTGAAGAAAGAGTAAGGAGGAATTATTTTATGGTCACTCTCGGGAGTGAAAGTGCTAAACATTGTTGAATTATTTTGTTGCAGGTGGGTGTGACAATGGCACAGACAGTCACAGATCCATTGCTCCTTGAGTCATGCGTTCGGGATGAACTGAATGTTACTGCTCCCAGGTAGTCATAGCAACTATTGCAGTGCTCCTTTAATTTAGTCAGTGCTCATGTATGTTAATTTATGACAACCATGGAAATTCACAGGTAGTGGTGACACATTTTGCTGTGAATGGAGATTAGTGAGTTAAAGTCTTCACACCCAACCATCATTGATAATAAAATTATGCTCTGTACTGTTCTCTAATTCCAAAAGGTTCCAATAATGAGAATTTGTTCAATGATCAAGAGCTTCTCCAGTTGGCAATCATGTCCTTTATTCTTGGCAGAGTAATGCGTGATCAGTTCAGGGGTGAAATTGTCAAAAGAAATTTGACGCTCGTCCCTCTCAGGAGTCAAAGGTTGCTCATTGATGACACCAGACCAAGTTCCATGACATATCCATAAAATTTCTTTTGTTGTGTGAACCAACCAATCTGGCCTACATGTATGTTATCGCTGCTATTATCAGAGCATTCATTTGCAGAAGTTTATGGCCATTGACTTTTGGTTTCTAAGAACATATTAATGTTACTTATTATATAAAAATTGTTTTTGTGAAAGTGATGGAAATATTAATAAAAGCTTTTTCAAACTTTCAGGGTCATGGCTGTTCTTGAACCTCTCAAGGTGACAATACAGAACTTTGACAAGGTAATGTAGGATTTGAATTATCTAATTAATTAATTATCTAATTAATTAATTATCTAATTAATTAATTATCTAATTGATTAATTATCTAATTATCTAATTAATTAATTAATTATCTAATTATCTAATTAATTTATTTAGTGAAACTGTGATGGCCGAAAATTTTTCATGGACATTCACTGTGACACCATGATTATAACATTCTTGAAAATGAAAAGATACTGTATTCACAGTTTCACAGTTTTAAAATAATTTTTTTTTATTGCAAGCATTTGGCCTAGCTTCAACTTTTTCATGGCACAAGAACTATTTTGACTATGTGTGGAAAACAATGAGCAAAATAAAAGCAATGTCTTATTTTGGTTGTTGAATTTTTTCTTTTAGCAAGTCAAGCTCGGTGTTCCCAATTTCCCTCAAGACACAAGTAAAGGAAGTCATGAAATATCATTTGGAAAAACAATTTTTATTGAACAGACAGACTTTAAAGAGGTAGGTTACTAGATATTTCCAAATTGACAATCACAGGGTTGTGTCAACAATTTACACCGAAATGTCAGTATGCATATTCTCCATACTGTTCTTTATACATTTTCTGAAGCAGTCACAAGGATAATTTGTTTTACAATCAAGAGCTTAAGTGTGTGATCATTTCCTTTATTCTCATTACCCGAATGTGTGATTCAGGGGTGATATTGTAAGGAGAAATCAGATATTGTTCACTCTTAGGGGTTGAAGGGTCAAGTGATAATGTTGAGTGGCAGTCTCATTTTAAATTGGCTCAACAACATGCATTTAGTGGTCCACGAGATGATGTCTACTTTCATAAGTGTTTGCTTTCATCTTTTAACCCTTTAATTCCCATGAGTGACCAAGATAGAATTTCTCCTTACAATATCAATACAATATCAAGTAGACAAGTGATGAGAATAAAGAAAAATATCAATTAGGGGATCATAAGTTGATCTAATACTAGATTCTCTAAACTAACATCACAAAAACTGTATAGCAGACTGTAAGGAGAATCACTGATAAGATCTTGGGAGTTAAAGGGTCAAGATCTGTTATTTGTTTTTGTTGATTTGTGACACCTTCCCTTACCTTCCTGTCTTTTTGACTGGTTCCATAAGATGTTTGTTGGTCCCTGCAACAATGGCTGCCTGCAGGGTTGCTATGGATACCTTTATTCTCCTCCTTCACTATTCAACTGTCAAAACTTCTGCTTTAGGTGTCAGAGAAGGGTTTTCGCCGTCTCACTCCTGATCAGTCTGTTGGCCTCAAGTACGCTGGTATGGTGATAACACTTCATAAAGTTGTTAAGGTATGGCTGGTTCACCTTCATACCTACAGTGTCACTATTTCTTCTTAGAGTGAGGTTCACTGAGTTTTATTCCATAGTGCCTCAATGCAAATCTGTTTTCTAGTTTGTAAGCTGTTTTATACATTCTTTAATCCATGTCTACAATGCAGCAATGCCAAGCTGTAGCAGTTATATATTTGTGTTCATGTTTTGTGGATATCATGCTCTATGATCATGTTTACCCTTTCAATCCAAAATGTTAAATGTCAATTCTCGCCTCTGTCTGGCACACATTTTGTGTTGTTTTAGCATGGAGAAATTAGTGTTTAATCAGACACTCTTCCTAAGCTGTGATTTTCTTCCTAGTCATTAACTTTCTTCTTGGAATGGTGTTGAGATATTATAATTGTAATGAGTAAACTTCTCTTTGTTCACTCTTGCTCTCCTTTTCTGTGTTAGGATTCCAGTGGGAAAGTGACAGAGTTGTTAGTGAATTGTGAGTCAACAGAAACTGCACCAAAACCAAAGGCTTTCATTCACTGGGTATCTTCACCTCTGAAATGTGAAGTCAGACTTTATGAAAGACTGTAAGTATTTTGAATTTTTATTATCTGGAGAGACCAGTGCTTTCACACAAAGGACCACTTTTCATATGTGACTTTTCAAACCATGCAGGCAATTTTCAAATTAAACAGGCGGTACAAAAGACACTCTTTTTCTCTGGGTCTTTTTTCCAATGTAATTGGTTGAAATTAACCAAACATGTAGTAATAACGGATTGCAGGATTTAATTTCAGTGCTCTGAGCTGCAACCATTTTGGTTATCATGGGGAGTAGAAAAAGATTTTGGAAACAAAATTTGTCGCCAATCTAATGACTTGCTGCTGTGTTCAGCAGTTATGTGGCAGGCTACAACATTGGTTTCAAATACTGTGTATGGTGTTAAGTTTAAGTGACACAAACTTTGCATAAAATATTGTCTTAGTGCGATATGTGACAAAATTTCTTTTTTTTTTACTCTCTCCTGGCAACTTAAGTTTTTCATTCTAGTGGACTACTTCATGTCTTCAGATGACCAAGAAGTGTCTGAAAAATCTGATCTTGGAACTCAGAATTTATTCAAGTCATACTTGACTGAATGAAATTGTTTGATTGTAAATTAACAATTTTATGATAATTGCATTGAAACAGATTCAAACACAAGAATCCAGAAGACCCAGCAGAAGTACCAGGTGGTTTCATAACAGATTGCAACAAGGTATGATTTCTTACTTTTTAACCCTTTACAACCAAACATCAGTGTGCATATTCTCCATACTGTTCTCTGTACATTTCCTTAGGCATCGACAAGGAGAATTTCTACAACAATTAAGAGCTTCTTTAGTTGTGATCATTTCCTTTATTCTCATGACCTTAATGTGAGATGCAAGATTGATATTGTAAGGAGAAATTAGATGCTAGTCACTCTTCATGTGTGATCAATTGGCTGATGGGAAAAGCCCTATGTGAGTGTTGATAGACTTCTATTTTCCTTTAAAAACACAAAGAGAATTTGATGTTGCATCAAAAACACTTATGGCTCCCTTTCACCCGCCCCTTCCTGCTTGATTTGGCAAGGCACTGAGACATTCATTGGACTTTTTCACACCCCCTCTCCCTCCCCTCTCCCCACAAACACCTCCCCTTCCTTAGTAATACACTAACATGCTTTGTTTTTTTTCCCAAAAGGATTCTCTTACTGTAATCCCTGATGCTCTTGTGGAACAAACTGTCAAACAGGCAACTGTCTATGACAAATTCCAGTTTGAAAGGATTGGTTTCTTTAGTGTTGATCCTGACAGCAGTAAAGACAAGGTGAGCACCCCCCTTTCATTGCGCACAGTCGTTGAAGCCCTATGCTATGTTGTTAACAATGGAGCAAATGTATCTTATTAGATTTTTGAGTGTGTAGTATCACTGAGTACTTTTACAAGTTGTGCCATATTTTGATGAGCCTGTAAGGCTAGTCAAAAGACAATCAATGACTGGTTAGCCAGCAGGGCAGTGAAACCCCAAACAAAGTCACTATGGCAGAATATTGTGCAATCCTCAACTCATCAGAGCCCAAGAACTGATTTGATTAACAGCTTACTTCAAATGATAATTTTGCTGGATGATGCAATTTTTTTTTTGTCCTATGTTTCAGCTGGTGTTCAACAGAACAATCTCTTTGAAAGAAGATCCTGGCAAACTGTAGTTGGAAAACAGAATATACTTCTATCAATGAATACTGTTCAAATAATATAGTGCCAAGACTTTCTAGTGACCAGTACCCAGCCATAGCGATTCAAATTCCCTTAGAGTGCCTCTTTACAACCACATTCATTTATCATTATTCTCAACCCTTTAGTCCCTAAGAGTGATTAGCATCTAATTTCTCCTTACAATATCACCCCTGAATCAAACATGAAAGTTATGAGAAAAGAGGAGATGATCACCAACTAAAGCAGCTCTTGATTGTTACACAAATTCTCCTTGTCAGCCTCTTTGGAAATGTATAGAGAACAGTATGGAGAATATGCATACTGATATTAGGATGTAAATGGTTTATTTAGTGCATGTCTCAGGCAGATTACTTGGTTTTGAACTTTTGGAACTAGGATAAAATCTAAAATAAAATAAATTGTTGGAGACTTAATAATCCAAATTCTACTATGTCAGAGATTTGAAATTCTGAATGTGTACCTTGGGTATGGCTGGAATATTTCCTTCACTCCCAGAGGGACCTTCTTTTAACATAGCTTGTTTAAGCAATAGATCACCCTTTTTATTGGTTTACCAGAATAATAACCTATGCAGGATGTTGGGAGAACATAAAAAAAAAGGTTGGAAAACATGTCTTGAGTGTCCAGCTCATGATTTATAAACTTTTACCAACTTCCCAAGTAAGTCATCACGCTGGTGAAATGGTACAAAATTGTGGTCTATTATTACCGGTGATTGCTTTATTCATAAAATAAACTTGAAGGGTTGCTTAGTTGCTTAAGGTCTAACCCAAACCACGGTACTCAACCAGTGGGCCTTAGGTTTTCTCTATAATATTAAATAAATGCCCTTCCACTGTTAGCTTTTGGCTCTTTTGACACTGTTCACAAAAGTAAATGTTTAGATGAAAGATTCAGCTAAATTGAGGATTGTTTAGGATGCAGTTTTGTTAACAACCATTTGACTTTGTTTAAATAATGAGACAAAATGTCTCAATTCTCTATTATGGGCTTATCGCTGCAATAATTGATAGATCTTTGACCAATTAAGGCTCTTGTAGTATGTCAGCTATTGTTTAAAAAATCTTGACATAAAAAAAGGAAAACATGTCTTTGAGTACTAGTAAATGTTGCAGTAACATATAGCTATATAGTTTACTTTATATCATGGCCTCCTAGTGGACTTCTCAACTGAGGTACACAATGTGACTTTCTCAAACCTTTGACACTAAGTATCAGTTTTTCTGTTTTATGTAGTCTCACAAAATGCCTTTCTTCTGAGTTTCCTTTAGTTAGTAACATTAATGATATTAATATTTACTATTCCTTTTATTACCTATTTCAAAGAGTTTTGTGCTTTCTGAAGCAAACAATAAAGGTCACTCACAATATTTTATACTTTGGATACTTAGAAAAACAACATTCATGTTTTTATAAAAGCAACCTGGCAACTATTTTGTTAGATTTCCCAGTAACAATTAAAATGGAAATTCTATTAAAATCTCCTGAACATCATACCTGTGAGGAATACCTGGCAGGTTGTTTTGCTAGATTTGCCAAGTTCTTGATGCAAGTGGCAATTGTGCTGCTTTGAATTGATGTGGAGTACATTAATTATGTGGGCCACTGTTAAACACTGCCAGACTGTAGTTTGTCACCCTCTCAACTTGGCACAAGGTTTCAAAATGTACTTTTATTCACAAGGAATAGGACAGACTGTTTAATGTCTGATCACACAGGCTTCCAGCTTGTATCCGTGTTCTCCTTTTCAGGCAGTAACCAGTAAAATTTACTTTCAGAGGTACCCCAGGGTACCACTTAAATTCCCTTTGAATTATTGAATATTCAACTGGTAAAAGGATTGCAAAACCAATTTGAAAACATCTTTTACCTGTCAAGCCTAACAAATAGGAAAATGCTGTGTATGTGTCTAAGAGTTTCCTAGGACATTCCTGCTGTTATCTTTTCCCAGGCTTTCCTCAGGAAATGTCCAAAAATTTGAAAGGAATAAAAGTTGTTAAAGCCCAGTTATTCTCATATACATAAAGTTGCACTTAAAAATTGGTTGTAACCCCATAAAACAGAAAAAAAAGACTATCGTCAACAAATTATTATGTGTACAAAACGGGCAAAACTTTGATTTATTAAACAGCAAATATTAGTAAAAAAACTCACATTCCTTGGTGCTGCACGTGACTTATTCGCTCCTAAAAAAAAAACCTTCATCAACATGACAAAAGTTGGCAAGGATCTAAATCGCTCAAAGAAAGCTCGCCACGAAAAAAAATTATACAAACTCTAAAAATATCCCGCACCTTTACAAAAAATTTCCTGGTTGACAATAATCAAGTCAATTACAGTATGGTTGCTAATAACTAAATTAGCGCTAGCGTTTTAGTGTGACAAAGACCGAAGAGAATTTTGTTATTGACATCATCACTCATCACACTGAGCGTTTTACAAAAGTATTTTCATTATCCAAGGTAAAGATCAAAGTATTAGCTCTGTCACAAATGTTATTTGATAATAAAGACCTCCGAGCAAACATGTGTTAATCAAAAACTTAATTTCTTTTCAGTCATTGTACAGAATTCCATTTTGACGGTAAAACGTGTCCTTGATGACTCGAGTACGACCGCACGATGGGTTTGTGGTCTTCATACAGTCGTTTAATCTCCAACCGATCTCCCAAGAGCTTGTGATGGGGAATTCGTATTTATGCTCCGGAGCCTTAAGTTTTCTCTTCTGTAAATATGCATAGCGACCGCCTCCAAGTGCGCTGAAACCGTCGTACAACAATTCCCGTGTCTTGCCTGAAACCGGACGCATTTCAACAAGAAGGGACTTTGGATCAGCCTTAGCCTTCTCCTCAAGCTGTTTTTTAGTAGTACTCTCCTTCTTCTCCTTTTCCTTCTCTTCCATTTCTTGCTTCAACCCCTGCAAAGCGTTGATTTTAAGTCCTTCTTTTCGAGGTTTCGCAGCCATGGCGGCTACGTCGCGCGCAAATTCTTTGGAATATCTTGAATGCCAGTTCAAGCGGACATATGCTTCCTTGTCGATGGATTCCTTCCAAAAGTTTTGACGCTGCGTATCCATATTTAATTCCCGCACCATCTTGACAGATTTCTTGAGCTTTAGAGTTTGCAAAAGTCGCCAGCAGTGTGTTAAGTTTGTTTGAAGTCTTAATAGCAATGTTTGTCCTACGCTCCTGCGGAATGCTACAATCAGTTGCCATGGACAACTGTCTTAAGACGTCTGGTTTATTTAAGGACACTCTGTGTAAAATGTCATAACAGGTTAGCTAAGAATAGTGTAAACCGCAGCTTCTCGGGGGAAGTCGTAATTTATTAATTATTTCTCTGATTCTAAATGAAAAAAAAATGAAAAGTCGTTTTCCGCCCTGGAACAGAAATCGTTTATTAAGGAATTATTCATGGAAAAAATCTTGATTGCCAATCAGCCGAAAAATATTATTCTTGTTTGTTCGCTTGCCTTTTTTTAACACCAGTAAGCCTTTTAGAAAAGAGAAAATAAAACAAAGGGAACCAGAATTGCATCGAGATTATCTAACTCTTCCTTCAGGTAAGAAATGTTACTGAAAATCGGAGTTTGTGCTGTATCGATCGACCCGTAGTGTCCCGCACCTGCGGGTGTGATCCCGTGCGTGAAGTTCCCTGTGTGACCTCTGACGTCATAAGGTAAATACTATGGCAGCCATAGCTACATGTATATGCCGCATTCTTCATTCGCTGGAGAGTTTTGTTTCTTTGTAAAGATATTTGTCATCAAATATGCCGGAGAGGAAGAAAAGAATTTCAACGATGATTAACTATTATGGCTAGAGTTGTTTAAAGTTCAGTGTTCGAACAGAGAACACCTCAGAAATTGGCTTCGAAGTCTTTGGGTTAGCTTATAGTTAAGTCTGCAATCAGCTAACCTGTGATTACTCCATCTTATCGACCAAAAATGGGACTTATTGATATGGAATTGATGTTTGATTTACTGGATACGGACATGAGGGGTTATCTGACCTCAAATCAGCTCCAAGATTTTCACGAATCGCTGTACTTCTCTCCGATCGATCCTCGACAAATCGAAGCTGCCATAAGAACAGTTTGTGGCAGTTCTTCTCGCGGACTTTGTCCACGAGAAAAATTTATGGATGTGTTAGACGACCTTGACCGGAGGAAAAGTCTCGAAGAAAAAATTTCTTGGGATTTTAAATCACTTGATGTCGAAGGAAAAGGAAGAATTTCTCTCAAAACAGCGCTGTTGCTTTTCAAAGCTGTCCACAATGAATTGTTTTCAATGAAGACCTGGCGATCATTTGTTTCTCAGCGGGAATATCCCGATGCAGATGTATGTTTTGATGAGATCAAGATGTTCCTGTGTAACTTGGTTGATGGTGGTCCTTGTGAGAAAGAAGAGTTTAACGAAGAGGAGAGAGATGTTGGTTTGCGGTGTGTTGAAAATGAGTACAGGAATCTGAAGGAACTAGAAAAGTTTCAGGTAAGTTCTGAAGGCATTAAAAGCTATCTGGCAACAATTATTAAGACTTGATTTCAGTATGATGGCCTGATTCGTCACGAGCATCCCAATTTTAGCATTTGGAATGATTCAGGGGATCATATAGAAAAGTGTGGTTAGCCTGATTTTCTGAGTTCTTAGAGATGATTTGGAATGGTTTCGTGTTACAGTTATCATCCAGACCCCCCTGAGCATTATTTGGGATAATCAGGCTGATTTCGAGAGCAGGCTTAGCTTTATTCCAAACACTTAAATATCAGTATGCACATTCTCAACAGTGATCTCTAATCATTGTCTGTGGTACTGAATCTAAAGGTTGCTTTTAATGGTCTTTGTGGCTCAGTTAGCTTGTCTATATCTCGCACAAAAAAAATTTTCTTTGTGATTACTTGGCAAGTGAGCTTACCCTTTAGCTGGGATCTAATTATTTTGAATTTAGGATCTCAGCCTAAGAGGATTTAAGTTCTCCTATAAACATTGTTTGATTTCAAACCAACATCAAGCAGACAAGTGATGAGAATAAAGAAAGATATCCATTAGGGGAATATCAGTTGATCCAATACCAAATTCTCCAAAATAACACCAAAAGAATTATATGGCAGATAGTAAGGAGGTTTACCTATTTTAATCACCAGATTGCTTGAAAAATGTATCTACAGTGCTAAAAGAAATACATGACTTCTGGCTGACCAGTTGTTTATTATATCTGCAAATCAAAAAAAAATTTATGGTCGTGACAAATCACAAGTCGTTTCGCTACCGACTGAAATGACTTCTGGGAGTTTCACGGCCTAAAAATTGCACATACAATTTGATTGTATATAAAACATCTACTAGCCAAAAAGGATTGAAAATCTTCACCTTCTTTCTCCAGTTCTTTGATTTTCTCAGTGTTACTGACGCAGTGGTCAAATGTCTGTGCATTTGCAATATTACAGCAAATAGGTGGCATGCTTCCAGGTTTTTAGAACCAAGTTTTCTGACACAAATTATAAATAACCATGCAAGCCAGTAAGTCATGGTGTTTGAAAAGAGTATAACTTTTTTTAGAGCTCAAAACAGAGTTGTAAAATAACAGGATACCCAAACTTGTACAATAACAGGATACCCAAACTTGACTTAGTTTTCCTTTTCCTTGAGTTTGTTTTTCTTCATCAGATTGATACAAAGGTTTCAATTTTCTCTGAATTAATGCTTATTTTGCAAGACAGCAACTGTTTCTTAGGTTTTCCTTTCAAATTTACCATGGAAATTAAGGCAAGCCTGCCAAAATTGATCCTTTTGGGCATGATTGATGTTTGACAGCTTATTGGGTGTAGTTTGCTTGACCAAGAGTTGGTATGAGGAATCAGACCTCAGACAGTAGGGGATAAGGTAACAGATCCAATCCTACCAATGCATCAGCCAAAGTGTTGACCAACATGTTGGCCAATGCACTACTGATGCCAAGCACTGAGAAGCATTGTGGCTTGATCCTCCTTCAAAAGTTTTAATTGGATGTAAAAAAAGTCACAGATGCACTGCCGACACACCACCAACACACGATTAAGGCTAGTCATTTATTGAAAGGGAGACTAGTTGGCAACAGTCGGCCGACAGTGGACAGACTATGGTCTGATGCATTGACCAGTGTATCAGCTGACATGTTTTTTGGATCGGATTTGTTACCGTAACCAATCATATGATTCTGTACTGCAGTGCTCCACCATGGAGCCACACTGACTCTCCAGTGATGTAGGCTATTACTAGGTGTGTATGTGATATATGTTGTGCTAAATTTGTTTTAAGGAGGATGAGGCATCCCTAGCTGCTGAAGAGAGGGAGAGAATGCACCAGGCCAACAAACTGAAACAAGGAGCTGAACGACGAACCAAGCGACTGGATCATGAGGGTGTTGTGGCCCTGCTGCATGAGGATGAAGAGTGGGATGAGAAAGCTGCGAAGAAAGCAAGACAGAAAGTCACAGCTACAGATTTGATACAAGCTCTACGAACAAAGTAAGATTCTTGAGACCTAACAAGAAGTTAAAACATTCCTTAGGGCTGTCAATAAGTTTGAAAGTGGAAAGCAAATACATGTAAGATATAGAATAAGAGAGATGGTGAGTTCTGAGCTGGGTAACGAAAAAAAGAAAGTTATTTTTTTGTCTTGTTGAAAAACTTCTGAGTCCCCACGAGGAATCGAACCTCAGACCGTTGGATTCCACTCTCCGATGCTCTACCACTAAGCCAAAGAGACTCTGTGATGAGCAAGGCCTACCATGAAGTTCATATGCGATAAGCATCCTGCATACTGCTAGGATCAGTGATGTCAATAGTGTTGCTCACCACAGAGTCTCTGTAGCTCAGTGGTAGAGCATCAAAGCATGGAATCTGAGTGTCTGAGGTTCAATCCCTCATACAGACTCGGAATATTTTCTTTGTCCTATGCTCATAACAAGACAAAAAACATCTTTCTGTACATGTAAGAAATAATAGGCGACCAGGTTGTTAAGGAGGTCATGTTGTTTGGTCAGATTACAAGCAAGACTTACCTTTTCAGTTAAAATGTCCAAGGCATTCCTCAAAAGTTGCTCAAATTGTAAAGTCAATTTTGAATGTGAGTTGATTTACACATCTATAACTTTTACAGGTAAATTACAAAATGGCTGGGGGTTTATGTAGCTTGTATTTGTCATACCTGTGTTTCTTGCATGATTTTTTTGTAATAATAATCTATTTATCCATTACATTGTGTTCCATTCTCTTCTAATAAAATAAACATTGACCCCTTTTTTTTTTCCCCTTGATGATGTAGAGGATCTGCAAAATCTCCAAAACTATTTTTAATTTTCAAAGTAGCCTAAGGCTTCACTGAAAACCTCTAAATCATTGACATGTGCCTTTTGTGTATGGAAATCACCTTATTACCAAGAGTAACAACATGTACCTTCTGTTACCCAGTCTCTTCCTGAAAATAAAAAAAGGCAAGCAGTCCATACGACAACAAAAACTTTCATAGGAACCCTGATAGCAAGTAATCCCAGAATTCTATAGCAGGAGCTGTATATAGTGTATCTGGAGTAACAATACGCGCTTCTGATTGGCGGAATACGAGTGCATTGTCATGTAACACGAGTGCAAAGTTGGAACACGAGTGCAAAATTGTAACACGGGTGCAGATTGAAAATTTTTCAAAGACTACAAATTTCACTTGCCCTACGGGCTCGTGAAATTTCGTTGTCTTTGAAAATTAACTCGTGTTTATTAACACCAAATTGTAAGAGAAATTAAAATTATAATTACCAATACAAATATATTTGAGATCCTAAACGTTTCATGATGTCGATTGTTATTCTGCAGGTATGAGATCTTGCGTGACAAGCTCCTTTTGGAGATGCTGAGACATCACATTGGTGAAGGAATGTGGACAGTGTTATCTGAAGATGAGCAGCACGAACGCCTCATGCAGTTGAAAATGCGTGTTCAGCGTCTACGTAAAGACAGCAAATTAGACGGCGCCAATTCCCTGCCTGGTGCTGGTCTCACATTCTTCTTCAATTTGTCGGCATTGATGGGTTTCAGTAGAATAGGAGATGAAATTCAGCAGCAAAAAGAAGCTGAGAAAATCAAAGAACTGGAGAAGGAAGGTGAAGATTTTCGATAAGCTTGTTTACCTCCGTGCTGCAGTAGATGTTTTATATACAATCAAATTTTGTACGTGCAATTTTTAGGCCGTGAAACTCCCAGAAGTCATTTCAGTCGGTAGCGAAACGACTTGTGATTTGTAGCAAAACGACCATAAATTTGCAGCGAAATGATTTCGATTTGCAGTGAAACAACTGGTCACCCAGAAGTCACGTATTTCTTTTAGCACTGTAGATACATTTTTCAAGCAATCTGGTGATTAAAATAGGTAAACCGGCCTTTCAGCCAAGTGTTACCTAAATACATAACCAAATTCTCGGAACTAATTTGCAGAGAAAAATATAGTATCTCGAAGGGAGAATTTATAATTTCATCGTGTTGCTGATAGGTAAACGCTGAAGAAGTCCCACTTAGAGTATTTTAAAAGCCTTTGAACTCTAACATCAGTGTGTGTTTTCTCCACACTGTTCTTTATAAGTTTCTTTAGGTAATGACAAGGAGAATATGTGTAACAATCAAGAAAGTATTGAGCTGGCGACTGATATTGATCCGTCGCGGATCAATATCAGTATATTGATCCGTCGCACCAAGGGGTTGAAGTATTTAAAAATTGTTTTAATGTTGCAACTGTCACAGGGAAAAGCAACAAGGAGATAGAGGAAGAAATGCTCAGGTCTCGTGAAAAAGCTCTACAAGGACACGCCAAGAGTGAGCAACTTCTGATAGATCTGGAGAAGCGTTATCGCCAGGATAAAGACGCCATAACTGCCAAATTGAAAGGCGCTGGTACAAATACCATGACAGCGGAGCAGAAGCTGACTGAGTATGGACTCATTCTAAGAGAGCAGTTACGTGCCCGAGAAGAAGGGAAGTTTGAGAGTGCTGGTTTAGCTGTGGGAATTGCTGAACGCGTGAAAGAGCAGGTGCAAAGGTACATGATTTTCATTTTGTATTTTGTATTGTCGTGTATGTGTACTTTGCGAGGGACAGAGAATTGGACAGACAGAAAAACGAACGATTGGGGAGGTTAACTGACAGAAAATGAAAGGAATGGAGGAGAGAAGGGATTTGAGAAGAGATAGAAGGATGGATTAATGATGAGAGCTCAAAGTTTAAAACAAGCAAACTGCAGAAAGCGCGGGAAAACGTGGATAATCAAGACGCGATTGGTATTTTCGCATCTGATTGGTTGAGACAGGGCGTAAGTTTTCTATCATTTTCAATCACAACGAAGGAAAGCAAAATCAATGAAATCTTCCATTACTTTTGACTCTCGATTGAAAATTTCTCTTTTTTTTTACTTTTACCTAATAAACCAGACCAAAAGATGACCGCAAACGACAGGAACAGCTTGGCAAAGAGCGCCTTATACAGCGGAAGGGCAGGAAGCTGCCAAGAAACTGGAAGGGAGGGGAACTGGACTTCAGTACACCAGGAGAGGCGGGTCTGGTTGATGTGTTGGAGGACACTGTCAAAGCATTGGAGAAGAAACACGCCATGGAAAGAGAGCTGCTTATTTACTTGTTACAAGGCCGGGAAAGTGTACAGGCTCGCAGTGCAGCTAAGAAACTATCTCCAGGTTAGTGGTGGAGGACAAAGTTAAGGGAGACAGATTTGTAAATGCGTTCAGTTTATGTTGGGAGAATACGTCGTAATGGATTAAAAGATTAGATAATAAAGCGGATTTACACTATTAAATGCCGCGATATTTATTAGACTCTAAGCTTTACCGCTGATTGAGTTTCGACAATGCTAAGGCAGTACATGTAGTTCACTGAAAAAATTGTCTAACAGAAGTGAACAGAATTTCCTAAATTTCTCGCGGCCGTCCTGCCTTATTGTAAAGGCATTCATTTGCAGAGCGTTTACACCCTTTTCAATATTTTTCGAAGCGGTGGATCCAGAGAGAGGGTCTGGGAGGTCCGAACCACCCCAATGCGAGTAATGGGGAGGGGGAATGTGGAGGGGGGGGGATGTGGAGGCGGGGTGGGTGTGGGTTAGTCGAGGAGTAGTTTTGTAAAAATAATAACTTGTTGTATGGTGATATTCAGACGAGCGATCCAACCAGCTGCTGGTTTTGAAAACTCAACAACAAGGCTGGCGGAAGCAAAGCTCCACAGAACGCTTGGTTAGCAAAGAACGCCATTATGCGATCCTGCAAGAAGCTGCAGGGCTGGTGATAGAAGACAGACGAACTGACCTCAGGGTATGTCGCGGTACCTCCCCTGACGATCAGGAGGTAGCGGCAGACATCATGGCTGATCTTCAGCATTACCAGGAAGTGGAGAGTCAGATGTTGTTGACACTGCATAGCAAGGTGAGGAGCAATTCATGTATGTTGTCACTATCTATCCCTTTGCGCCCTCAGTCACAAGAGCTTGCTCGCGGGCTAAAAGGACCGCGGTAAAAGGTCATATAGGCGGTGGAGGCCTGTCGGTAAATGGCTTTTATTCAAACCCCTGTTCTAAGTAAGCTCTAGGGTAGCATTTGCCTCAAAAGACATAGAGCAGGGATAGAAAGTTTTAATGTCTCTCGTGAATTAGTGGTAGTCCTAATCAGCTTTATTAATTTCCGCAGGACATGCAAGAATTGTTTCGTCTTCGACAACTGGAGCACCAATCATGGCAAGAGGAGTTGCTCGACGGGATATCATCTGTTCTTCTTGGCACAGAAGAAAATGTCTCTCAAGAGGATGAACTTCTCCAGGCTTTGGAAGAAAAATACGACACGCTTAGAGACAAGCTGCTTCTTGAAGCCTTAGAGAAACAAATGGGCGCAGCAGAATGGGCGCATCTCTCTGAACAAGAAAGACAGGCTCGGCTTGCTAAGCTAAAGCTACAGGAGAGACGTCTGAGACAACAAGGGAGGTTTGATGATGCAGCGGCTCTGTTAGGTGAAGGACTTAAGAATGCTGAGACTCTACAGGTATCGTTTCAAGATCTGATTGTCAATTCTCCCCTCTAGCTGCTAGACATTTTCTTGAAAATTAGTTATGAGAATTGATCAACAAAAAAAAATTCGCGGATAACCAAGTCGTGATCTCATCAGTAACTCTCCTTACTGTCTGCCAAGCGATTCTCGTTGTTTGTTTGGAGAATTTGGTATCGGATCAACTAATAATAATTCCATAATTGATATTTTTCTTTATTCTCATCACTTGTCTGCATGATATTGTTTTAGTGTTGCATCTGATTGGTTGAGAGGGTGGGTCGAGTTATTTTTATTAGACCAATCACACTGCACAATGATGCAAAACCAATGCAATCTGCAATAACTTTCAACACTCCGTTGAAAATTGTTCTCTTGGTGGTTTCCTCTACGTTAATTTAAAGGCCTTTTTTTTCTTCCAAATTTTTTTAAAGGCTCTTCTGGGAGAAAACCGACAGCGTTATTTAGAGCGACTTAAGGAACGCCTAGAGAGGCGCCAGAAACGACTTGAAGAAGGGTTGGATCCTGACGAAGAAGATGAGGAAACCATGCGTCTTTTAAATGAAGAAGAAGCCGTCAGTACTGGCAACATCTTAAAAGACCTGCAAAACCGTTTTGACGAGGAGAAGGATGCACTATTGCGAGGACTACAGGTACAGCGCTTTTATGTACCATAATCCTTGTTTTGTCGCATAAATTTCGCGCAGAACGCGTGCAAGGGTCGGGAATAACCAAGCGAGCGAGCGAGAAAACCCCTTTGAGTGCGCACTGACATCTCGCACGTGCCTACCAAAGCGTCATACGCTGCTCCAAGTTTACACCCGTGGACGCGTCCCATGTCTGAAGTATCAAGGTTTAAGTTACAGTGGTTCTCTGATTCAAGTCTACTCCTGGAAACCCGGCCTAAATTTGAGATCTCCAGATTAAAACTACAGTGATTCACTGACACATGTCTACACCCGGGGACCCGGCTAAAATTTAAGATCTCAAAGGGTAAAACTATAGCGATGCACTAACACAAATTCATACCCGGGGACGTGGGCTAAGTTTAGGATTACGGATGTAAAGGATACCTAAGGTTTGATTGAATGGTACTCTACTCTTTCTCTTTGTGTTATCAGGAGGAACAAGACCGGAAAGCTGCAGAAAAACGTCGTCAGGCTGAACTTGTGAGGCTCAAACGCGAGAAAAGACAAGCTGAACAAGAATCACGGTTTGATGAAGCTGCGCTGGTACTGGGGCTGGCGGAAAGAAACAGACAGAACCTTGAAGAAAAGTGAGGCAGAAACGTGACTAGTTCTTAGCTTCTTGAGAACTGATGGATCCATCTTCAAAAACTTAAAGTTTTATTGTGGTTCGTTAAATCTCTTTAACTCATTTTTTTTTTCTGGTCATCAGGTTACGCCGTGATCGGGAGCGCCAAGAACAGCTAGCAAGGGAACGATTGGCGAGAAGAAAGAGACGAGGAAAACCTGAGGAGCAGGAAGATGACGATGAACCAGATCCCGATAAAGGTTATATAGACAATAAGTAATCCCTCCTTTTCGGCCTTGTCCTTCGTGCTCGTCAATAAAAATCAGTACATGAAAAAAAATGATGTAAGAGGGCCGAGCGCATTTCTTGAAGTGAACTTACTTTTGGTGTGCCTCACTCGGCGTGGCTGAGTTGTTAGAGTGCTAGACTTGAAATCGTCTGGTTCCCTGTTCAAGTCCTCCACCCTGCAATTCACTGGATTCGTTATTATAATTATTACATTTACGTCATTGTAGTTCAGTGATAGAAAGAGCTCTAATTACATAAAATATTATAATTATTACTCCCATAGTTCAGCGCACCAACATCAACACCAATTTTTTTCACTGTTTTTTTTTTAACTCGTGCGACGGACTTCGCCGAAAAGCAAGGGACGGTTCGTAGTCTAAAGTTTATTGTACTGTTTGTTTTGTCTGTGAGTCGCAGCTGTACTCTATTTTATTTCCACTTAAATTCACTTGACGAATTCAGCGCGACTGTGTAGCTTTTTTTATCCACCTCATTTATGCAAAAAGTTGAAGAAGTAGCGTCGCTTTAAGCTAAGTCAAGTGTTTCGACCATTTTAGAGGAAGATTGTCTGTCGCTACGATTTTTGCTGTAGTTTAAAAGTAGAACGCCTCACTCCACCCCACCGTAACATTAACCTGCGCGCAGGCCCTCGTAATTGAACTTCGGGACGAGCGTTTCTCGCCCGCGGGAAAGTATGAAGCCTTAAGAAACGCGAGCCGTCGAGAGGTCAGCACAGATATTAGTCCCACGCTTCCTGCAGCGCTAATGATAACGTAGGCCCACTCTCATGCTACTGCAAAACTAGGGTTTAAATCATTTTTGTGTTTGTGTTTCGTTACCCACGTTGCCTACAACAAAACAAAGATCGTTCTTCACGATCGCCAACTTCCCCTTGATCCATAGATGATTTACAAGGCTGGCAGGACGCTGTGTTGAAGTCACTGGAGAGAAAACACCGCGCAGAACAGGAATTCTTGATGGGATTGCTTCAAGATGAGAGCAGCGAGAGCATACGAGAAGAAGCCAGAACTGTTAGTGAAGACGACAGACTTAAAAGACTCAGTGAGCTCAAAGGGAAGAGAGAGGAACTTGACTTGGGTGTTAAAGGTTAGTTTAAGATGCTATTCAAACTTAAGTTCAAGGGTTAAAGTGGATTTTGTTAAAATTTTGTTTTTGTTTTTCCTTAGCTGACCAACTTCTCCATGTCGACATCCTGGACATGGCCGCTGCTTACAAATTTGAAGTTCAGCGATACAGACTGAGTAGTGAAAAGGAAGGTGAAGTGAACGATGAAGAAGTTACAGTCGCTATGATGGCTGACTTACAAGAAGAACAAGACAAGGAAAGTGCAGGAGTCCTAGGAAATCTTCAGGAAAAGGTTGGAGGGACAAGAGAAAAAACCGTCAATTGTTACTTTACATCCTACTGTTTACTTCCCAACACTGAAAAAGCCTTGAAAAAGGCCAAGTCTCTGATTGAAAACCGCCAAGATACAAGAGCGCAAATTCCCTTCCCCACCTCCCTCCTTATGGTATATGCTGGAGATTTCATCAAAGCTGGGAAGGGGAGGGGCCGGGAGGGTGAGGGGATTTCTGACAGCAGCGAATAAATAGGACTTATAGAATATAGGGGCTTTTTCAGGATGATTAAGATTAATTAATTCTTACTCTTTGATAATAGAAATACAGTCTTTCTTACGTCCTCTCTGTCTCCAGTCCTTCATCTAAAACCTATCCTTCAGACACTGAAGTGTTGTGGGGGGAGGGGAAAGCGTAGAAACAAGAGAAAAGCCAATCAAAACTTAACCCAGGTGAGGCCAGGATAGGAATTCGAACCCAGGTTATAACGATGGGGTGGGAAATAGAGAGCGTTCTCGGCCCTGCGCCATTCTTGCTTCCCCCTCCCTTCCCTCCTCCCTCTCTCCCCCCCCCCCCCGCCCACCCTCTCAACAAAAAAGAAAAAATATCGAATCATTTTCACCGGAAACATATTTAACGAATGATTTTTTTTATCAGACTCAAGAAGAGCTATCCGCCATGAAGGAAAAATATGAACAAGAGCGGAAAGATGAGGTTGTGGAGAATGTGGCCACAGTCTTGTTAGAGTATGATGGGACTGGATCAGACAAGGATTTGATCTCAGCTCTGGATCAGAAATATGACGCGCTTAAAGACAAACTCTTACTGGAAGCTATCAAGAAGCAGTTAGGTAGGGGTGTAGTGGTTTAAATCTTCATCTTATTTTAGTCCTTAAATGTTTTTTTTTAAGTGACCGAGAGAATTAGGGAGGAAAAATTTTAGAATGCTTCTGCGAGGTTGATAACTCTGTTATTAACCTTGAAGCCTGGAGTTACAGTCGATCGTGTGCCTTCTTTGTTAAGTTAGCTGATTTAGACATGCTATTGAAGAATATGCCTGTGGTGTGTGTGTACTGTACCAGTTGAAATAATGGGATACAAGAAACCCTTTCTCTATTATTGTGAAAATGTAAGGGACGGATCCCCAACAAACAAGCCCCCGTACTAATAGACCGTTATAACCCTTCTCCTACGACAGATGTCGCCTCTCTCTCCGACTGGGCAGAGAGGTGCGATATACCGAATTACGTCTGGGATCGTAGGCTCGTCTCCTAGATGCGAAAAGACTACCCTGCGATGTCTTCATTTTATTGTAATACTTTTGCGACAATAAAGCCTCAACCTATGAGAGTATTATCAACGGTCAGTCAGAATGAAGACAAAAATGACAATGAACCGATGATAACTCAAAAAAGTATTGGCAGACGATGACAGGTCCTTGAGCACGGGAAAACGTGACCGATCAAGTTTCGATTAGCCTCAACTTTACGTCTGATTGGTTGTCGGAGAAGGTGACGCGAGTTTCTTTCGGCCGATCCCAGTGCACAATGCTCAGTGCACTACTGCAAACCTGGAGAATTTTTGGAACTGAATGTAAAAAAGTCTCATTACTTTTTCGTACCGTTTCATGTAGGAGACGCCGAATGGGCGCAGCTGTCAGAGCAGGAACGGCAGAAGAGACTTGTGAAGCTCAAATTAGAGGAACGACGACTGCGAAAGGAAGGACAATTGGATGAACTGCACCGTCTGCTGGGAGAAGGATTTGAAATGGACGCCAATCTAAGAAAATTGATGGGTGAAAACAAAGCAAGGTGTGTTTAATGTTACCGTCAATGACCGCAAGCCATGAAACTGTGAGTATCGAATTTCGACTTTCTGGAGGGTAGGGAGAGTAGGGGGCTGAATGATCATTTTTTGAATCACCAGACACGATATGAAAAATTACCCTCAACGTTAAAAGGAAACAAGAAACAATTAGTTTGGTGATGATATTTGCTGGCTACATCGCAAATGAACAGATAGTGGTAATCATGATGAAAATTGGCCAAACAAGATCTTCAGGATCCTTAAGTGATCGAGATTAGCGGCCATCCGGTCGTCTGAGACGACCAGAAAGTTTATCGCTTAACCAACTACTGGTAAAATTAAGAGGCTTTTTTCATTCCCCTTCCAACTTTTTGAAATTCTAATTGTGACAGGTACGAGGAAAAACTGAAGGAGCGACTAGCAAAACGGAGGGAGCGATTAGCTCAGGGATTGACGCCTGATGACGATGATGAGGCAGAGTTGGAGGATGGTGAGGCGGAAGGAGAAGGAGTAACAGATTTGAAAGCTATCTTGGAAGATATGGACAAAAGGTACTTGGTAGAACTTTATTCATAGCTTGATTTACCAGGCTGAAAGTTTTTTTAGAGGTTCCTCCGTTCATCCGCCCGCGGGAAGATTTGACACGAGTCGGGGAGAGGTTTGGTGGGGGTTTGGCACTAATAATGATTAGTGCCAGACCCCTGGCAGACCTCTCGTCGGCTCGCTTTTCTCAAGGATTCAGACTTTCTCGCGGGCGAAGAAAACCTCGTGTCGCAGCGTAAATAATGACAACAGTTTTGATGTTAACCGATGTTTTTGTGGAGTGAAATGCGACCATTTATCCCGGCTGTGTTGCGTATGGATTATTTTACTTTACGGAATTTGCAATGACTTTCAGAAGAGAATACTCCGCATCTGTCGTTTCTTATCCTTTCTTTAGGGAACAGTGGTGTAGAATTTCTTGTTGTTCGAAGCCGAGTGATGCCCTAAGAATTAAACCCAAGTGCTTGTTCCTGTGTCATACTTTGAATGTCGAGAGCTCGGTTTTAGAATGGCTTTTCCTACTCGGAATGTTCAGATATTGTCTTCCTTAAGTGATTTATGGAATTGGTAGCCTGTTTTAGTTGTGCAATTAGTAAAACGCAGCGGAATACTAAAAGGTGCAATAGCACCGGCGGAGCGAAAACGAAAACAAGGTCTGGTTGTGAATATCATAACGCGACTCGACCCAAACCTTTCTCCGCTACTATGGCGCCGTTTGCTTTTGTGCTTCGTTTTACCAACTAAACGCTTGGAAAAAGCCCTGGAATTTGATATAGGGAGGTGAGAGAACTTGCCCAACTAAGAATGATCAGGTCCTGTCTTCTCCAAAGTTATCCACTGAATTTGATATAAGGAGGTAAAGAGAATTTACCATCTCGTCACTGCTTTCTTTAGATACGAGGAGGAGAAGGAAGCGCTGATGCGTAGTTTACAAGGAAAAGACGAACACTTCATGAGCGAAAGACAGAGACAGGCTGAACTGGCTCGTCTGAAACGAGAGAAACTGAAAGCGAAACAAGAAGACAAGTTTATCACGGCCGCGTTGGTACTGGGACTGGCTGAGAAACAGAAAGCTGCAGTGGAAGAAAGGTTGGGGACCAGTCATTTTTTATCGCGGGGGGGTGGAGAGGGAGGGGGGAGGGGAGGGGTGGTGGAGGATGTTGGGGGGGAGATTATATGGTTTTCCGGGGGAACAGAGATAAGTCGTCGCTAACAGAGTATAAAAAGGGAACTGTGGAAAATTGACCGCCAGTGAAGGGGATGTAACCGATGTTGGAATCTAAAGGTGATAAACTTTTCTCTTTTTGTGTTTCTAGGCTTCGTCAAGACCGTTTGCGACAGGAACAATTGGCACGAGAACGACTGGAACAATTGCGTAACCGCAAAAGAGCCAAAGAACAAGAGGCCGAGGAGAAACTGGTGACTGACGGGGAAGTCAGCGTCTTACAAGAAGCTGTAATGAAGGCACTGGAACGGAAACATCAGGATGAACGGCAGGTGAGTATCAGATAAGTAAATCGAACCAGGGAAATCTTAAAAAGAGACGTAGGATTTTCTCTAGATGGACCATATTTCAATTTTTATACTGCTTTTCCGCGTCTCCCCTTAAAAAAACTAAACAAAAATTTTAAAAACAGTTAATCAGAACAAAAGAACAGGGCAGAAGGAGTTGATGGGAACCAAAACAAACCACGCACGTGTAAATTGTCTTAAAGGCGGGAAAACGTGAATGACTTAGTTCGCCATCTGATTGGTGGAGAGGGCGGCGTAAGTTTGGTTTGGACCAATCAAATAGCGTATTGAAACGAAACAAATGCATCCCTCGTCCCTAACCAAGTACACCGCGTGGGTTTGACTTCTCATCCCAATTTCGTGGGCTCGACGCCTCGTAGGGTCTCAGATATTTCAATCTTGTTTTTGTTGTTTTGGATTCTTTATGCACTTAACATATTCTGGAGAAAGGTATGGATTTTCAAGCTCAATTCTCGCTTGAGGACGCAGGCGAAATTTAAGGAAAAAAACAAAGGAGAATTTCTGATTTGATCATGGGTCTTTATTAGGCTTTACTTGACGTGTTGCAACAAGAAATGCCGGAATTAGCTGAGGCCGCCGCGACGATGACTCAACAACAGCGAGAGAATTGGCTCCAGCAGATCAGCATGAAAATGAAAGGTCTTGATCCAGGTATGGAAATACTTTTAAGATCTAAGATCGCTCTCTCCTTTTTAACTAAGTTGAACGCTTTTACAAAAGCGAGTTTTCAAAGTCAAGTTTTCCTTATTCATCTTGTTCCATTCACAGCCGACAAAGAGGCCCGTCATAATTTACTCGTGGAAGCTGCTGTTTTTAAAGTTGTAAACCGACAGAAGTATCTGGAACTGTCGCAAGAGGAAACTGTGAAGAAAGATGATGTTATTGTGTCGCTGTTGGCAGACTTGCAGCAGGAACAGGACCAAGAAAGCGAAAAACTTGTGAATGAAATGCAGGACAAGGTATGTTACGTCTCTTTGGTGGTCTGTGTAATTCAGTAAAGAGCTTTTCTATTGAATGTCCTAAAACCACAACGTAATAATCACATGGCCAATCAGAATTAACGTGAATATCACAACCGACAAGGAGCCAACTGAAAGTGGAATCAGGCGCGGGAAAACGCGGGTGACCAAATTGCGATTGCTCAAGGTGCTTATTTTGATCATAATTAATTCAATGTGACTTGTACCCTTGAAATATGGAACTGATTCTAAACAATGCCAACAAGTTTTAGTCATATTTACATTAGAATCCGTAATATATTTCTGTTGTGAGCCAAGATGGTGCTTCTTGTCTTCCCAAGTTGTCTCGTTCAAAATATTTGGTTGTTTCTTCTTGGACGTAAACGTTGAGCCAGTTTGATTTGTATTGTCTTTTCGGTTCAGGATAAAACAGAGTTAGTGCAACTTCAAGAAAACCTCTTCCAAGCGCGAAAAGACGCCTCCCAACCGAACGTCGTTGCAGTTGTCACGCAAGCTGAAATCTGGGGCACGGCTAACGAGCGTGACCTGTCACAAGCCCTGAATTACAAGTATGACGTGTTGAAAGACAGGCTACTGCGTGACGCTCTTATGCAACAAGTTGGCTTGACTGAGTGGGAGGCACTTTCTGAGAATGATCGTTTATCCAGACTGGCGCAGATGAAACTGAAAGTACAGGCTTTACAAAGTGAAGGTAAACCTTTCATACTTCTTCCTTGAGCTCAAAACGTTTTTACAGGATGTCTTTAGGCGGTGGTTAAATGACAAAAAAAACTTAAAAATAAATTTGAACATTCCACGCGAGCGTGATACAGAATGAAAATCTGAGTCTGCCACGAGATTTTAAACTCCTTTCAGTTCCGACTTTGCATACAAGTGCTTTAACTAGAGTACATTTATGTAGCGTGTTGCAAAACCAAAAGGAACTGCTGATCAGACAATGGAAAATATCGCAACGTCCCATTGAAAATTTATAGTAGAAACAAACTGCTCATAACGCAGATTGACCAAGTCACCGCGAGTTTCCGGACCAATCACTCTGTGAAATAAAGCGAAACTAAAGCAATCTCGGATTACTTTCGACATTCAGTCGAAAATTGCTCCAACTTAGCTAAAGAAGGCTTATTAGAGAGCTAGGAAATGTTCCGGGCTCCTGTTGATACTGAGTTATTTTGTAATCAGCTTTCGATAAAATAACTTTACTTTTAGACTTAGTTGGAAATAACTCTTTTAAAATTATCAAAAGAGCTTGAAGTTTCAGTTGCTTGCTGCCTCTTCCTGAGACCATGTGTTTGTGACCTGATTCAATGTAGGAAAACAACACGAACTGAAACAGCTTTTAGGTGAAGCAGCAGCCATTAATCTCATGTCACTGATGGGTGCGAATGGCACGCAGCAGAAGCAACGGCAGAATGAACGACAACAAAAGAGGGAGGAAAGAAAATCTCAAGGAATGTCAGACGAGGAAATTCTCAAACTCGAGGCTGAAGAAGATGTCCAAGCTGAGGAAGAGGCGCTTAAAAAATCCACCGGGAGTACAGTTCAGGATCTTGAGGTAAATATCTCTGTTTATCGGAAGTTTTTGGACCAAATTTGTACCTGACAACAACGCCGTGAGAAAATACTCGAAGTAATACAACATAGATTATTTAGTTTTATGGAATGAGTTGATACCGTAAACTGGCCACCGTAAAGAGTTTCTTAAGCTGACGTTTCCAGCGTTAGCCTTTAATTACAGCGAATGGCAAGGGACTAACGCTCGAAACGTCAGCTTTAGAAAGTCGTTACGGTGCCAAGTTAAATTATCAACTCAGTTGATAAAACCAGTTTATCTTGTATTGCCCCCAGCGAGGCAACACACAATTTTTTAGAAACTTACCCCTTTATTCATTTGTCGTAATATAACGTACATCATTTAAACCTACTCAATCTATGAATTATCAGTTGTGGTGGGTAGGCGGACGTTTCTCAGAAGATGTTATCTTCTCAGAATGATGTTATCTCTCATGTTTTGCTTTAGAATCGTCTCAGTATTGAAACAGACAGCCTGTTAGCTGACGTTCGCGGGGCCGACGCTAAATTTGAAAGCGAGCAACACCGACATGCGCAGTTGGCGCGAATCCGTCATGAGGAGAGGCAGGCCTTGCAGGAGAGCTCGTTCCAACCTTCCGCTCTGGTGCTTGGACTTGCGCAAGCTCGTCAGGTTAACATGGATAGCAGGTAAAGAGTGACCACCATCTGATTTCTCCCTATAGTATCACTGGCGAATTAAACGTTTAAGTAACGAGAATAACGGAAATGATCAAGAACTACAGAATGTACAGCTGGACTATTTTTGAAGTGTTTTCAATTCGCGCCGTTTTACAGCAAATTTTTGGCCCACGAGCGTTTGTACCATTAGAAAATTGCATAGTTTTTATGGCTATTATCGCCTTGGGGGAAGGGGGGGAGCTTGTGGTGGAGGATTGTGGTTAAGAGGAGGGGGGGCTGGGGGCTGGGGGCTGGAGAAATTGGTTGTGTAACAATAAAATTTATCCGATCCCCCCTAAGGCTCTGCCGTATTCTAATGATCCTCCTCATTGGCAGTCAATTGTGTATAGTCCCCCGTTTATGTTCTGTTAGCGACGACTGATCCTTCCTCCGTACCCCCTGAAAACCTTAAAATGTGTTCCCCCAAGCTCCACGACCCCACCCCCTCCTCCCCTAAACTGGCCATCGATAATGACTAGTCCCAGAGTTTGATTTTTTTTTTATTATAGCTCCAAACAGGATCAGGACCGTCAAAAGCAATTGGCCCAAAAGAGATTAATCGCGTGGCAACAGAAAGACCAATCAGAGATGAATAAAGTTAAGGAACAGCTGAAGGCATTGGAGACTGGAAGCGAACCCGAACCAGTCTCCAGTACGAGCATTGGAGCTCTGCAGGTTTGTGTGGTTACAAAGCTACAAGGGATTTAAGGTGCTTCAGCTTAGCTAGTAGGATTTTCATGAATCCTTTTCGCACGCGTATTCGTCAGTGTCAGTGTAATTCCGAGAGAAGCCCGACCCTTAGTTACATGAAAGACAAGAAATATTGGGAAACTCCTAACCACATTTTCACCAATCAATTTTCAAGCTGAAAGATGTGGAGAAGAAATGGAGTTCGGTTTATAAATCCAGCATTCTCTAAGTTATATGAGCCACAGGTCGGAATAAGATTCACTGGCGTTGGGAGAACAAAAAGACGAACAAAACGAACTAAAACTACTTTTAAAACGTCGAATTTCCTCCGCCGATTTACGTCTGATTTCAGTCAGCTTCGATCTGCCACGATGTCTTATTGATCGAGGAGGCAATCCTGCATTCGGCAAGTTTCTTAAGTTTTCTAATTAGTTGCCGAAATACTGAAACAGTTTGAGTTAATTCACGGGTGTAGTGAATGTTTTCAAAGCCTTTCTTCCATGAGGGTAAGCCTGAGGGCTTGTTTCACAATTTTCATTGTTTGTTTGTTTCTTTTTTTTGTTAAGATATTATGGTCAGAAGTCGTGTTTAATTTCGTTGTACTATGCGCTTCATTTCGCAGGAGGCGGTGTTGAAAGAAATGGAACGCAAACATCTGTGTGAGCTCCTAGTTCTAGAACGTTTGATCAGCGAAGAAAAAGAAAGTGACCTCAGGAAAACAACTCAACAACTTAATAAAGAACAACAGCAAGAGAGGTTATTCGAACTGAAGGTTTGTGCGATCAGTTCTAATTTTTTTTCAGTTGTAGAGCTTTCTAAAGACTTGTCGGAGATTGTAGCAGAAGGTGGTAAATTCTTAAATTGGTTGTAGAGTAAGGGAAATGTTAACCATTTGGCAAAAGAGGCCGAAGTGAAATATACAAGTCTGTTCCGATTTTGCGGTCAGCGCACTTCCAGCAACTGAGAACTTTGTGGTGAGCAGGGTTATTAGTAGGTTCATATGTGACAAACGGGCTACGTGGAGGTTGGAGGGTGAAAAAATGGTAAACTGTAAGTTTTTTTTCGTCGAATAAAGGCTTGCTCACTGTTGTTGTATCATCTACATGATTATCGCCTCTATTTCCAGGAACTACGAAAACAGTGGCGGGAGTCTGGACCCGAAGAAATGACAGAGACCGCTGACGAGCAAGAAGCGATACTGCGAGAAGGTGTAGGCTTGAAGCTTGAACTGAGCCGTGAGGAACTGAGGCAGAAGGCTGCAGGGGAAGGAAAGGAACTGGGGCCGGATGACCATTCTGTGTCTCTACTCGCCGCCCTTCAGCAACATCAGGAACAAGAAGCTGAATATTTGCTGCGAGATCTTGCTGTGAAGGTAAGGAACAGAGTCTTTGGGGAAAGCAGTTTGTATTCCTTACTTTTAATGCAAATGTTGGTCAAGACGGCTCCAACTATTCAGTCTGTGGATGAAAGCAAAGTGAAAGCTTTTGAGAAGTTCACGTGGTTATGGTTTTTTTATTGCTGTAGAGGGTGGTTCTATCTCTTAACCCTTTACACCCTAACATCGGTATGCACACTCTCCATACTACTCTCTATAACTTTCCAAGGTGCTGATAAGGAGAATTTGTTTAACAATCAAGAGCTTCCTTAGTTGGTGATCATTTCCTTTCTTCTCCTGACCTTAATGTTTGACTCAGAGGTGATACTGTAAGGAGAAATTAGATGCTGATCACTCTTAGGAACCAAAGGGTTAAGTCGGTGGATGATTGGATGAAATCGTAGGTTATGGCCCTTCAAATGAAAGATACTGAGCAGTGCTTTGATATGGTCTTGTTTATTATGTCGTGGTTGAAACTTTTACGTCTGTGGATGAAACCTCAGTGTATGACCACAAATGAAACCTTCTGTGAAGCGCTTTCATTTGGTATTATGCTGTCCAGGGCGGTTCTCTGTTGAACTTTTTCGAAGAAACCCAAGTTTGTGACAGTCAGTCAAATACTCTCATGTGAAACTGTATTTTTGTACTGTACAAGGTGCAATGTAATGTCGTGTTTCAGTCAATGATGTAACGATTCAAGAAAGTCTCGCGTCTACTAATTTATTTCATCGTTCTTGTTTAGAATCCCATGGTGCTTAAGCAGCTTCAAAGCGTGCACTCGATGGCTTGCAAAGAACGTTGGTACGACAATCTGGCTGCCTGTGTGTTGGGTCTGAAGAGAAAACAAGCTCGCCTCACAACGGAGGAATCTGCAGAAGAGGAACTGGTAGAGGCACTGGAGCAGAAGTATGACGCCTTGAAGGACAAACTGCTGACAGAAGTCCTCATGAAACAGATGGGAGACGCGGAATGGGCGGCTCTGTCCGAGAGGGAGAGGCAGGCCAAGCTGCTGAAGCTGAAGCTGCAGGAGAGGAGGCTAAGGCAGGAGGGAAAGTTAGACGAGGCCTCTAGGTAAGTGGAACAGGAATGAGGCAGTGGTGAGGGCGCTGGATTCCTAACGCAGGGGCTTTGATTGGCGTCCCGATCCTAAAATCAGATGCTGGTTGAGTTCATTGTAGTGCTTGTTTCGAGGGATTTTCACCAGCTTGTCATATTTTATCCCTCCAGAAAACCCAATAGTTTAGGGATGTGTGGACAAAGAGAAACTAGGTGGAGGTGATGCTGCTAAATTTATTTATTGATTTATTTTGTTTAAATATTTTCAAGAAACCAGACCGAGAGTTTTCATTCAAGATTTTAATGCCTCCTGCACTACCTTTGTTCTTGGTGAAGTATTTTCTCACGGGAGACTTGACCTTGAAAGAAAATTCAGTTTTTATTTTCCAGTTGGGTATATTTTGTTTTTCTTTCCCTGTTTTTTTTCATTTTCCTCTTTGAAACCTCTATGTCGAATGAAAATTAATTTCTTGACTGTGTTAACAATTGCATGCTTTTTCTTTTTCCTTTCTAATACCAGGTTACTTGGCGAAGGAATGAAACACGACGCAGCTTTGCGCGCCCTGATGGGCGAATCAAGGTCGCAACAAAAACAACGTCTGCAGGAAAGACTTGAAAAGCTACGTAAGATGAGACAACAGGGAGAAGAAGTAAATCAAGAAGAAATGGCTGCACTTGAACAAGTAGAAGCAGAAGGAGTTGATGCAGTGGATGCTGACGTATTGAATCACCTGATCGAGGAAACAGTAACAGATGCTGAACAAGTCACAACGAATACCCTGCTGAATGATCTAACGGTATGGTTTTCCCCCCTCCTCTTTCTTATAAATTACCCCTGGGATTCTTTTCTACCCTTCTCATTTGACTTCCTCATCATTGTTTTTCCATGCATCTCCCTCCTTTCCTTCTTTCTCCCGCTTTCGAATTCCATGCTCTATACCCCCCCCCCCGCTTCCCTTCTCGTAAATATCCTCTTCCTCTCACCTTGTCCTTTCCTCCAGTTTCATAATTCCTAACTCTCCACTTCTCTTCCTTTACACACTTTCCCATATGTCTTAGCTAACCCTTCCCTTTCCTATATTTTTTCTTTTCATTTCCCTCCTATTTTCCCCTTCCCTTTTTTAAACAGTTTCCTCTTCCCTTCCACCCTTTATTCCTCCTCCTTACCCTTACTCTTTCTATGTCATAACTCTTAGCCTTCGAGGTACTTTTTTTTCCTGCGTCATTTTTTTTCCATCCTCTCTTTCCCCTTAAAAAATTTCTCATATTCATTTTCTTCTTTCGAACAAAATGCCACACCAACTCTTGTCAGTCTCTCTTAAGTCTCCTCCATTGGATTGCAAAAGACCCTGTTTAAATCTCTCATGCTTTATTTTATAGTCTCAATTTGAGGAAGAAAAAGAAGCCCTGCTGCGAGGTCTCCGCGAGAAAGACGCGAGATTTGGTAGCGAGAGGAAGCGACAACTAGAACTGGCAAAACTGAAGCGAGAACAGCGAAGACTCAAACAGGAAGACAACTTCGATACAGCTGCTGTTCTATTTGGGTTAGCCAAACAGGAACAGGCCGCCAGAGAGGCAAAGTAAGTTGCTTGCGTTAAGTTAGAGAAGTTTTGAATAAAGTCGTAAAACCAAAAGCAAAGTGATCACATCGGCCAATCAGAGCAAAGGAGAACGTCATCATTAACCAATGAGAACCCAAAGTAAGACCGGCGATCTGCTTGAAGCGCGGGAAAACGCGAGTGACCAAATGGGGATTGGTTTTAGTTTTTTTATTTGATTGGTTGAGATGATGGCGCCAGGTTTCTGGACCAATCACAGAGCAAAGTGAAGAAAAACCAAAGCAATCCCTACTCTACGTTACCATGTATTACCGATGGCGTAGCTCCATCTTTTTTTTCTCCCCCTCTTCCCCCCCCCCCTCCCCATCCCCACGGACTTGGTTGAGAAGGGGATGCGATGTTTTTAGACCAATCACGGAGCAAATAAAGTAACATCGAAGTCGTTCCAGATAATTTTTGACGCTTGATCGAAAATTTCTAGTTTTGACAAAGTAACCCTGTTTCTGTTGCAGCTTTGAGAAGGATCGCGCAAGACAGGAGCAACTTGCTCGTGAGCGCATCGCAGCCATCAAGGCTCGCCGGGCGGCAAATAGGGAAAAATCTGAGGAAGAGGCACAAAAGGAACTGGAGGAGAAACTTCTGAAGGAGCAGGCAGAGGACAGTGAGATTGACAAGAGGAACGCACTGGATGTGGAGCAAGGAGGACTGGCACAACTACAGGAGGCCATTTTGAGTGAGGTGGAGAGAAAACACTCTTCAGAACAAGAGGTATTTTTCGTGAACGGTTACATGAAGTATAAAAGATCCTTGTTTCCTGCTGTTAGGAGGGGTGCACAAACAGACTCATCTCGGAATTGTTTCAAAAAAGCCACCTACATATTGCTCCTGGGTTTGAGAGCAAAAGAGCGAACCTCGATTGAGTGACGTAAAACCAAAACCGAAGTAATCACAACCAGCCAATGAGAACAACGGAAAATATCACAAGGAGCCAATGAGAACTCGAATAAACAATCTCGGGTAACAATCGTCAAATGTTCGTGAAACGGATAGTTCCGATAGACCGCCAAATGGATTTTGATTGGCTCCGATGTTATTCCAATGTCACATACTTACGCTCGTGAACCCACATGATAGCGAAATTACTAGTGCATCTGCGCAATAGTCACAAAAACGAGAAAACTGCTAGAAGCGTGGGAACACGCAAGAAGAGAAGACGCTTTTCGGTTAGGTGCCTGGCGCGAGTGTTCTGGACCAGTCTCAGGGAGAAGTAAAGAAAAACAATACAAATCTCTAATCTTGTTTGACAGTCCGTAAGAAATTGCCCTTCGAGAAATGTGTAGAAATGACGGTTAAGAATCTCTTTTCACTCATCTAGGCACTCACAGACCTCTTGGCCAAAGCTGATGCAGATCAAGATGGTTTAGCCGCAGCCAGGTATTTAACTGAGACAGAACGACAACAACGAGTGGATGAACTAGGCAATCAGAGGAGAGCTTGGAGATTGGATGCAGTTCGGGATGCAATGCAGGCTGTTCCTGATGAATTACAAACAGAGGTATGGATTTTTCCTCCTTTTGTTTCTCACCTCTTCGCGTTTCCACTTTCGTTTCCGTTCGTTTTCCTTTTAAGCATGCCGATTTCTGTCGTTTGATATTGGTATCATCCCCAAGGTTTCCTAACGCTCCTTTACTAGCATTTTACTTTGTCCATAAGTTTTTCTTCCATTTTTAATTTAAATTGAAAAAAAAATGGATACTGTAAATTACGAAACAGTTATTTTCCGCTCGAATTTTCGCGCGGGCCGTAAATCTGAGCGGAAAAACTAGGTGTCGTAAATTACAGTACGGACCGAGAAAACAAGGTTAGTAAGATCTTTATTATATTTCTCGGTTCAAATAGAGGGGAAAGCTCTCAATTCATGCAGACGCGTTTAATATCAGCGAGCCGCACAGTGAAGTCGCAGGCGCGTCCAAGTGCGCAAGCGCCGGCACGTATTACCGAGAGCTATAATAATGTAGCTTACATTTGTCTTACTGTTGTCAAATTCACAGGAAGAGAAGAAGGCTAATGCAACTCGTATTGCTGAAAGCCGAGCTAAGCACATGAACTTCTTAAAAGAGGCATTGGTTCTCCATATAGAGACCAAACGAGCACAGCTCTTAACACAAGGAGTTGACGAAGAGAAACTTCAAGAAGAAATATCTGTTCTTATCATGGCTGATTTACAAGAAAAGCAAATGACCGAGAACAATGCTGTTGCCAACATTTTGGGCGCCGACAAGGTTAGTCAATTTCAAACAGGTGAAACAGGATCCGAGCAAAAAGGTCGCTAAGGCTTACATATTTGGAAGTGGAATTTCAGGGATTCTGAAGGTGTTTTATCTGGGAAGGGTCCTTAGGGCGCTTTTCGACTGAGTGTTGTGACACCAGAGTAATCACTAGGGCCAATCAGGACAGTCAGCGGAGAGGAAAATAGCAATAAGAGCCAATGAGAAATTACAGTAAAACCGACTAAAATGCTGGAAAATGCGGGCGATCAAGTCGTGATTAATTTTAATTTTGTATCTGATTATAAGCTTAGTTTTTTTTTGGTAGACAACTGAAATTTAGATGTTCATCCTATTTCTGGATTGTGTTGTGTGGATATTTGTTTCTTCATGACGATGTTTTACAGTTTTGGATGACGTGCCTTTCATTCAACAATTTGTGAAATTTACTTTTCACAGGACGAGTCCGTCTTGGCGCGAATCAGAACTGATCAGCGCATGGCACGCCGAGAAGGATGGATGGACAACTTGGCTGCAACTTTAATGGGTTCCCGTCCAGTGAGAAAAAGAAGCACAACTCTGGTAATAAGATATCCGTTGATCAAAGTTGACATTCTCTTAGTTGTTTCCATAAATTTCCCTTAATTGACCTTTTGAGAAGTGTTATCTTTATTCAAATTAATTTTTGGATCTATTGGTTTTTAATTAAGCTTCAAAACGACACGATAAAACGAACTCATTTCAGGACATTTGGAATAGAAATAAAACGAACATAACGAACATTACGAACGAAACCGGAACATAACAAAACGGAAGTTCAGATTTTTCCCTTGAATTTAAACTTTGATAATTAAAAGGAAGTTATTAACTTATTGTTCCTCAACAATTTTTCATAATCTCTGTTTGTAGTAGTCCAGAATTCCTATATCTCTAAAGAGGAAAAGATTAAGGAAGGGGCTGATATCGGGTGCATCTTTTTATTGCAGTAGGGGAAGGGAGGGTTCATGAGTGGGGGGGAGGGGAGGGGAGAGGGTTTAGTAAGAGGGCGGGGGAAGGGGAGGGCTTATAAGCGGCAGTTTAGGATAGTCGTGGTTTACTTAACTTCTTAAGATAGCAAACACTTAGAGTTAGATTGTTACTTGTCGGAGTTATCGTACGTTATCTAGCAATCATGTGTCGAGAATAACAAAGCATATAGGTTGGACGGTGCTAATTTAATCTTAACTAATATACAAGGAAGTGTGCAACCGCTGGATAGGAGTATTAATAACAAATCTCTAGTGTTTACTGACTCAATACTCTTCTCACGACAGGCGCCGTCAACTATGATGGCGAATCTGGCCGAAGCAGACGAGGAAGAAGTTCGTTTGGAGGAAGAACAGGAAGCGAAGCTGGCAGAGTTGGAAGCTGAGATGGAGAACGAAAAAGAAGCTCGAAAGTTGGCTGGAGCCACAGAAGAGGAGATACAGAGAGCAATGGAGTTATTACAGAAACAGCATGACGCCAAGAGAAAGGTAAACTTCTTGTTTTAAAAGATTTATCATTTATCCAGACTGAATTGGTTTTTAAAGAGGCCACCCTACTTTTTCTGCTTCTTGGAATGCATGGTTAAAAATCTCAAATTTCGGCAATGATGACTTATGTTAATCTTTTTACGTGAATTTATTCCCGTCATCAAAGCTACCAGCCCCTAAGAGTTGGTTTTTTCCAATGTCTTTTTCGACCTAAACACATTCCTTCCTCTATCAACAAAATTTAGCTCCATTTCTTATTAAAAACTGAAAGGCGTTTTGGCATCGTGTCGTTAAAGGAAAACTGATCAGAAAATAGAGAATTACCACTAAAAAGCCAATGAGGGCGCAAACAGACTTGACAAGGTCACGATTGGGTTAAGCCTTTAATTGGCTGAGAGGGAGGTGCAGGTTTTCTCGACCAATCACAGAGAGAATTTGATAAACAAAACCATTGCCATCCCTGGTAACGTTTAACGTTCATTTGCAGAATCGTTTTGATATTTTCTCTGTGTTCCTCAGGCTATGGCGGCTGATGTAGAGAGACAGCGTAATATGGTGCGGCAAAGGCTGGAGGCCAAACGGAGGAAACGAGAAGAACAACAGTACGAAGAAGACATGGCGGCTTCTATTGTGACAATGGCCGAGAAACAGTTCGCTCTTATCCGAGAGAAGACAATGTTGAGAAGAGAAGGACAGAAAGACACGGTGCGTCATTGCGCATTTTAGAAAATGTAGCTTAGGTAGTTATTTTCAATCCATCTTAATCTTCTCCATCATTTGCCGTCCTTGTTCCTGCTTTGTTAAGTATTGCCACTTCTATGTATTTCTATCCGATAGAACTCATATTTTGTAGTCATTTGCAATCCGCTCCAATCTTCTTCATTCTTAACCTTTCCCGTAGCTTCTTAGTTTATTAATTCCCCTTGTATGTTGAACTATCTTACCAAACTAATATTTTATTGCTAATATTATTGTTATTATTATTTTTTTCATATATCCATCATCAGCCATTCCTGTTTCTTCTTGGTTTATTGTTGTTTCTGTAGTGTTTTCTATTTTACTGCGCTCAGATATTTGGCATTTTTCAGTTCGCGTTTATCATTAACGTGAATTGTAAGACAGTCTTATCCATCCTTAGCTCTCGTTGCTTCTTTCTCTGTTGATTATTATTTTATTGTTATCTTCACCAAACAAAAATATTTTATCCTCCTTCAAGTGAGTGGGAGGTACCTAAGATATTCTTAAGTTGCCCTTTAGTGGATAAACGCCAGCGCCAATTTCTCACTGAAACGAAACAAATTGTTAGCACTGATCCATGCTAAAATTCATCGGCTTGCCTCGTTTCTTGTCACACTCAAGTTTTCCACCAGGGGAAGCGATGGTTTTTAGACGGAAGAAAGGACAATTTCAATCGAATTTGTTGGCAAGTCTCATTTGTCCGCCAGTGAAGGGGTCAAATGAAAGCACAGCCTGTAGAATTCATTGTTTTTCATAGAATAAAATGTTGCCGCTCTAAATCATTTTAATTAAATCACGTCAATTCTTATAAGCGTAAAATTTACCGTCGGAAATCACTTGTTTTATTAGAAAAAAACATTGAAATACAGCTAAATTTACGCTTCTTTCCGCAACACGTATGTTACCTGAAATATATAATTCTGACCTGGACGCTATTAATCTGTTCTTATGACAGCTAAATGAACGCTTGGCGCGTAGAAGAGCAGAGCGTGAAAAGAAAAAAGCCGAGGAGGAAGAGGCCAGAAGAAAAGAGGAAGAAGAAGCGACCAGAAAGAAGGCTGAGGAAGAAGCAAAGAAGGCGGAAGAACCGAAACAGGCTCCAGCGGACTATCCATTACCGGTAAGAAGAGAACTATGAGTAACCTTAATGGAAATTGTCCGCACAATACCAATGCGTTTTTTAAGCAGAGAGGTGATAAGAAGAAAGAAAAAAAAATCAAGTAGGGTGTACTGTTTGAATTTACAATTAATTCCCAGAGCAAAGAGTACAAGACATGTATGGTAGATAGTGCGGGCAATTGATGTTTGGGTTAACTCAAGGGGTTGACGTTTGTCGCAATCGTTGTGCATAGAGAAATCTGAGCCCATGGGTATATTACAGCGGTCAAACGAGGGTATGCACAAATGGATCAATTCTGGTCAGCCGCGTATCAAAATTTTCCGCGCAAAATTATCAAGGAAAACAGAAGAAAACGGGTTTAGCGTAAAATTTACGGACGACAAAGAAAAATAAAGATTTCATCATACTGAGATGTTACTGCTTCTTTTTTACGGGTGTTTTTGATTAGTTATTCGTCCATGTTTTGTTTGAATTAGGGCGGCTTTGCTATGAAGCGAGAAAAGACAGTGATAGACGTAGAAGTCTCCAAAGAGAAGCAACAAGAAATCCTGTCATCTCTGTTACGTGAGCACACCAATGTTGGAATGAAGTTTGAACGAGAGAGAACTCGTCAAGAGGAAATGGTATGTTTTAGTTCTAATCACCCGGACAATACAAAGGATTCTTAACGCGCTTTAAAAGCTATAACGCTATAAACGTCAGTAGAAAGAGCAAGAAACGCATTTGCTGTTGTGATGAAAACTAAATTTGGAGACGGGATGACGGAAGTTCTGGCATTTTCAAGGCCTTAAAAGTCGTCAAATTTGGTTGTGAGTTGAGGGAAGTCATCAGGTCGGAGGAAAAGGATCTCTCTGCAAAACAAATAAAAGAAAGATGAGCCGTGATTGAAATACCTTTTTCAAATCATTTTGAAATCAGGCTTTTGGTCACAAGTCAAGGTTGATGTCAAAAAGTGCACAAAGAATTATTAATAGTCGTAGTTCGTAAAAGTTCAAAGTGATCTCGGCAAATTTTACGTTTGACTTCACCAAGTTTCTTTTGTTTTCGTTCAGCTGAAAGCCCGGAAAGAAAGGAAAAAGTCTCGAATTGAACGAAAACAGGAAGAGGTGGCGACCATTATGGGTCTGGGAGAGAGACAGAAGACATTTGTGGAGCAACGGAAGAAAGTAAGTTTTCTTTCATTCCTTTGTTTCTTTTTCATAAATGCCCTAATCCATCTTACCGTCGTCGCATTTTACCCGAATTTGTTGATAGTTTGCGTTGTTGTTGTTCTATTTACCCATATTTTCAACTTCTGTTTACTTACGTTTGCTATTTCCATCCATAGGAAGAACGCGAACGTCAAATTACCATGGTTCGCGAGCGAATCGCGCGTGTTCGCTATGAGCGCACGATGACAATGCGCGAACCCAAAGATGAGAAAGCACAAGGTTTTGAGAGTCTGTTAACAGAAGAAGAGAAAGAAGGACTGTCTGAGGAGGAGAAAATGAAACGGATCGCCGCAAAAATGGAGGAGAAATTCAAGAGTGAACAACGCCGTGTGTCAACCGTTTCAGCGGTGGGTTGCGTTAAATTAAAGAAATTTTTTTTTTCTTTTTAAAGAAAGGAGGTTTTCTGTCTTCAAGTTTGAGTAAGTTTTGTGTTCATGTTCCACGAACGTTCTGTATACCTTATCCAAAATGGTGGTATTTAACATGGAGACAAAGTGGTGCTGTATTCTGCGCCATTTTAGAATAACATGAAAACCTCATTAGACTGAGTATTGGTCAAGAAGTGAAATATTCTGCATATGGACAACTTTCTATAAACACAAACAAAATGACACAATAGCTTACTAACAGTCTACTTTGATTGACAGCTGGCTCCTCCCAGCCAATCATTCAGCGCCAGCGCCAGCTCAGCCGAGACTTCGGAGGAGGAGGGTCCTCATACGGAACGTGCACCACAGCTCCTAGACGAAAAGAGCCGAAATAAAAAACTGAAGGAGCGTATGGCCTCACGCAAAAGAGAGCGACGCAGATCTGTCGCGCCACCCTCCGGAGAAGACGGTGGTGCTACGGGTGGGGCTGACGAATGATGGAGCATGATGTTAAGCCACAGATCAGCTCCTGAGCTGGCAGGATTAGTGAAAACTTCCTATTTATTTCTGGTGTTATTTATTGAGTTGGTCTAGTTTTTTTAGTCGCAGTAGACAGGCTTTGGTCAGTCTTCTAGTTTTTATGTAAATAGGATTAATGTAGCAAACAAAAAAGTAGGAAAATTGTTTCGCTCAGTTTACATGCTTATTATCGTAACTTCCACGGTTAGGTAACGAAGGAAAAAAAAAACAATCATGTATTTTCCAGTACTTATTTTTCACATTTAGAAAGACTGCCACTTGAATAAGACTTTGCGCTGCGCGTAGTAGTATTATTGGTAGGCCGGTAGTCACAGTAGTTGTGATTTTCGCTTTAAAAAACAGTAATTAAAACGAACTATTTTTGATGTTATGTTTTTGTGGAACTTCAAAGCGCGGGTAGCTTGTATCCAGTAGTTAACGCGCTTCCAGTGTCAAGGGCGAGAAATCATGCAACCACGAACACGTTCATGAGTACATGAAGTCAGTGACAAGCGTGGGAAAATGAAATCATAGATTAAATTATTCAATCGAGCACAGGAGGAAATGTCAGCTGAGACAAGTGCGGTTGATAGTCGAAACATTTCTATATTTCAGGGGAAAAGCGATGATTAAATTAATTGGGTAAATCGTCAAAGTTAGCGACTATTCTTTCTTAAAAAAAAAAAACTCAGTGCTCCAAGAACTCAGACCAAAATTTGCCAGGCCTCATGGCATCAAAGATTATCTAAGTGAAGACATAACGAATCACCACATTAACTAGGATAACTTTTATTTAGACATTATCTCACGGATCTCTCGAGTTGAAACAAGTGTTTAGAGTCATTCATTTAGAGACTTCGTAAAAAAAAAGTTCCTCTCAAGCTGTTTTTATGATCAGTCGGTCTGTAAGTCTAACCGAATTTTGACAAATAGTCAAACTTTCCCACTCCTTCCCTTTCGTCTTTGAAATGGTAAATGATAGTGTGACACTATGCACTTACTCGTCCTCAGTTTACTCCAAAGGTGTGCGACACTAAAGAAGGAGAGGAGAGGGTGACGGTTTCCTCTTGCCCATTCCGCTCGCGCTTCCATCTTACCCGCGTCGATGGCTCCAATTTTGAAGACTGAGGACGAATCAGCCACGCAACTGTTCGTTAACTTAAGTGGCGTGGTTTTGCGAAGAAAACCTACGGATGAGAACATTTTTCAGGACAGTATTTCGATGGAAACTGAAACTGAAAACGGAACGTTTGTATGAAGACTTGGTCCCCATTGATCGAAGGTTGGATGACGCTTTCTATAAGATAAATCCGTGGACAGAGCATTGGGATTTGTCAACACAAATCTACCAGATCGCAATTTATCCGTTGGATAGCGTCATCCCCTCTTTTTTTTTTTTTCTAACTTATGGCTTTCCCATTCACAGAACGCCCTGTTTCTCTCTTCCGTAATCTACCAGATCTTCTTAAGCGTACCGCGCTCTTGACAACGCCTCTCTTAAGGGTGAAAAACATAAGACCTTGTTTCTTTTTAGTTGGTCGACCACTTAAGTCCGTTATGGCTTGTGGAATTCATGCACGTGATCTGAGTAGCTTAGGCACGTAGCTCTTAACCGCGCCCTCGTTCGTGCTTCTTAAGTTTCAAGTCTTACAATTGGAGATAAGCATTGTAGACTTTGTCTCATGATTGACAGAAATTTTCGAGTTCCTTTCTCAGCCTTCCGTATCAAAGACCAGAATTTCCTATATGTCCCTGTCGTCCGCGTCTTCCCTCGGGGATCTCCCCCGGGTTTGGTGCACTCTGACACATTCTCCTATCTACAGGACCACGAAGTTTATGTCTATGATGCTGAAGCCAGGGATGTTGTAAAACCTCCTCCAACGTGGGTCTGTACGATGGGTGCTTTGTTAGGAGACATCGTAGCATATCTTGTAGATCTGCACAAGATGAAATACTTATATGAACCTCGGGGGAAGATAACAAGCCTCTTCAAGCCATTCATATACTGAAAATATACCGATAATCTCCGCTCTCTTAAAAAAGACCTTCTCTCACCCATAACCCCGAAACAAAAACATGGTGATAGTTTTGTTGTTATAAATTTGTTCAAGCCTTTTTTCGGGCCCTATTTTCACTACCGCTTAAGCAGTGATTATTCCTGCAAAGATCGCTTTCGTATTCATTTCTTATTCCGCAGTTCACATATATCATTTTTACATATTCACAGTCATTTATTCACCACTTCACAGGTTCGATACGAACCAGCATAATGACCAGCTCCCAGTTGGCTTGTTAGCTCAGTTGGTAGACCACTGCACCGGTATCACAGGGGTCATGGGTTCAAATCCCGTACGAGCCTGAAGCCATATTTTCACCACTGCTTAAGTAGTGTTCATTGCTGCGAAGATCGCTTTCATTTTCAGATTTGTTCTACTTAAACCTCTACCCTCCCTTCAATACACCTCCCTCTATTTATACCCCCCTCTAGTGAGCTACCTTTTAGATGAGCATCCTCTTTAATAAGCCTCACTCTGGTGATGCTCCCTCTGATAAGTCCTCTCTCCAATAAGCCCCTTTTATTATAAGCCCCCTTTAATTCATCCTCTCTGAAAGGCCCTTTTTACTAAAACCTCTAACAAAACCCCTTTATTAATCCTCTCTTCCAGTCCCCTCCTTGATATGCCCACTTTTCCTAAAGGCCCCCGTCTACCAGTCAGAAGAAAATCAATAAATTGGATTTGGTTCCGAGAAAACTTTTAACAGACTATCCACCTCTCTCATAGTCAAACGCCACCCCCACCCCACTCCCCTCTCAACCCTCGCCAATCTGTCTAGAAATCAATAAACCCCACACGGGTTTATAAGGTCCTTTAAGGCATTCCTTATCTCCAAGAATCTATATCCCTTTACAATGATAAGTTTCCCACCAATAATCGACCGTCTTTAGATTATCTTTTTGTCTCATTCACTCACCTTTACTGACATCATCCGGGAAATTCAACTCGCCTCTTACAATCTCTATTTCGTTTGAAAATGGCACGTCTCCCACGATCATGTTGTGCAGCAGTATTCCCAGTGACCATACGGTGGCTGGGCGTGCGTAATAGCGATGAAAACGAAACCACTCCGGAGGACAGTAGGCTCGAGTTCCTTGAGGAAAAACACAAGATCATGACTTCACTTTAAGGTTTGCTATATGTACGTTTTATTTTGGTTAGTGTTCGTGGAATGGCCGCTTGTGGGACTATCTCATTAGAAATTAATCTCAGGGGCTCCAGAAAACGGACCATTATCAAGGTGAAGAAAGAGGTTGAGCTGTAATATCTCAAAAGTGTCCGTTACAAGAGATTCGTCTCTACGGAACTCTCAATTGTGACAGAAGAAAACGAGTAGCAAAATTCAGTGCTCATACTTTGATCTTAACTTTCAACAGTAGAAATCTCTTGGTCTCCTATTCCTTGGACCTGCTCCATAACTTTGCTTTGCTTTGTTTATAATTTAAAGGACGATGTTTTTGCCAAAACAGTTTTTGTAAAGTCTAATACAAAAGGTCAAGTCCGTTGGAATGCCCAAAGCAAAAAGTTTAGGTACCAAAGGTTTGCACGTGCGTTTTGAAGTTGTGTGCCATTCATTTCTGTTCAATACACAGCACAAAGTGAGATGAATAAATTTTAGGTGAATTTTGGTGAATTTCATAAACAATATCGGATAATTGGACCTTATGGTAGGAGCAACTTTAGCAGAGTAGAGTTTCGACTCCGAGCGGAACATTAAGTCAATCTAAAAATATCTACTTATTGACTGAGTGGGAGGACTGTACGGAAAAATATTTGACTCGAGATCATGAAGTACAAACCAAGCGCAGCAAGGTCACACGTTATGACCGACATCCTACTGTTTTCGCCATCCAGCCCTACAATAAGCGTTTTCACATTTGACCGCTAAACTTCCTGGAGCCGTGCAACTTTTTCTGGCCGTGCGCGCGTGGAGCCTTACGAGTCATGCGATAAATAGTTTAGTGGAAAAAGTCGTCAAGAACGCTGCTGGTCGTTGCAATCAAAGCGCTCTTATGAAAATCGTGTGAAAGCCTAATTTTCACGTTAGTGTTTAAGTTGGATCGTTCCCGCAAAATTTTGGATCGATCGCAAAAAAAGGTTGCAACTTACTGGTATCTCTTCTACATACGTTTTTAAAGAGTTGAAAGGTGCAATACCTCGCTAGTTGAATGTTTTTTTCTTTGAGTGGTCATAGCAGTCATAGTAGTCATGGAAAGTGGTATTTTTAAGTTTTCTAAAACTGACCTTCGTAGTCCGTGTACAAAGTGTTCTCAAGCACCGTCCCTGAACCAAAATCAATCAGCTTCACTTGCCCAGTTATAGAATCAAGCAAAATATTTTCATCTTTGATATCACGATGGAAGATTCCTTTTGCTTCACAGTACATCACTGCCTCAACTACCTGGCGGAAAATGTTTCTCGCCTCGTTCTCATCCAGTCGTCGCTTTTCAGTGATGTAATCGAAAAGATCCTTGTGGTACTTGGGTCTCTCTAACACCATCACATACGCCTGCGCATGCTCGAAGTAGTCGAGAAGTTTTATGACGTTTGGGTGATCAAGAAATCTATGAAGATGGACTTCCATTGGTACTGGAACTTCACTTTCCTTAGGAAAAAGTTGAAAATAACTTCAGCTTTATATCAGACACCGAGCCAAGCGGTTCTGATAAAATTATTTGTGGAAAGATCAAGATGCTGAATTTTTTTTTTGCTGCGATTGCGATAATTTCCGCACCGAAATGCAGTGGGCGTGGAGCCCCTTCCCTCTTTCATTTTTTTTCGGGTGGACTGGAGTTCTTACTCCTCCATTATACCCTTTCGTATGAAAACTTTTGACGTTTAGATAATAATTTACCAACCCACATACCTCAAAAATGTCTACACCGAAATGTTGAGGGGGGGCGGGAAGTTATACCCCCTGTAATTTTCGTTTGGGGGGGGGCGTTAGACACCCCACGGACGTTCCCCGCCTCTCCTCCGTTACTCCCTCGCAAAAGAAAAATTTGCACTCGTTAAATAAGACGTTTGAATAAGAACTTACAAACCTACATACCTCATCAAAAGAGTATACGTTGCTCTTGGGAATGACCTTGATTGCGACCTAAGAAAAAACAAACAAATTCTATAATGATGATCACCACTACCCAAACCAACGTCACACAACTGTCACAATATTCGAAATTTTAAAATCGTTATCAAAATGATAGAAATCTTGTTATTTTCTTGATTTGTGATTGAAGTTTTTAATGCAAATTCAAGCTAAGAGGCCTCCTGTTGGAAACTGTTAGATATGTTGATCAGTCTTAATTTGATTCCCATTTCTGGTTATCTCGTTTATCTATTACGTAACCAAAAAAACGTGTATGCGGCACGTGTTTTTTCGCCCATATGTGGCCTTGTTCCATGTGCTTGCAACGTGACTTTTCCTGTGTTATTTTCCAATTAGCTAGGAGCTGTGAGTGGAAATTAACCGAAGCGTTGTAATAAAATTGTAAAATCAAGTGAATAAACTGTGATTCAATAAGGAAGCGTATAGCTTTTCCCCGTTTTCGACACCTCTATAATTTGTACAAAATCTGCCTCTGTTTAGTAAGAGTACACTTTTCTGTCTGATTCGCCCGACAGGAAAAATCTTCTGTGATAAATGAAACAGCTAAGGCAAAGCATCGATACTGGAAATAGACAGGCCCAGATGTAATAAAATTATATATGTGATCGATGGCTGAAATAAAAAAAAAAACAAACAAACAGAAACTGGTTTCTTGAATTTGTACTGTCAATAGTTAGAATCAAATGAACCCTACTGCTGTTTCTTCTCCGACGAAAATTAAAAATCTAAATTCCGAGCCTTTTGCGATGGTGTGTTCATGGCAGTTCTATGCAAAATTTAATCATCAAGAACCTTTTAACTTGAACTTCACAAAAATAATCATTCGATTTGAAATATTACTTGTTTTTTTTCCTAATGAAAGTATATCTTTCCTTAAGCAATAATTCATAGACTTAATGATTTGAAAAATATTCGAGTGATGTTTGCCAAAGGGAAAAGTTACGTAACTTTTATATTTAAGTTACTTTCTATGGGTTACCTTCGAATTTAAACAACGATTCTTTGAATCAAAATAATTATCTTACAGGCATTTTTCGTAACCTTGAGTTTGGAAAATTTCATATAGATCACTGGAGGGAATCTCAGCTCTTTGTAGATAAAATCAGTTTATTTGAGAAGAACGTTATTTATGCAAAGCTGATAGACGATATACTTTCAAACTGATGTTCTAGAGCGACAATAATTTTGCAAAAAGATCGTATAACAGTCTAGCATTTCTGGCATTTCATAGAGAAAAAAAATCAAACCTCAACATGTCATGAAAAAAAACTTGAAGAAAACTTCACAAACACAACAATTGGTAACCAAGACAAAAATATATTTAAAGATCTAGAGTATTGAAAGCCCACTTTTTAAGCAAAGATTTTCAGGATTTGAAAGATGTATGTGCTTGTGGAAAGCTGATATCCGAAAACTTTCCAAGTGAGGAAAAACCGGTTTTTTAAAAATCTCAAATATTGATGTCAAGTTTTTCAAAATAAAATTCAATTTCACCATTATGTTGATTTTTGAGACCACACTTATTCCTTAAAAATGAAAAAAAAATTAAAGCTCATTACCCTTGAATGATTTAAATGATTTGAATCAATACAGAACGTGTTTATTTTCATATTTTCTTCGCGAAATTTCGGTGAAACGACTAGTCCAATGTGAGCTGGGAAAGCTTTACTTTTCTAAGAAAACTTTGGTTTTTCCTTACCTTTTCCCAATCTAAAATATTCATGCAAAATTCTTGTTATGCTAATTTTAACGTCTTACCACAAAGCTCAATGTTATGGTTTAGATAATGGCTTTTGACACCTAGGGTGATAAGATTCTGCTAGTTGATTGCTCACTGTGTAAGATAATCGCCATGCAGATCAGTGGTGCAGGCTGATATTTATTTTCAATTTCATCAAGTACGCCATTTTACTCCAGAAAGAAGGTCGAGCACACATGGGTGGCTGATTCAACTTAAACATGAGAAAAAAGAAGCCGCTTGAAGTTAAACTCTTAACAGCTGGGGCTGATCCATCCGTCAGACATTCGCTAATTATTGAAATATCAGGAACCTTCGCCGCCAAAGAACTCGGGTTTATTGTGAGTCGATGACAGCTTGAAGAATTTTAATACAAAAATTATGCGGTATATTGTTCATCCGTACTAAGCATCTTTCCAGCTCAATCATATTTTGCATGAATATTAAAAACTGAAAAAACAATGAGGTTGGAATTGGTAGCCAAGAGTTTCTTAATTTGCGGCAAATAAACTTGTCTACATGAGATAGGTTCATGAAAAAACTGTGCAGTCTCCATATGTACGTGACCATTACAAGGTTTCGATATAGCTGGGATAAATAACTTACAGCGATCGGCAGAACGCAGCGATTAAAGATAAAACGAAAAAAAAATAATAACCAGTGGCAAATTCTTAACAATGCCCATGCAAACCTCCGACACGAGGGTTTACATTAAGACGTTTGATCATCATCACTTGGAACAATTGATCAGAACACACGATCAGAAAATTTTGATCTGGAAATTTGATTGGGTCACTCAATAACTATCACGATCTTTTTGTTGAATAGAATCACGCTGTCTTTTGTCGAGTCATGCGAGATTCGTGTTTTTTAAGACCATTTCACCATTTCCTATCTTAGATTCGATAGCTTATCCATCGTCCTTCTCTCCAAGTCATGAATTAGTTGTGAATCAGTGACAGGAAAAGAGATCACTTACTGCCAAGCCATCTCGAACCCTTGTTCCGGAATAAACAACAGCAAATCCCCCTTGGCCGAGGAGATGGTGCAATTCATATGTCTCGTTGAACTGCTGCTCCACTGTAAATAATAAAACTCTTGTTAAAATCTCACTTTCATATTCGACTTCAACCCTACATAAAATGAAAAGCACTTGTAGAATGATTGTACCTTTGTCTTCGTCGTTTGAAGCAGATTTCTGAGGTGCACGCGTCACTCGACAAGGACTCCCTACGACATCAGCTTTTGTTGGCAAGTTGCTGATTTCTTCCGCGCCTCCATTCTTTTTCTTCCGTATTTTCGCCATTTTGTTCGCAGATCTTTTTGCTGTTCGGCAAATGACGGTCAGAAGCGAAGAAAAACGCTTAGCAGTGTCGCTCATAATACCGTTCAGCTTGTCGTGTTCCCCGGACTCAGAATCATCTAAATCATCAGTGGTGAGATTTTCGCCTTCCGTGACCTGTACGTGACATTAGAAGCACATACAAATACAAAAATTAAACCTGATAATGTCAACGTCAGTTGTAAGGGCGACATGTCACTGTACTTCAGTATTTGTTCTATCCACCAAACATCGGCTAAACTAACAAAACCCACAAAGATCTTTAAGTCATTATGCGCACTTTCTCGGCCAATAGAATTCTCGAATGCACACACTCTAATTCGCTGTTGCCATCAGAAGGATTCTTTATAATGTCAAAAAAGACATTTTTTGCAATGAATTTGAATTGCTCACCGCAAACAGCGACCGCCCGCCTATGATCCTTTGTTCGATGCGCGCCCTGATGGTTCGTTATCGGATATTCTTCAAAAATGACAAAACAATAAGATATGTGTTTCGAATATCAAAAGCTAAAATGTAATCGCACGAGCGATGACATTTGACGCGCTTTCTGCAAAGAGGTGATATTCATTTCATTGGATATTAAAAATACCAAACCACGACTGACTTTTCCTCCTTTACGGTTGTATTTTCGCGAGAATTCTCTGAATAATTCATGTTAGTGTCATCCGGTAAAATATTTAAGCGACGTCGTAAGAGTGACAGCTGGAAACAGAGAACAAGAGTAGTGTCTCGTTATGATTGGTTGGTATTTTTGATAAAAGCGCTTTAATCGCTCGGGTCTCTTCAGCATACAATGGCGCGCCATACGTTTATATCTTATTTCCGTTTTTCCCCAAAGGAAAAATAAAATCAATAAGAGAAATGTCTTATTTGGTAAGAAACAGTTGCCATCAAAATTTCTTTCGGCTCGAAAATCTCATTTCTCATCTTTTTTTTTTTCTTTTAGTCGATCTAAACTTACAATGAAAACAATTTCATTAAAGATATCTTGGGGCCGCATTCGAACCTCAGTCGATACATTTAAAAACAGAAAAAAAATTCAAAACGTTTCCTTATCCGATTTCTAAAGACAATGTTTTATCTGTGCTATCGGTTTGAGAATCGTAATCAGAGAGCGATATGTTTTTGTGATCTACTGGGTTTACAAAACATTAAGTTCGCCCGGCATTTATCAAATAGCCTGTTGTAATATGCAGCGCAAAACAGGACTCTTTCATTACGAATGCTCTCAAAACAAGCCCTCGGGCTAAAAAAAAAAAATTACAATAAAAAGCTGCACTCGGAACAGAATCTTTCTGTTATGAGAAAAATATGGAATTCGATAAGCCCACGTACATGAAAAGCTGCGTAGGATGTGCCCCCGACCAGACAAGTCTAAAAGAATGTTAAAAGAACGCCATATCACATTCGATGTTTCGTCTACGTGGCTTTCAAACTTTGACACTGATATCGTTCGCGACAAGGTCTTCGTCCCTGAGGACATCCACAAGAGGCTACATGCACGTGATCTTGTTTTTTGTCCACAGTCTTTTGGACGAGCAAATACAAATCCTTTTTCTTCCTTTGCGGCCATATTTCTTCGGGTATCCGTCAATGTTTAGGTATCATAAAAGCGTTTGGAAGTTTGTGATTACGACAAATGAAGAATTTGTTTACAAAGACTACAAACACAATCAACTAAATTCGTTTGAAATGAACCAGCAAGCGCTGCGATTTTCTACTGACCAAAGCCAAGCTACGCCCTGTTCTTTCTCTGTCTCAGTTTTACACAATTTACAGCTAACCTTTTTTTTTTTTACCTCATTGCAAGACCCGTCGAGATCCCTGCCAATATTCCTCGATTTCCGACTTGATATTGAGACTTCTGGAGACATGGGAGAAGCTCGGCTGGATCTTGCCATAATAACACATAGAAATTCAACCTTGCTTCATAATACTCTTCTAAACTCGGAGAAGCGTTCGTGTTCTTTTCCGGCCTACGAACGAAGGAAGAACTGAATTCACACATGCGCGCGACCTGTGACAATTCTGATCAGAATTTTAAAAAGATTTTTGTTTTTTTTCTCACTCCGACAAAAGCCAATCACACAAGCCAGACCTTGATATCGAATCGCCACTTATAAATTAGCGATGCCTTGCCTTTTATCGCGAGTATGATTATTTCATGGCTAACTAAGATTCATTTAGTGTTAACAAAAGTAAAAAAAAAATTGAAAGCGACGCGGATTTTCAATTCGTTGCAAAATGTCATGCGGCATAACAAATGCCTTTAACTGCCATAGCGCTTGTCTGTTAATAATTTTAATGGGTTTCCTTTGTTATGTTTTCGTTCTAAAAAATGGATTCATACTCTCTCCAAGATCCCTGTCGATTTGTGCAAAGAAAATCGTATTAATTAATTAATGTTCACGTTGGTAGACAATTCACATCCTTTATGTTTTGACGTCAAGGAAATTTCCAGGCCATGAAGAAAAAAAAATTGGGATAAATGAATAAATAAGAAAAAAAAATTTCAAACATTGAAAAACAGGCTGAGTTAAACATCTTTGTCGATTTCGGAAACAGATGAACGTGAAATGATTGTTGGAGATCCATTTTTCAGAAAAGGAAATTTTGCATAGAAAAGTTAATGCAAAACTCCTTTACTTAAATTGCTAAACATTGTAAAGTAATTGAGCCGTGATGAAAACAAAGTTGAATTATGTCAAATCGCTTTAAAAAAGGAGATCTTTCTCTGAGAAAAAATAAAAGCCGTTAATAAATTTCCGTTAAAATATGAGGCACTTTCCCTGCAATTACAGCGTGAATGAAATCTTTTGACAAACCGCGGTGATTTTACACTGTTCATCTAAACAAACGCTTACATTCTAAAAGTGACATTTCTTCTCCCTGTATGCAAATATGCAAATATGATCGATTCTTGGAGACGAAAGATAAATAACACTTAACGGAATCATGAAAATCATTATCCGTCGTGAGACTAGACAAAATTTCATGCGGCCAATTTTTGGTTTTTAACATTATTTGTAAACCACAATTTAACGAAGATCATGAGACCGCTACATCTGATTCGGGAAACCCGTAAGATCTTAGTCCAATACCGATATGTAAGCCCTGGTCAACTGTTGTAGAAAAAAGACATTTTTATGATAACATTCTTCTTAATACTAGCCAGTGTTATTGATCCCAGCGATTTAACGTCAAAACATCCTCAGAACCTTGCATGTAAAGAGGTTAATGTATGATTGATATTCATAAAATCTGTGTAGAGAATGTTTCATTTATATTTGTGGAAAGTGTTTTGAACGTAATAACTTAGTCTGGGTGGGAACCTGGAGGGATTGGATATAGAATATCCTAGTGTGTCCCGAGCGGGATCCCCGAAAGTTAAGGTGAAATATCCCCGGCTTGGCCCCGGCGTTGCCCCGAATGGATCCCGTTTAGCAAGTGCGGAAAATCCCGGCGCAGTCCCGAACGAGATCCCATTGATTCGTGTGGAATATCCCGGCATATACCCGAACGGGATGCAGCAATTTTTTTTTTCGGAAAGTGATCACTCCTTACCCTTTCGATATTTTTCAGCCTTTAATTCCCATTAGTGACCAAGACAGAATTTCTCCTAACAATACCAATATAATATCAACCAGATTAGTGATGAAAATAAAGAAAAATATAAATTTGGGGATAATTAGTTGATCCAATACTAAATTCTCTGAACTAATATTATAAGAATTGTATGGTTCACAGTAAGGTGTATTACAAATTTGATCTGAGAGTTAAAGGGTTAAAACGCCGTAAACAATCCGCAAAAAATCGACTTATGCCAACAAGTCTTATATGCGTTTAGTCTTTACCCTTAGCCACCAGTCCCCAGAATGTAAATCGGTAAACCCCACTCTCCCCTCCCAGAGCGAAGTTTTACGGTTGGATTGAGGGTTTCATGGAAGTACAAATAACTTAGACTAAAGTTCAAAGAGTGTTAACTGTTAGGTGAACACAGGCAACCCAACCAGAAGTCTCGTCGTCCGAAAGCACTGTTCAGGATGGTCTGCTTCATCGCCTTCTACTCTGAGAAATCGTGAGCGCCGATGCTCCGTTAAAGGTTAAACTCAAAGAACCACGAGGTTAGAAATATCTTACAAAATGTATCAACAAACAGAGACGATAAAGCGTTTTCACTCGAAACTTCAGTGGCAGCAAGTTCTTGCAATGAGCACTTTTATAGGTGAGTAAAAATTAGACATTTTTAACAAAAATTTTCTTTATTGGTATGTGTGTAACATGCTTTATAATCGAGAAGAAATTCCTCGCCGCTTATTTCTGATTTCTGATTTGCTTTCAAATGGCTATTGGAAAAATAATGAATTTTTAACAACCTGCAAGGAACTTTTTTGTTTGAATACTTGAATGGCAGCAGGTATATTTGTATGTTCTGGTTGTTCGCGTCCATGTTTTTTCTGTCATATAGATTCACGTAGGAAAACGCAGACGCTCGGGTCACGATTGGTTTTAATTTTTTTCCTGATTAGTTAGGGAAGGGATGTGAACTCTTTGGGCCAATCACATAGCAAGTGATCACGGCATTCACTTTATAACTATTTTACAGATTACAATCTCGGATCAATGTCGCTTGTACAAGATCGCTTAAGATTCTTTTCCTTGATATAATTTTATTATTTCGTACTAACCTTTCGCTACCTTTTTACTCGCCCAGGGTTGAAGGGGAAGGGGGTGGACAATGTTTTGAATCTTATGACTTTCAGGTGTCCTGATCAGCGGTTGATCGAGTATCATAAGCACAGTGATTCAACTTGCATATCACGTTAAGTTGTCATGGTTACAATTGTAACTTTCCGTAAAATTTATTCGGTCCATTATTTCTAAATTCCAGGCTTCACTCTAGCAGTGTGGTACAATTTATGGAATACGGGATCACGGGTACCATTAGTGGGAACGGTGTCTTCATCCCTGGTCCATGAACAAAGAGGAGAAGGTGAGCGCTTGATAAATCTTTAAGTTGCTTAAATCCTTTCTTGGTAAATGTTAACTTAATCCGCCTCGCAGGCATACTGATTCATTGTCTGGTTCATTCGCTCCTACTCTTCTTTGTAAGTACATAGCACCACCCCCATTCCCACCCCCAAACTCCACGATAAGTGGAGCCATTCATTCCATTGGCTTAAAATGTCCTTCCTCGGCCTCCTCACACTTTTAGTACTTTTTTATAGGAGTGTATATGACCTTGAAACTGAAATGCTTCTACTGCGACTCCCAAGACTTCGGTGAAGCATGGGAAACTCTTACCCAGGACACTGCATGTCAAGACAGTGTGTTTTCAACTTGTTTTGGGAATCAGACACTCCCGGGCAGGCAAACAACGGAAGTTATTGATCTCATAAGAAGCTGTGAACAGAAATGCAAGTGCTCGGACGAGGAAGGTTGGTGCGTGACTCCGGAATGCAAACGTCAGACGAAATGCTGTTGGGGTCAGGTATACTGTGAAGAAGACCAATACTGAGACAAATGCTCAAGCTTGCTTTAGGCGACCGTTTACGCGTTGCGGACCTATTATCACGCGCAATGCTAGCCTATTACTTTTCTCGCTATTTCAAGCTACTTGTAACCGTTGGACGCGGTACAATAATGCAAACTTGTGGAGTACAGCATTTGCCTATTTTCGTTAATTGTCTGAGTTTTCGAAGCTTACACTCAGTCTTCGTTGTACCAGGCTATAGGTATAGGTATAAGACCGATTAATCAGACGGAGAACTGAAAGGAGACCATTTAAGGCGTCGCTAAACAGTTTTTTGACGCTTGAGAGATAACGCTCTCAAACAGAAAGGAATCCTGAATCGAAGATTACAATGATCATCTCAGGTAGGAGAAAAAAAGTAGCTGTGACGATGTCTAACACTCTTTATTTCTGTGTGAAATCATCAGTAACTGTAACAGCTCCCGAAACACATGATTGTAGAAATTTTTTCTAACAGTATCTTCAATACGTGATCGCGTAAATCTTCGCGTGCGTATTGGTCGAGAGCCATTTTTTGTACAATTTTCAGCAATTAATAAAATAAAAACCTCGCTCTGTGAATAGTTGTTGCTTATATCCTATCATAAAACTGACGCACAGAAGCACTGTAGAAACCAGCTTACGGTAGACTCGTTGTTTGTATGGGTTTTTCAAGCGTGGGGAGGCAAGCGTAAGAACTGCGCAAAAGGCCCACGAGGGTGAGACAAAGTCACCTTTGACGCACTTCCCCTCTCGCGTGTGACTCGCCCTTCACACGCGTCCCGCGCTGACTTAAAAAAACAAGTTTAACAGGAAACCACATCCCAAGCGACTTACTATGAAAATATCATTAGACTACATGGATGGGTGATGAACTCTAGATGAAAATATAAACGATCATATTCGGTTTTTCATTAAAATTTTTCAATACTGGTTGTGAGTTTTGTTACCAGGGAAACGCTATCTAGCTAAAAAAGCGGGTGTGGATCGCCCAAATTGCGGCAATGTTTAATAAGATCTTCACCATGTATACCCTTAAGCACTCGAGATCAGTGGTGGGTTCATTTACATTTTGAAGTCTGGAACGTATTTGTAAAATTAAAAAAAAAAAAAAGATAACACTTTACGAGAGTAAAACGAAGCCAAAGCAGCTGAGAAATATTGGGAGGTGTGGATTAAGATGGTCTTCCACCCACATTTTAAAAATTTTTAATACTAACTGGGTCCAATTCATTATAATACCATTGGAAATATTCAAAAGTGTTGCGAATTGCACTAGTAATTGACATTTTGTAACCATGGCAACCAGTTTCCAGGCTCCCAAGGATGAAAAAAGGTACCCATCTGCTAAAAAGAATATTTAAAGAACCAGAGGTCCCATTGACTTATAAATGGTATCAAAATGAACTACAATGATTGCTCTATGCTGTAAACCTCAAAAAGTAAACTATCAAAGTATCTTTCAGAACAATAAAAATTTATTTCTGAGAAGTGCAAATTTTGTCTCCACTACACAACAAATAACACAGTAGTGCACACCAAATAAGTTTATTTAGGGAAGCCTGCCGAGAACCAACCCGAGGCATATATTGCCCGGGGAATGCATACATACATATCTTCGCAACTGATATACCACATACAATCCTGATATACAGTCAATTCCTTACACATTAAAAAGGTATACATTACTAACATGCAAACTTCACCAAGTCTGGATTAACAGAGATGGGCAACCGCTTACAAGGACATAACTACGGTTATACAGAGGCCAGAAAAAACCTGCCAGAAAAAACCCCTTTGGGGAAAAACATGACAGGAAATCTGGGTAGGAACCATGGCCCAAACTCAGAGCAGTTGGCAGCCCATCCTACGAGGCTTCACAGCTAAAGAAAATTTTTTTTCAAACTAAAATAAATTTGTCATCAGCCAGAGGTGAACGGTTGGTTCTGAGGCCTAGATGGATATCACGTGCTATACTTTCCCTTATATACCACTGCATCATTACCCATGATGCTCGGGCCTAAGGCCCAGGCCTTGTCGTATCTCGTGCCGACAAAATATCTATTTCTGCCTTATTCGCAGACTCATTCGTTAGAAATACCATTATTTTAGCCCTAATCATTCTCAGAAAATTGAAATGAGATTCATTCCCTTTCACACAACTGCTTTTGTTCTTGTTCAAAACACAGCACAAATACAAGAGAGAATTCACTGAAAATTTCAGTTCAATTGCTCTAAAAGAAGGAAAGATATCATTTTTGCCGTAATGGCTATTAAGGCAAAATTACAAAAATGATAAAACTGCGATTAAAGTATCACCTTCCTTTTCTTGTTGTTTGTCAGTTTTTTTTTCATATTCCCTGCACTTCTTGCAGACTTTGCTTAAGGGTACGACATCCAGAATTTTTCTGGTTTCCAGGCTAATGGCAGTGACACAACCATTTAAAGAGGAAAAACCTCTTCTTTGCCAGGTGCCATCACAACATGCATTACACTTTACCAATCCATCTTGAAATACATGTTTTAGGCTGTGGATTTCTTCTGCGGCACTGGTCATTGTTTCCACCGAAACTGCTTTAGTTGCCTTGAGCAACGCCTTGTTGTCCAAGGCATTCGGTGTTTGCCTTGAAGGTTGAGGCATATTTATTAGCCGGCAAAATAGTTTCGCCGCTGCGACTCCACAGTCAAATGATCGCATGCTATAAACAAGTCTCCTGTTGGCTTCAAAATATCACTGATTTAGAACTTTGAGAGACGTGATAAAGTCCTTCACCCAGCCACAAGAGACACAAAAGACGCGAAGATCGCTGGCACATCCTTTCCGTTTAAGAGTTTTCTCTTGCAAAATCAAACTGCATTCAAAGCACTCCTTACACGGCAAAATTCTGAATACAGAGTCCAATATTTCCATGTCGACTAAACGAAAGCCTGTAATGAATGGATCTGTACTTGGTGCTTTACGATTAGACGATTCGGACAGCTTGCGGAGCGAAATTTTACGAGCAGAGGCAGAGTTTACGGTGTCTGTGTCTGCAGTCGAAGGAATTCCATCACCTTCGCTTACGCGCGTATGTATCTTCTTTGATTACTGATTTCCATGAAATCTACGCTTTTTAGAATATCAAGATCGAGCTTTCGGCATGATTTGCCGATTAAATGGAAAAGATTTTTGTAAATATGAAAAGCACATGTACGCAACCAAAATGGCGGATTGAGCATGAAGGGATGGGTCAGCATTAGATTCCATCCACCAAAACCACCTTGGTCGAGAGGGACTGAGATGGAATGATGGACAACTCATGACTTGTTATACTAAATTAAAATTACGAAGCTACGACAACATGCCGACTTATCCCGATGACCTAAGTGTATTATTTGTTTGGGAAATTGCGTCAAAACTTTTTACTCAAGAAATGGTAAGTATTAATTTATTGTTCGATTGTAGTATCATAAAACATTTTACGCAATTTTATGCAGATATTTTACGTATTTAAAAGGTGCCCAGATGTTACGTAGTTTTGGTGGATGTCATTAGGGAACATCCACCAAAACTTTGACCAAAACCATCAACAATATATTTTTTTAATTTTATCTATAGCCACTGTTAGATGTTCAGGGAGACAAAAGATTTATACCACTAATTAGCAGTTAGTGCTCTGGCTAATTATTTTTTATGGTGCACAATTGCTGACCGACCAAACGTTCATAATGATTATCATAACTCTTAACACATAGAATAAAGTGGTTTTGGTGGATGTTTCTTTCCATCCACCAAAACCACCATAGCAATTTCTGCTACTTCCTTACAGAAGACTGGTGTGACCTGCTATTTGGAGTACATAACCACAATCTATTTCTTTGTATGTAGAGATATTTTGCAAAGTTCTTGAGTCAGCACCTTTTATTATTGAAACCATAATCATAACATGGTGCACAATATAGAATACAAAAGGTTCTGGTGTGGCAATCATGTAATCTTGAAACAGGAGAGTTTATAACTGACTTAAACTGACTTAAACAGACATTTGCAACAAAATTCCAGGTCCAGAAATTTCTTCCACTATTTCCGCTAAAATCATAACCTTTAAGTACAACAAATCAGCACATCAGTAATTGTTATCAGGGGTCTGATAATCCTATCAATCTTTCACATTTATTTAAAGTAACCTTTAATTTTGCATGAATGAATAAGTATACACTCAAGATGCAGAATGTCTTACATTTTACAAACTATTTCCCTTTTTATGGATAGACAGTGAAAGGCCTTTGCCACATTGGTGAATCAAACCATTGTATACCATGCATTTTGTGATAATTGTTTGTTTTTGCTCACAATATCCAGAAAAATGGAGGGGATAAATCTAAATAGCAAATTCTATTAATGGTTAAAATTAAATAACATTGGAAGATCAAATTAACTTTGTACTGTTTAAAATTCAGTTTTGGTTTCTTGCTTATTCCAGCCTCTTAATATTCAAAAGCATTCCTTGTCATTTTTGTGTTCTTCTGTGTATATAACTTGAAAAATAAACACAGAGAAAGGAAACCACAAAGGATTAAACTTGAAGCTAAAGCAAAGTTTAAGTTGAGCCATAGCTGATCCAAATACTGAGCACTTTGTATTGTAACCCATTTAGCAGTAAAGTTTATCTATATGTCTGCCAGCTTGTCACAAGTCTTACCCCTCTCCTTCAAAAGTCTCTATAAATAAATTTTTCTTTGTGGTCCCTAATTGATGATAAGTATATTACAGCTCCTCAATTTCCTTCTCTCAAGACAAGGTTACTCTAAATTTAACAAAGTAATGGACTTGATAAAACTCAAACTATAACTCAGCTGGCTGCTACTTGCAACCTTAATTTCTTGATACCAGTATACAATAATCAATATGTTATAAATAAGAACCCTAATGCTTAATTTAGTAGTGATCACCTTCCTCCTTTTCATTTGCAGACCAGACTGGAACCTATATAGGTGTGTTTGCTTGTTTTGAGTGGGGATGGAAGAAAAGGAGTCATGCCTTATATCTGATTTATTAAACTGGATTTGTTCTGTTTATACATGAGTATAACTACCTTGTTCTCTGAAAAAAATAAAATTTATTGCATTTTTATCTGTGCTTTGCAGTCAAACTTCCTTGTGTCTTGGAAAAGAAATCTTATTTTCTTGAAAACAAAATCTTTGTTTTCTGCCTTCTGTAATAGGTAAATATAACAGTGTAAGATGAGTGACAGTGTATTTCTCAAGTTATTTTTTGGAATGTGACAAAACGGAAGTGTCATAGCATGATAAGGAGCCAACATATGATTGCTTGATAGAAAGCAAAAACCGCAGAATTGCATATATTTTCTTTTGTCAGCAGCATATATGTTAGTGAAAGGTTCTTATAATTGTTAACTTCTAAACCATCTTCAATTTAGCCAAGATTGAAGTGTTATCACGTTTGTCCTAAAAGTATTCTGAGATCGATGTCATATGACCCATTCATGTATTTGACCTTTCAAATTAGCAAGCCATAGTTGACAGTAACACAAAGGTTGAGGATAAAAAGAAATTATTATACACAGTACTTCTTCTGCATCTTTTCGTTTCCTTTTCTCTCCAGTTGTTTTATCTATGCCGTGTTGGCAATAGTCCATTTTACAGTTGTATGCTTGGTTGCCAAGCCTTTGAACAGGAGTGAGGCTAAGGGTGACCTTGTTATGATACAAACCTTGCTGCTTTTGAAATGCAAATTAATTTGTTATCATGCTAACTAGATTCTGGTCCCTAACACAACAAGGTCACCTTCAGCCTCACTCCAAATCAAAGGCTTGGCAACTAAGTACACAACTGTAAAATGGCCTATTGAACACTTTCCTTCCCAAAATTAGGAAAGGCACACCAGTGAAAAACGAATTTATGCTCCTTAAATATCTCATGCATCTTCCCCCAGTATTTTGTGACTTCTGTCCGAGGAAGGAGATGTAAGCATTAAGTTAACCCGAATGATTCCACAATTGTGGTATCATCCAAGCCATGCCAGAGGACTTGAACTAGATAAACTAGTGAGAATGCACAATAGCGATAGCAAAGCTTTGTAATGCCAAAGAGCTATATCAATATATATGTATATATATATATATACACCGGTGTTCCCGAAACCTTTGACAGCTTTAAAGAAAGAAAACTTCGTCGTCAATCCTGTTTCAAATTCCGCAATAAGTTTATGCGCCTCATCAACAGAATATACGTATCCTAAATTATCTGCATGTCTACCATCAAGCAATGGTTCGCGACTTAAAATTCTCGCTATGCTGTTTCTGTTTGTTCCTCAAGAATCATGGGATTTACAGCTTCGGATGTTCGGCTACATCACTTGCGGATTTCCGAGAATCTTCGGTTATGTTTTGCAAGTCATTAAATATTCCGTCTCAGTCCCTCTCGACCGAGGTGGTTTTGGTGGATGGAATCTAATGCTGACCGAAGGGATGTTTTGAAAAGTTGCTCCTTCATTTATGCCTACTTCAAATGCCTCAAACAAGTCAAATGAAGACTCTTTTTTCAGGGAGGGTACCAGGGTAATTTTTGTTTGGTTCGGTGCACTGCGTATGGCTTTTTTCATTGTTTCTCCAGTTAAACAAACCGTTGCCATTGCCACTTTCGCATCGCAAATTACTATTAAAACAACAACAAAAAAAAGAACTAGAAAAGGAAGACCAATACCTAAGGGTAGCAATTACAATGTGTCGTTGCCGGACGACAATTTGGAGTCAGCTTCATTCGCTCACGTTGCTCCAAACTCCTCAACTCAACTTGTTTTTATTTCACACATGAGCACGTGGCCCATGGGAACGAGCCGACCTGTCAATTCACATAGCAACACACACACAAAAAAAATAATAAATAAAATAAATAAATGTCCAGGAAGCGGGAGGGACACAATGAAATTAGCAATTTCCATCGAAAAATGCGAGACCTTAAAGTGTGTTGTCTGTTTATCCTAATAGATCAAAGTTCAGTTGGGTAATCTCGCTCGTTCCAGTTCTAACTCGGTTAGAGAGAGGAAGAATACATGATCGAGCTGATTCCTCTACGGGAAATGGACGAGACGAGTAGCGACATGGAAGAAACTAACGATCAAACACCTTATTTTGATAAAGAAACCGAGCAAGAAGCCTTGGTTAGACATTCAGATGTGACAATGAAACAAAGAACTCCGCCATACGTGTATTTCCTGACAGTGTTTGCGGCAATCGGGGGATTTCTGTTTGGGTATGACACCGGCGTTGTTTCGGGAGCAATGATCCTCATAAAACAAGAATTCCATTTGTCCTCTTTTTGGCAAGAACTCATTGTTAGTGCAACAATCGGCACGGCTATATTGGGTTCTCTCTTTGGAGGTTTTTTGAATCAAAGGTTCGGGAGAAAACCTATGCTCATTGTCTCTGGGCTGGTGTTTACTGTTGGGGCTGTTGTAATGGGTGTCGCTCATTCAAGGGAAGTTCTTCTCATTGGAAGGCTCATTGTCGGCTTGGGAATAGGTAATTGATCAGAATGAAATGCTTTACCTATCTCAAGTATTGATTTAGTGATTGTGATAGAGTTTTAATTGTAGCTCGTTTTATGATGATCTCAGAGTAACTTTTCTTCTCCTAGTATAATTATAGTAACATACGAACGTGGGTGAGAGCTAATTTAATCGTTTACGTAACAATGTTTCAGCCTTGGAGCTAGTTCGGTAAAATTTCCGCACAGCCCCATTCTATTGTAAAACAAATCTGTTTTCCCAATGGCAATGTATTGTTTTTGTCATTGTTTTCTCTCTCCAAGAACTGAATGCATAATGTAGTATGGGGCTGTGCGGAAATTTTACCGCTAGCTCTCATGTTAAATCTATCTATGATCCATTTACGAGCACTAGTGTTACACCATGAAGCAGTTATAACTCATGGGGTAACTCCAAATGACCATGCCAACTAATTTTTGTCATCTTACCGGTACCAGTACGCATAAACAGATGATTGCTTTAACCCTTCACTCCTAAGATCTTATTAGTAAATCTCCCTACTATCTGCCATACAATTCTTATGATTTTAGTTTGGAGAATTAGGTATTGGATCAACTAATTATCTTCTAATTTACAATTTTCTTCATTCTCATCACTTGTCTACTTGATATTGTATTGATATTGTGAAAATAAATTCTGTCTTGGTCACTCGTGCACATATAAGGGATAAAGGGATTTTAATTTTTTCTTGTTTTTATATCATCTGTTTAAAGCTGTAGATTAAGTCAAACCTGTATTAACACTTCAACTCCCAAGATCTGATTGTTAATTCTCCTCTTTAAGTGCTATACATTTCCTTGTAAATTAGTTGCAAGAATCTGGTGTTAGATTGAGGAAAAAAAAATTACCTGATAAGTTTGAGTATTCTCATTACCTGTTTGGTGGAAAATGTTTGGATATTATCGGGAGAGGTCATGTGTCAATCATTTCTGGGAGTTAAAGGGTTAAGTGGAACCATATTAAGCAGTTTAATTAAGTCCTGAAACTTTTCTCCTTAATCACTGTATATTTCACTTGGGGGACCTCTAAATACAGGCTTGACTGTACTTGATATTTCAATAATGTCATTGTTCACCTTTAAATGGATATTTTGTACCCTGAAAGAGGTGTATATGTCTGACAGTTTGGTTTGCAAATTTAAAGTGAATTGCACAACCCCTTTAAATTTTGTTTTTTTTCTCTCAGGGGGAGCATCAGTCACAGTCCCTGTATATATTGCTGAAACAGCTCCATCAAACATAAGAGGTCGCCTTGTCACTGTCAACAATCTTTTTATCACTGGGGGCCAGTTTATTGCCTCTGTGGTTGATGGTATTTTCAGCCCTTACAAAAGAACAGGATGGAGGTACTTAATAATTCTTTATAACTTTGGGTAAAAACACACCAAGGTAGATAATTCTCTTGATACTCATTTCATTCTTCAAAGCTGAATGTAAATGTGGTAATTTAGTATTATCAACTGAGTTGATAATGAAGAAATGTAAAATGGTTTCCATGTTTACATAGCCTGATGTAAACATGCGGGGGGTTGGGAGAACACGAGATAAGTGTAGGAAACAACGACACGAAGCAGAGTGGTTTCCAGCTTATCGAGTGTTCTCCCAACCTCCCAAGTGTTTACATCAGGCTATGTAAACACGGAAACCATTTTACATTTCTTTTATAAAATAACTAATGAAAGAGGAACTGTGTTTACATACGCTCATGTAAAATGGTTTTATGGCCAATCAGAGCGTGCATACTATTTGAATTATTTTATAATGTAACTTGGGCACTGCAAAGAGTTAAAGCTGTTGAACTCTTTAATCTTCTCAACTCAGTTGATAATACTATATTACCCTGTTATACTCTCCCACTGACGCAGCACCACAGTTTCTTTAGAAATTTACCCCCCAGGTAAATACCCTGATTTCATGGGGTAAGGAGTGAAGCGTTAAAAGGCTTCACATCTTGCACTTTAATTTCCATATCGAGTAAGTTTCTGCTTAGATTCTAACTTCTAATTTAAATAATTTGTTAACACTTTCACTCCCAAGATCTCATTAATAATTCTCCTTACTGTCTGACATATAATTCTTATAATTTTAGTAGAGAATTTGGTTTTGGATTAACTTTTAATTACCTTAGTGATATTTTTCTTTATTCTCATAACTTGTCTGCTTGATATTGCATTGATATTGTTAGGAGAAATTCTGCCTTGGTCACTCATGGGAGTTAAAGGGTTGGGAGAATTTTTTTCGCCAAGATATCATCTCCTAGTTCATTTCGTGCTCAGGGCTGAGCTTAAAGATTAATAATAATTGTGCATCAATATTTCGGGACTTCTATTTTAATAGGATAGCAAATTTGTGAAACAATATACCTAACGATGTTAGGCAGGCTGAGTCTATTGACTCTTTTAAGTGTAAACTTAAGTCAATTTTATTTCAGGAGACTTTTCAATGTTTTTGATGGCGACAACTTTCTTACCTTTAAAATAATTTGTCCTAAATGTCACCAGGTAAATACCCTTGTTGCATGCAAATGTTAAGCAGCCTATTTAGTCTATTTTTATTATTAAGTTATTTTAGGAGGGGGTTGGGTTGGAGCTTAAACCTAGTAGGGGACTTATGTCCTATTGTTTTTGCTCTGGTACTGCTTTGTACAAATCCTTAAATAAATAAATAATAAATAAATAAATAACAAATGAATAATAAATGAATAATAAATAAATAATAAATAAATAATAAACGAATTGGTCTCCCATCTACTCTCTTTTGCTGTCAGAAAAATCTATGTATATTGTAATGAGACAATCCTTGTTAATTGCTCCTGGGTGCTTCAGAGATTAAAAGTCTCAAACTTGCAGAAGAATTTTTGTCAGGTGAAGGGGAAGGGGGGCAGGCAAGGAAATTATTGCAAATGAAAGGAGCTGTTTCCACCACAAGATTTGCTCAGATGAGGGATGCCTCTTCATCCATTTAAATGCTGACTTTGCTCATAAGATGTTATTCAGCCATCTGTTGTAGCAAGTAGACTATAACTTCCCTTCAAAATTTCTTCTAGTCTGTTGTCAGAAAATTTTGCATTTTTTTCTTTTTATTTTCATAGATTTATGCTTGGTTTAGCAGCAATACCATCCATTGTTATGTTCTTTGGATGTCTGATGCTGCCAGAAAGTCCCCGCTGGCTTCTAAGCAGAGGGTTCTCTCAGGAGGCTAAGAAAGTTTTGGTCAAACTGAGAGGCACAGACAATGTGAAGGATGAATTTTTAGCGATGCAAACTGTATGTGAAGAAGAAGAATCCCTTCGCAAAACTAGTAAGTGGTATTAGAAGCAATATTGTGGCTTAGCATCTCTGTGCGAATCTGTTATCATTAATCTATGAGAAAAGGTGTACAATACATCACTTTTGAGGCTAAGACTTGCAAGTTGATTTAGCTACATCCAGCAGCCTTAAGGTCATGAATTCACACATTTTTTAAAAATCTTATTTTATCGATAGACTTAACAGACAACAGAGTCGTTTTAAATTATTTTGCTTACTTTTTAGAATCATTTTCCTTCAGTAAAAGCACAACATTTCAGATGGTGGCAACCAAAAGTACAAGGAAAGCTCTCCTGGTCGGCTGTATGTTGCAGGCGATACAACAATTGTCAGGGATCAATACTGTTATGTAAGTGAAAACGTTTTTAGAACTTCTTAATTTAAAATTTAATGTCTCGTAAGTGGACAACTGAAGTCATCTGAGATGTGCCGTTAGCGTGCATGCTCCAACAGTGGTCCTTGAATCATACATAAAAACACACGCAACTGGATACAAACCATTACTCACACTGAAATGGACATTTGCGTGAAATGTTCCTAATTCTCCGTCGCTTAATTTTAGCAAGAATTTGCCTTTTTCAATTGTTTTTCCCAGTCTTGAAATGTCTCTTGAATCTCCATAAACGATTGCTAGCCAGCCGAATAAATTTAATTTTTCTCGACCAATTTGTTATTTAGGTCGTCAAAGGGCGACTTTGAAATAAAAGTTTTGCTTGGAATCCAGGAATGACCACTTTTTTTAGCTTAAAAACTTTAAAAGTGAACTTATATAGATTGGCATACTTCCTAAGGTATTTACTGCTTCTCTATTCCTAAGCACTACACGAGATGAAGAGGTTCGACTGCATCATGCAGAGCGGGCGTAATTTTGAAAAGTCAAAGCTCAGTATTTTCTTATAGCGGCAGCAAAGGTTGGGGACAGAAAGGAATTTGTACTCGTGGGGTGAGCGACAGTTATAAGGAGGGAGAGGATAGGAGGTGCGTCTTTCCCCGCCCCCTCCCCCGTACGGTTCACTCTAACTCCAAATAAAACTTTCCGATTGCAAGCTTGTAACGTTAATTCGCCCAAAAGGATGCTTGTAATGCAGGCAAATTCAGAGTTTCCATGTTATTTCCAGGTACTACAGTGCAACGATTATACAGATGTCTGGTATACAGGGAGACCAGTTGGCCATCTGGTTGGCTGCGGTGGTCGCATTCGGTAATTTCGCTTTCACCATAATTGGAGTGTTTCTTGTAGAGAAGTTGGGACGTCGTAAACTATTACTCGGGAGTCTTGCGGGGGTCACTCTTAGCTTGTTTCTACTGGGTGGGGCATTTTACATGGCGAAGCAACACGATGCTGCGATCACATTTCACGAGAAAACGCTGTCCGACCTAAACAGCAACAAATGTCCCGCGACTGGGTACTGCTTGGATTGTCTCAAAGAAAAATGTGGATTTTGTTATGTTAAAGACTCTACCAGCAATCCTATAAATGGTTCTTGTGTTCCAATCAATGTATCTTCTAGTGATAACACGGCTGCATTTGGTAGATGCAGTCGCAAGGATCATTCAGTAACATGGTCGTACCAAGCTTGTCCATATAAGTATGCCTGGTTAGCAATTGTAGCTCTTGTTTTATATATCGCTGCGTTCGCTCCGGGGATGGGGCCAATGCCATGGACGATAAATTCCGAGATCTACCCCCTGTGGGTCCGTAGCACAGGAAATGCGTTTGCTACAGCAACGAACTGGACATGTAACTTGGTGATTTCCATGACTTTTCTCTCTCTGACTGAGTGGATTACGCGTTACGGTGCATTCTGGCTGTACGGGGGAATTTCAGTTTTTGGCTGGTTGTTTTTCTTTGTTTATCTTCCTGAAACGAAAACGAAATCGTTAGAGGAACTGCAACATTTATTTTCATAGTATACAATAACAGTTTTGAATTTTGATAATTTAATTTTTTGTTGGAACGTTAAAATGGTCTATGTGATGGAACGATTCCTTATGCTGTACCCCAAATATTGTGGGATGCGCCATGTATCTTTTCCAGCCGCTTTCTTATTTTATCACTGTCTTAAGTTTGTAAAGGCTATCGTTGTTTCAATTGCTACCCTCGCAGGAGCAAGATCAAAATAAGTCTGCTCACATTTCTTTTAGTAATCATATTGTTACGTTGACAAGATCTATGTTTCATAAGTGGCCTTGATATGTGTGTTGTACCCTAGCTACTATTAGTTTACATAAGCCTTTTTTATTGTTTTTCCTTGAGTTCAAACCATACAACCACAGCTACAACTTGGCAACAATCACAAGTACATCCTATTTCTACTTTTCATTCTGTTTCTAATTAGCATTTTTCCAATAAGTATTCTGATTGTTTTTACGTGGTTTTTCTGAAATTTACTCAATGTGGGTTCGAGTGTTATCAAGCTCCTGGGGTTAACTTGCCCTTATGCTAATGTAAACTGGGCTTCGATCCTGGAAAGTCATAATATGAAAGTAATAATTAAAAGGTGAGATTGTCACGAAAGTTTCTAGTCACTGCTGGTGTCCTAGCGGATATGGACCCCACTAGATTTGGACCCCCCGATCCAAATCCGCTAGCGGATATGGACCTCCCTCCGCAGATTTGGACCCCCCAACAGAACTGAGTGAAAACATCATCCTTAACGTTCTCGTAGAAATAGATAATACTTTACGTTTCAGTGCGTATTAAAGTCTGTTTTTAACTCAAGATATGCGTATCGCCGATGCATACGAACTGGCAGCTAGAAATGACCCGTCGGATGTTTCTTTTGACGAAGGGAAAATGTGCAAGCTTTTAGCTCAATGTTCGGAGAAAGGTCGTTTTTGAACCTTTTCCGCGATAGTCGAACACCGCTAGATTCAGTAAGAGTCAACCTCATGACACTAATTTATTTTATTGTTCAATGCCCAAGTGTTGGGATGACATGGTACAGTTCGAGTTTGTTATTTAAGATCCTTCAACAGTCAATAATCGTTAAAATTAGAAAACAGGATTGAGCTCGATGAAACAGTCTCCACTTTTGTTCAGACGAAGACAATGTTGATTTGCATCTGGAAATAAGCTGAGAGTTCCAATAGTTCAGAATAGAAACATTTTTTCTGATCATAGCCTTTACGAACGACTTTTAGTAGGAGTTGTTACTTCGTCCTTGTTCAGAAACTTTTTAATGTTATTTAATTAGAATATCAGACTGAGTTATTTTTGTGACTGGACGCAATAGTCACCACTATTGTTATGACGTTTCGTATCAATGTTGATTCGCATCAGAAGAAACAAAGATTTATTGTTACAATTTCAATCGTTCGAATGCAGTAGTGTGTTCGCATCCAATTGTTGCGTATACTGTACCACTCGCTGTAATAAATGCGGCAGGATTGGAACGAAATGGCTGTTTTTTTTTTTACCTTTATTGAGGAATGTTGTGATTGAAAAGAACATCGACCGAAAGCTTGCAAATAGAATTAGTTGTTTTTAGAGGATCCGTACCTTGCGAACAGGGCGGGCCTGAGGCAGTTTTTAAGTTAGTGATAAATATCTTTGTATGTCGTGCCTCGCCCAACGTTCCGCTTGTTTGCCGCACACTAGAAACATCTGATCGCCTTCGAAACCTGGTGAAACTTTCTCCACACGGAAATCATTCGTTAAACACTGATTTGACTTAGACCTTATTACGTGATTATTTTAAAGCAATCACGCTTTTGTGAAAGAAGCCGACCAAACTTAGTGCGTCATGCATATGAAACAACTTCAAAGAAGTCGAACACTTGGTAAGAGTATCGAGAAGAAGCCATTAAAGGAAAGTTCCAGTGAAGCGAAACCAAGAATTCCAGTGTGCGTGTATATTTTCACTTTCTTCGCCGCCATTGGAGGCTTTGAGATGGGATACAACTTCTCGGTCGTTTCCGGAGCAATGATCCTTATAAAAGAAGAGTTTCATTTGTCGACATTTTGGCAAGTGCTCATCGTGAGCGTAGCTATTGGTACAGCGATAATGGGAGCTTTGCTAGGAGGTTTTATGAATCAACGATGTGGGCGGAAACCCCTACTGTTAGCTTGTGCGATGGTGCTAACGATAGAAGCCGTGGTGGAGGCAATTGCTACATCGAGAAATGTTCTACTCGTTAGTAGGCTCATTGTCGGGTTTGGAATAGGTAAGTGAGAAAAATGAGGTTTTCCGTAATGTCTGTAAGATGCAACTCGCTGTGCAACATATGCATATTTGCAAATATGCAAATCGCTGTAAATCACTGAATCAAAACGGGTGTCACGAAAGCTAAGACCTGAAAGACCTGAGACCTAAGATCCTTCGAGAACTAACACCTCTCGAAAACTAAGACCCCTCGAAAACTAAGCCCCCTCGAAAACTAACACCCCTCGAAAACTAAGACCTCTCAAAAACCTTTTGGGTACGGGATATTTCAATTGGTAATTTTTGGCAATTAAGTCGGTGATAAATATTCATATATGTCGTACCTTGTCCAACGTTCCGCATGTTTGCCGCATGCTAAAATCTTCTGATCGCTTTCGAAATCTGGTGGAACTTTCTCCACACGGGAATGGTTAAAAACTTGTTTGACTGAGACCTTATTACATTTGATTATTAAAAGCGATCACGGTTTTGTGAAAGAAGTCGATAAAACTTAGAGCATCATGGATATGGAACAACTAAAAAGAAATCAAACACTTGGTAAGAGTATCGAGCAGGAGCCATTAATGGAAAGTTCCAGTAAAGCGAAACCAAGAATTCCAGCCTGCGTGTATATTTTCACTTTCTTCGCTGCCATTGGAGGCTTTGAGATGGGATACAACTTCTCGGTCGTTTCTGGAGCAATGATCCTTGTAAAAGAAGAGTTTCATTTGTCGACATTTTGGCAAGAGCTCATCGTGAGCGTAGCAATTGGTACAGCCATAGTGGGAGCACTTCTGGGAGGTTTTGTGAATCAACGATGTGGGCGAAAACCCATGCTGTTAGCTTGTGCGATGGTGCTAACGGTAGGAGCCGTGGTGGAGGCAATTGCTACATCGAGAAATGTTTTACTCATTGGTCGGCTCATTGTCGGTTTTGGAATAGGTAAGTGAGAAAAAATGAGGTTTTCCCTAATATCTGTAATATGCAACTCGCTGTGCAACATATGCATATTTGCAAATATGCAAATCGCTGTAAATCACTGCATCAAAACGGGTGTCACGAAAGCTAAGACCTGAGACCTAAGATCCTTCGATAACTAACACCTCTCGGAAACTAGTACCCCTCGAAAACTAAGACCCCTCAAAAACCTTTTGGCTACGGGATATTTCAAAAGAAAGAAGAAGCCAAGGTGATCGTTACACCCTGGAGGAGTTACAATTTGGAGATCGTGAATGTTACTTGAAGTGTTTACATGTTGGTTACTGAGCTTCAAAATTAAACGTTGAATCTAGATAAGTAAACTTTTTACTACTAAATTTACACTCTATTTAATTCAGAAAGAAAAAGTGAGCTTTCTGGCAGTTTTTAAGTTGGTAATCAATACTCATATACACCTTGCCCAACGTTCCGCATGTTTGCCGCATGCTAGAAACTTCTGATCGCTTCGAAATCCGGTGAAACTTTCTCCACACGGAAATCATTCGTTAAACACTCGTTTGACTACGACCTTATTGCATGTGATTATTAAAATCGATCACGCTAGCAAGCTGGTGGTCAAGCCCGAGGCAATTTTTAAGTGGGTGATAAATATTCATATATGTCGTGCAGTGCCCAACGTTCCGCATGGTTGCCGCATACAAGAACAATCGCTTTCGAAATCCGGTGAAACTTTCTCCACACGGAAATGGTTAAAAACTTGTTTGACTGCGACCTTATTACATTTGATTATTAAAAGCGATCACGCTTTTGTGAAAGAAGTCGACCAAACTTAGAGTGTCATGCTTATGGAGCAACTTAAAAGAAATCAAACACTTGGTAAGAGTATCGAGCAGAAGTCATTAATGGAAAGTTCCAGTGAAGCGAAACAAAGAATTCCGGCCTGTGTGTATATTTTCTCTTTCTTTGAGATAGGATACAACTTCTCGGTCGTTTCTGGAACAATGATCCTTGTAAAAGAAGAGCTTCATTTGTCGACATTTTGGCAAGTGCTCATCGTGAGCGTAGCAATTGGTACAGCGATAATGGGAGCTTTGCTAGGAGGTTTTGTGAATCAACGATGTGGGAGGAAACCCATGCTTTTAGTTTGTGCTATGGTACTAACGGTAGGAGCCGTGGTGGAGGCAATTGCTACACCAATGTAGATATGCAATATTTGCAAATACGCAAATAGCTGGAAATAAGTTCCGTGAACTTACCGAACTTATTTCCATCTATTTAGACAAAATTATGGCACATATCGTCAAAACTTTACCGTCTTACATTAAGGACAGCCAACACGCACTTGAAATTTTTCGTGACTTTAGTTTCCTCGATCAAAACAAACTTATTTTCACTATGGATATAACATCTCTTTATACTCTCATTCCCAATGACGAAGGTCTCCAGGCCCTCAAACATTTTTTCGATCATCGCACTGCTAAGGAACCTAGCTCTGAAACACTACTCCGTCTGGCCGAACTGGTACTCACACTCAATTGCTTTTTATTCGGTGGTAACTACTACAAACAAACTAATGGCGTGGCCATGGGTACTAAAATGAAACCCAGCTACGCCAATCTTTTTGTAGGTTTTATCGAACATCAATTTTTTTAGTTAATACCAGGGCCCTAAACCTGAACTCTACGGCCGCTACATTGTCGATTGCATCGGCGCTACCTCCTCTACCAAAGAGGAGCTCACTCAATTTATAACCGCCGTCAATTCCTTTCATTCGGCTCTTAAATATACCTAGGAAATTTCCGACACTTCTTTGGCTTTTCTAGACTCAAAATTTCAATTGAAGGCAACGGTTTATGCATTAGTGTTTATACTACAAACCTACAGATTCACATTTTTACTTGTTGTATTTATCTTCACATCAATCACAAGTCAAGAACTCCATACCTTTTTCACAGTTTCTCAGACTTTGTCGTTTATGTAGTGACGACTCTGATTTTTCCGAAAAATCAGAGGCAATGTGCCAGTTTTTCGATAAACGTGGCTATCCTGTTTTTGTCGTTCAAGCGGGCCACCACCGTGCCCAACAAATTGATCGACAGTCAGCACTACAAACGGCTGAAAAAGTCATTTGTTGTGGTGCAGAAAACTTTAGGTCAAAGTTTTCGATGGGTCTTAGGTCTTATAGGTTTTTCTCATAAGCTCAAGAACGGCGACAAGTACCGTAATCAAAGGCTCCTTTGAGCACAGGCGCCTCAAACTCACGTTTCGAGAGAAAGAAAACGATTTTTTCATGAATTATAATCCATTAAAGCGCCACACGTTGTGTGGCCCCGGGTTAAGTTTCGAGAGGAACCGTTGAGAATTTGAACACGTTGTATATATTTATACGATTGATTGCTTCTGGTTACAATTGGGTCTTTCTATTTAATAATATCTGCTCCCCCTATACAATAAACTAGCCTTTGCTTAAAATTAGCCAACACAAGTAGATGAACTATAAATAATCCTGTAGACACATGCGGTCATAGACTGCCTATTTTTATCATCTTTCCAGTAAGCAAAAATAAATGATTGCTTTCGCTCCTAAGGTCTATGCCTATTTTATCATCATACTAGTAAGCAAAAATAAATGAGCCCTTTCACTTCTAACATCTTATTAGTAAATCTCCCTACTGTCTGACATACAATTCTTATGATGTTAGTTTGGAGAATTAGTTATTGGATCAACTAATAATTTCCTAATGTTTAATTTTCTTAATTCTCATCACTTTGCCACTTGATATCATGGTATTGATATTGTGAGGAGAAATTCTGTCTTGGTCACTCGTGCACTTATAAGGGTTAAAGGGATTGTAATTTTCCCTTGTCTTTATATCATCTGTTAACACTTCATCTCCCAAGATCTGATTGTTCACCCTCCTCTCTAAGTGCTACACATTTCCTTTTAATTTAGTTGCAAGAATCTGGTGTTAGATTGAGGAAAAAACATTTTCCTGATAAGTTTGAGTATTCTCTTTGGGTATTATAGGGAGAAGTCATGTATTAATCACTTCCAGGAGTTAAAGGGTCAAGTGGAACCATATTAAGCAGTGGGTTGTCAGTGTCCTGAAACTTTTCTCCTTAATCACTGTATATTTCACTAGGGAGACCTCTAAATACAGGCTTGACTGTAATTGATATTCCAAAAGTATTCTTCACCTTTAAACAGCTATTTTGTACCCTTAAAGAGGTGTATATTTTTGACATTTAAGTGTGTAAATTTAAAATGAATCACAGAGCCCCTTTAAATGTTCTGTGTTGTTTCTCACAGGGGGAGTATCAGTCACAGTCCCTGTATATATTGCTGAAACAGCTCCGTCAGACATAAGAGGTGGTCTTGTCACTGCCAACAATATTTTTATCACTGGGGGCCAGTTTATTGCTGCTGTGGTTGATGGTATTTTCAGCCCTTACAAAAGAACAGGATGGAGGTACTTAAAAACTTCTCAATAATTTTGGGTAAAAACACCAAGGTAGATAATTCTCTTGATATTCATTTCATTTTACAGAGCTTGAAGCAAATGTTCCAATTTCATCGGGGGAGGGGTGGGGTGTTAGAAGGCTCCAGGTCTTACACTTTAGTTTCCAAAATGTAGTAAGTTTCTGCTTAGATTCTAACTTCTTATTTTTATTAACCCTTTCACTCCCAAGATCTCATTAATAATTCTCCTCACTGTCTGCCATATAATCCTTATAATGTTAATTACGAGAATTTGGTTTTGGATTAACTTTCTATCCCCCATCGGATATTTTTCTTTATTCTCATGACTTGCCTGCTCGATATTGCATTAATATTGGTAGGAGAAATTCAGTGTTGGTAACTCATGGGAGTTAACCCTTTAACTTCCATCCTGTTGTGGCAAGTAGACTATAACTTCCCTCCAAAATTCCTTCTTTATTCTGTTGTCAGAAAATTTTGCATTTTTTTCTTTCTCTTTTCATAGATTTATGCTTGGTTTAGCAGCAATACCATCCATTGTTATGTTCTTTGGATGTCTTGTGCTGCCAGAAAGTCCCTCCTGGCTTCTTAGCAAAGGGTTCTCTCAGGAGGCTAAGAAAGTTCTGGTCAAACTGAGAGGCACAGACGATGTGAACGATGAGCTTTTAGCGATACAAACTATATGTAAAGAAGATGAATCACTTCACAAAACTAGTAAGTGGTAATGATAGCGGCAATATTGTGGCCTAACATCTCTGTTACCATTAATTTGTGAGAAAAGGTGTACAATACATTGCTTTTGAGGTCATGACTAACAAGTTAATTTTTCTACGTCTAACAGCCTTAAGTCATGAATTCACACATTTTTTAAAATGTTATTTGATAGTCGACTTGACTATGCCTGCCCTTATGTAGCAATATTTAATCCTTTCATATTTATATTTGATTTAAACTTATTTTCTGTTAAATTTAAATTTCATGACTAAAATTGAAGTAAATTTAAAACAAATTCCTTGGTATACCTCATTTCCTTTCCAGCAAACCAACTGCAAAATCAAGAAAGTCTAAGGAATCGAAGCGTATTGAAGTCGTTCAGATATTCCGCCAAACGAAATGGCCGCTGATGATGAACATGTGACATAGTCACGTGACCCTGGTCGAGCTCGCCTCAGGAAGATCAAATAGAATTTCGCAGTTTAAATCAAAGACAAATTTTGTAACTTTCGATAAAATTTTAAAAGTTAAAATTTAAATGAATTCAAAGGAATGTTATTATATTACTAAAGGAGCCCATTACCTGGAGCCTCCATACCAATTGTACCCTTGAGTCAACCCTGTCCCGTATCTCTTTATTTTTAGAACTGAGATGCGTAGGGGGTTCTTTAATTTCCCGTGAAAACTCGCTGACGTTCGGACAACACCCTTAAAAAAAATGGTGTTCTTGAAAAACTTTCGTGCGGCCTGCATGTGACGTAAACAATAGAGGACCGCAGCTCTCTTATGATTGGCTATTATGTAAACACCCGCGAAAAACCCCGTGGGAGGTGCTTCTAAAAATAAAAAGATACGGGACAGGGTTGACTCAGAGGGTAAGTATGGAAGATGGAAGCTCCGGGTAATGGGCTCCTGATTACTACTAAATAGTGTTAAACGCGTTTAAATAGGAACTTGTTTTAAATTTAAATAAATTTTGAACGCAAAGTTTAAATTTAAAAGAAGATAAGTTTAAATAAAAAATTAATATAAGAGGATTAACTAATGCTACACATGGACACGCACAGTCATTTTAAGTTATTTTTATTTCTTTTTTTAGAATCATTTTCCTTTAGTCAAAGCACAACATTTCAGATGGTGGCAACCAAAAGTACAAGGAGAGCTCTCCTGGTGGGCTGTATGTTGCAGGTGATACAACAATTTTCGGGGATCGATAGTGTTATGTAAGTGAAAACGTTTTCATAACTCCTAATGAAAACTTGATATCTCTTAAGTAGACAATCGAAGTCATGTGGGATGCGCCATAAGCGCGCATGCTCCAACAGTGATCTCCTACATAAAAACACACACAACTGAATACAAACCTTTACTGACACTGAAATGGACATTTGCGTTAAATCTTCCAAATTCTTCGTCGCTTACTTTAAAAAGAATTTTCCTCTTTCTATTTTTTTGTCCCAGTCTTGAAATTTCCCTTGAGTCTCCATAAACGATTGCTAGCCAGCCGACTAAACTTTAATTTTTCTCGACCAATTTTTAATTTAGGTTGTTAAATGGCGACTTTGAAAGGAAGTTTTGCTTGGAATCCAGGAATGACCACTTGTTTTCACTTAAAAACATTAAAAGTGAACTTATATAAATTTGCATGATTCCTAGGGCATTTATTGCTTCTCTATTCCTAAGCACTACACGAGATGAAGAGGTTCGACTTTATCTTGCAGAGCGGGCGTAATTTTGAAAAGTCAAAGCTCAATATTTTCTTATAGCGGCAGCAAAGGTTTGGGACAGAAAGGAATTTGTACTCGTGGGGTGAGCGACAGTTATAAGGAGGGAGAGGATAGGAGGTGCGTCTTTCCCCGCCCCCTCCCCCGTACGGTTCACTCTAACTCCAAATCAAACTTTCCGATTGCAAGCTTGTAACGTTAATTCGCCCCAAAGGTTGCTTGTAATGCAGGCAAATTCAGAGTTTCCATGTTATTTCCAGGTACTACAATGCAACGATTATACAGATGTCTGGTATACAGGGAGACCAGTTGGCCATCTGGTTGGCTGCGGTGGTCGCATTCGGTAATTTCGCTTCCACCATAATTGGAGTGTTTCTTGTAGAGAAGGTGGGACGTCGTAAACTACTACTCGGGAGTCTTGCGGGGGTCAGTCTGAGCTTGTTTCTACTGGGAGGGGCATTTCACATGGCGAAGCAACACGATGCTGCGATCACATTTCACGAGAAAACGCCGTCCGAGGTAAACAGCAGCAAGTGTTCCGCGACTGGGTACTGCCTAGATTGTCTCACAGAAAACTGTGGATTTTGTTTTGCTAAAGACTCTGCCAACAATCCTATAAATGGTTCTTGTGTTCCAATCAATGTATCTTCTAGTGATAACACGGCTGCATTTGGTAGATGCAGTCGCAAGGATCATTCAGTAACATGGTCGTACCAAGCTTGTCCATATAAGTATGCCTGGTTAGCAATTGTAGCTCTTGTTTTATATATATCTGCGTTCGCTCCGGGGATAGGTTCAATGCCATGGACGATAAATTCCGAGATCTACCCCCTGTGGGCCCGTAGCACAGGAAATGCGTTTGCTACAGCAACGTACTGGACATGTAACTTGGTGATTTCCATGACTTTTCTCCCTCTGACTGAGTGGATTACGCGTTACGGTGCATTCTGGCTGTACGGGGGAATTTCAGTTTTTGGCTGGTTGTTTTTCTTTGTTTATCTTCCTGAAACGAAAAAGAAATCGTTAGAGGAACTGCAGCATTTATTTTCATAGTATACTATAACAGTTTTGAATTTTGATAATTTAATTTTTTGGTGGAACCTTAAAATGGTCTATGTGACGGAACGATTCCTTATACTGTACCTTAAATATTGTGGGAAACGTTAAAGAAGACTTCTCAACTTGACGACAAATTTTGTTCTGCCTGTTTGTGCAGCTCTTGATGGTTGAACACATTCTCCTTGTCATCACCTTAGGAAATGTATAGGAAACAGTGCAGAGAATATGCATATTGATGTTAGGGAGTAAAGGGTTTACAGTTTGGGCGTTTTCAAGTTTTTATTAGTAATGCAGCTATTGCTCGATATCAAGTTTTATTATGTAACCTTTGGAATCGATGTGAATAATAACCTACATGTAGCTGTACCCTCCCCCCCCAGGTGATACGGAGTGGAGGGCGGAGAGGGTACGGCTACACGTAGGCTATGTGATTAGCCTCACTACGTTTTTATTATTCAGTTGCGCCATCTTATTCTATGGCTATCTTAATTTTGTAAAGGCTATCGTTGTTTCAATTGCTACCCTTGCGGGAGCAAGATCAAAGTAAGCCTGCTCACTATCTTTTAGTAATCATGTTGTTACGTTTACAAGATCTATGTTCCATAAGTACCCTTGATTTATGTGTTGTACCCTAGCTACTATTAGTTTACATAAGCCTTTTTTTATCGTTTTTCCTTTTAGTTCAAACCATACAACCACAACTACAACTTGGCAACAATCACAAGTACATCCGATTTCTACTTTTCATTCTGTTTCTCATTAGCATTTTTCCAATAAGCATTCTGATTGTTTTTACGTGGTTTTTCTGGAATTTACTCAATGTGGGTTCGAGTGTTATCAAGCTCCTGGGGTTAACTTGCCCTTATGCTAATGTAAACGGGGCTTCGATCCTGGAAAGCCATAATATGAAAGTAATAATTAAAAGGTGAGATTGTCACGAAAGTTTCTAGTTACTGACGGTGTCCTAGCGAATTTGGATCCCCCTAGATTTGGAACTCCCGGTCCTAATCCACTAGCGGATATGGACCTTCCTCCACAGATTTGGACCCCCCAACAGAACTGAGTGAAAACATCATCCTTAGCGTTCTCTTAGAAATAGATGATACTTTACTTTTCAGTGCGTACTAAAGTCTGTTTTTAATTCAAAATATGCGTATCGCCGATGCATACGAACTGGCAGCTAGAAATGACTCGTCGGATGTTTCTTTTTTCCTTTTTTATCGTTTTTCCTTTTGCTCGAACCATTCATTCACAACTGCAACTTGGCAACAATCACAAGTACAACCAATTTCTATTTTTCATCCTGTTTCTCATTAGCATTTTTCCAATGAGCATTCTGATTGTTTTTACGTGGTCTCTCTGGAATTTACTCAATGTGGGTTGGAGTGTTATCAAGCTCCTGGGGTTAAGTTGCCCTTATGCTAATTTAAACGGGACTTCGATCCTAGAAAGTCAAGGACCGGCACAATTACATTACTATCTCTTTTGTTGTGGAACACGATTGGTACACAAAGCAAAGATAAGGCACTGAATAACAACGACAAGTACACTTCGTCTAAACGCCTTTTTAGACTATTTTGTAAATTAACACGCGCATACGCCTATAATACTAGACTATACGAGTCTGCGAAGTCCCTGATCGTTGAAATGCAGCTCTGCTCAACTTCGCTAGCAAGCCGGTGGTCAAGCCAGGGGCAGTTTTTGAGTGGGTGATAAATATCCATATATGTCGTGCCGTGTCTAACGTTCCGCATGTTTGACGCATACAAGAATAATCGCTTTCGAAATCCGGTGAAACTTTCCCCACAGGGTAATGGTTAAAAACTCGTTTGACTAAGACCTCATTTCGTGTGATTATTTAAAGCGATCGCGCTTTTGTGAAAGAAGTCGACCAAACTTAGAGCGTCATGGATATGGAACAACTGAAAAGAAATCAGATACTTGGTAACAGTACCGAGCAGGAGCCGTTAATGAAAAGTTCCGGTGAAGCGAAACCAAGAATTCCAGCCTGCGTGTATATTTTCACTTTCTTCGCTGCCATTGGAGGCTTTGAGATGGGATACAACTTGTCGGTCGTTTCTGGAGCAATGATCCTTGTAAAAGAAGAGTTTCATTTGTCGACATTTTGGCAAGAGCTCATCGTGAGCGTAGCAATTGGTACCGCTATAATCGGAGCTCTGCTAGGAGGTTTTGTGAATCAACGATGTGGGCGGAAACCCACGCTTTTAGCTTGTGCGATGGTGCTAACGGTAGGAGCCGTGGTGGAGGCAATTGCTACATCGAGAAATGTTCTACTCATTGGTCGGCTCACTGTCGGTTTTGGAATAGGTGAATAAGAAAAAATTAGCTTTTGCGTAATATCTGTAATATGTAAATCGCTGAGTAATATTTGCATAGTTAACGCTGTAAATCTCGGAATCAAGAGTTCTCACAAGCTCAAGAACGGCGGTAAGTACCTTAAAGGCTCCTTAGCTCAGAGCACAGGCGTCTCAAGGTCACGTCTCAAGAGAAAGCGAACGATTTTTTCATGAATTGAAATTCTTAAAAGCATCGTGCGTTGTTTGACCCGAGGGTTAGTTTCGAGACGAATCGCTTAGAATTTGAATACGTTATAGGGAATAATATGGAGAACGAAATATGGTCGATTTACGACGGTAAATATTTCGAAATTGTAACATTTTACGCATAAAAAAAATAAAACCTATTCACATCTTGTGTGTCCGTTATGGTTTTCGGCGTTTTCTGCCGTTTTAAGCTTGCTTTGCCGTCACCGTTATTCCCGTTATAAGACGAAGTAACAGTGATTTTAAAGCAGGCTTAAAACGGCTGAAAACGCCGGAAATCACGACAAGATGGGAGTAATATCCATTGATTTTACGCGTTCATATTTTGAAATAATTATCGACAATACAAATGGAAATTATAGGTATGCGTCTCCTCCATTCTAGGGGTTGAAGAGTTATGCAGCTGAATATCCTATTTTGGAATGAGTTGAAATACACCAGTTTTCGTAAAACCTCCCTCAAAAAAGAAGAGATTTAAATAAAAACTAAATTGAGTTAATCTTTGCTTGTAGTGATATTCGGTGAGATAGATGACAGGACCTTACGTTTTTTTTTCTTTAATTGTTTGCAGGAGGGGTGTCTACTACCGTTCCAGTTTATATTGCTGAAATAGCGCCATGGAGTATAAGGGGTCGTTTAGTCTCCGTCTATTACCTATTTATGACGGGAGCTGAATTTGTCGCTTCTGTTGTTGACGGTATATTCAGCCCTTACAAGAAGACAGGATGGAGGTAAAGAGATCTAGAATTATTTCTTTTGTCTTTTATGTTAACTTACTTAGATTACTTTCAACAAATTCTGGTCAAAATTAAAAATTCTTTTTTTTTGCTCTTTAGTCAGAGAAAGCAGTGAACTTTAATTTTTCGAAAGAAAATCTCATAACTTTAAAACGAATGCGAGATACGGCTGAAAGAGGAACCCGTAGCGAAGAGCGAAAGGGTTGTCCTAATTGTCGTAAAATAACGGAAATTAAGCTTCTCACTGGAATGTAAAAAAGTTGTAAAAAAATTGCCAAAAATCCAAAAAGTTGCAACCTACATTTCTTTATATTTTTACATAAACTTTGATTAAAAGGTTCTATTTTTTGTTTTTCACAATAAATGCTAACATCGGTCAAGAAAACTTTATTTAAACTGGGTGTTATTAAACAGTCGATCAGCAGACCGCGGAACCTGTAGAACCTACAGAACCTGCGGAACCCACATTTTTTCGGTTTAAGAAAAGTAATGAGAGTTACCTCTACTGAAACGAATTAACATAGGTATGTAGATTTGTTGGATTTTCATGAAAATTGGCTGGAATAATGTTATTAACGCAGCAAATGTTGTGAGACCTATACGAAAATCGAAATATTTCTCTTTAGACGTATGATCATAACAACCAAAATATTTTCGTTGTCCAACTTCCAAATAGTTTTCTCAGGAACCGATAGGAACATCGAAAAAAGCCTCACACACTTTGTTAGACTACTGTCTGTTGAGTAAAACTGTTCAGTTTCTTTATTGGAGGCCCGCTGAAACGCGGAGGTTGGTAATTTAGTTAGGCAAACACCGCTAGTTGTGTTTAAAGGCTCGCATGTGCTTACCAAATCAAAAACTGTGAGAACTTATGTAATTTTCTCAGTGTGAGAATTTATGTAATTTTCTCAGTCTATACTCGACATGCTTTTTAGTGTTATCTAGTTTTCTGCGGTTCTTTAAAGGTAGCGCTCATACGACGATTTTTCCGAAAGGCACCCTATTTCGTTGACAGCTGCTATAATTTCTCATTTTGCAAATATATCAGCCATGGGGAGTAACGCTGAGATGGCCACGTTAATGTATTTTCCTCCACTCCTCCACCCATTATCGACAAAATTTGCAAAACAACAACCAAAATAACTTGATTAGGCACAAAACCGTGAAATTGTAGACAGTGCTTATAGGAACATTTGCCCACTTTATGTTGCGAAACCTCAGTATGTGGCACATAGCGAATAGGTCAAATGCTATCCCCACCAACCCATCCGCCCCCCCCCCTTCCCCACCCACTTCTCTCCAATTTTCCACACAGTTTTATCAGGTTCTCTCATGGGTGCCTACGTAAAACTCCTCGTGAAGGAAGGCACTAGTCTCGTACCCAGGCCTTTCACGCCTAAGCCTACATTTCAGTTACAGTTGCACAATAGGATCAGGGTACGAGATGGGGGAGGCACTGAGTGACCTTGTCAAGACTTGGGTACCAGCCAGCAACTTGCTTGGGATAAACTTAGGCACTAACCGGGCTTACGAATCAGATTCTACACTTATAACAATCAAAAAGTAATCGTACTATAATAGTTCTCGATCACAAAACCCTGACATAATACTCCCCAACCATCTTCAAGAAATTTATTGTAAAATCCTGTATCCCTTTGGTAGATTCATGTTTGGTTTAGCTGCACTTCCGTCGGCCATCATGTTCGTGGGTTGTCTGTGGCTTCCAGAAAGTCCCAGTTGGCTCGTCAGCCGGGGCGCCTGTGAACATGCAAGGGAAGTTCTTGTGAGAATTAGAGGAACGGCGAATGTGGACGAGGAGCTGCAAGCTATACAGACCGTTTGTAAGGAACAAGAATCTTATGATAAGAAAAGTAAGTTTCTTAATTATTGGAGGGTTGGTTTATTGATTGACACCTCTACACGAAGCGTAAAACTCTTTTGAGTGGTTCTGTTTAAGTTTGAACCCGATGTGATCCCGAGGTAATAATGGGAGATTCCGAGTGGGATCCAGTTGCGCGAGATCGCAGCGGGATTCAGACGTGGCACGGGGAAGAATTCCGGCGTGATTCCGTGGTGGTCCTGCATGGGATCCCACACTGTGCTCGAGTAGGTTCTGAGTGTGTTCATGTAAAGTATTTTTGTTGTTGTTCTGTTGTCAATGCAATGAAATTCTAGCATTCCGTTTTCTCATTTTCTTCAGTGGAAAATACCGATCGCTGATCAAGTTTTGTTATAAAACCTGAACTTTTGGAGACCCTTTCACAGCGAGTTATTTGGTGTCACAGAGACGTTTTCCGCAAAATAAAAGGTTGTCAATGTTGTTTTTAGGCAGATTTTATGAGATGCTGACCACGTCAAGTACAAGGAAGGCTCTTTTAGTTGGCTGTATGTTGGTATCAATGCAAGATCTGTCTGGGATTAATTTGATTCTGTAAGTGAAACCGTTTTATTAACTACACAACTTTCAATTTAAAGCCTAGAATATAGATCTCTGGGCGAGCCAAGCAGAGTGCGTGGCATAGCTTTGACTATAAGCTGATTGAAAGGGGCCTTTGTTGAGTTACCTTGTCAATCGTAAAGAATGCATTGCATCAAAGTAACAGGTTAGTAAGTAGACATGCATTATTTCGTCAATATTTTCCACCAAGCATCTTTTCATCACAAGTTTTGATGTTTTTTTGTAACCGTTGAAAAACCGTAAATTTTTAGCACTTTTGTCGGTGTTGGGCTCAAACTTGGAGAATCTTCAAGTGTGATCTTACTCTTTTCATTGTTGAGATCGATTTGGCGCCACAATCCTATTTATTTTCTGGTCGCTCAACCCCGGCGGCGGGCGGGGTACTTTTTAGTGATAGGCGAATGGGGCTGTGCCGCTTGATGAGGTCGCATTATCACGACTGGATTGACTATAGAACGGGTAAGCTTTCAATGGAGTTATTAGAGTGGAGTCGTAAGATTTTCGGGATTTTGGGGTAAGGAAATTCTGGCAAAAAGGATTTAAAAATAGGAAGACTTGCGGTTTAAAAGATGTTAGCGTGTTCTGTTTGATATTTAACAATCGGCTCGCATAAAAGGATGACCAATTTCTTTATAAGGTAGAAGCATAAACAGAAAGGGACTGGGCTGAGATTGTGAAAATTGCATTTGTCCCAAAGTTCTCAAAGGCCAGCGGCACATACCCAGCAAAAATTGACCTACGTGCCCCCTACCCCTGGTCTTCACATCAATAATAAAATAAAGTTTTGATAAAAGTGTGTTTTTTGTTTCCAGATCCTACTGTGCAACTATTTTACAGATGTCAGGTGTACAGGGAGACCGACCAGTCTTCTGGCTTGCCGTGGTGATATATTTTGGTAATTTCACATTTCCCTTTGTTGGATTGTATCTGGTAGAGAAAGTAGGACGCCGTAAGCTACTATTAGGAAGTCTTGCCGGGGTCACTGTTTGCTTGTTTCTCTGTGGTGGTGCATTTTACATGGCGAAGCAACACGATGCCGCGATAACCTTTAACGAGAGAGCGATTTCTAATATCAGCAACAATTGTCCTGCTACTGGATATTGCTTAGATTGCCTCGGAGTCCAAGAAAACTGTGGATTTTGTTATGCTAAAGACTCCTCCAATAATCCTATATATGGTTCTTGTGTTCCAATCCATGTATCTTCTAGCGAGAACACGGCCGCTTTTGGTAGATGCAGTCGCAAGGATCATTCAGTAACATGGTCGTACCAAGCTTGTCCTTATAAGCATGCGTGGTTAGCAACTTTAGCTCTTGTGTTATACATCGCCGCGTTCGGTCTGGGGATGGGGCCGCTGCCATGGACGATAAATTCTGAGATCTACCCCCTATGGGCCCGTAGCACGGGGTATGGGTTTGCTACAGCTGTAAAATGGTCTACTTATTTGGTATTATCCATGACTTTCCTGTCTCTGTTTGAATGGATTACGAGTTTCGGGGCGTTTTGGCTGTACGGGGGAATTTCGCTTCTGGGTTGGTTGTTTATCTTTGCTTATCTTCCTGAGACGAAAAATAAATCGCCCGAGGAATTGGAACATTTATTTTCATAGCATGTGAAAACATTTTGTATTTTGTCTAGTTAGTCACTTATGGAACAATGAAATGGATGATCGAAAAAAATCCTTGAAACTTCTCAGAGAATATCGTGAGAGTGTGGAAACTACATTATTAGTGCCAGACCCCTTACAGACCTCTCGCCGGCTCGCGTTGCTCAAGGGCTTGTGCCGAAGCACTAATAATGAGGAATGCTCGCAACTCAGTTCCCCGCTTATGGTAACTAGACATTTGCCAGTCGTTTCAAAGTCTAGAATACACTGAGGGGAATTCTCATTGGCAACCCTATTACTGACATTGTTAATAAGTGGATCAACTTGTGTCGGCCTCAGCCACAGGCAGCCCAAGCTCCAGGTGTGAGATGATCATCTTGCGAAATAAGAGTCATGACGAAAATGTAAGAGTTTTTATGGGAATATTAACGACCGCTTTTGGGAAGTAAAAATACAGTCAAATTCTCAATAAATACCTCACCGTACTTTCATAGTGCATTGCTTTTTTGTGACCGCTTACTTTATCGCAACGAGGTCATTTCAACGAGTTATCCATTCCTAGGTTTACTACTTCCAAGTGAAGGACTTAAATATTCCTATACAAACTCCTATATTTTGACTTTAATGTCGCAAGATGATCATCTCACAGCTGGAGCTTGGGCAGCCTGTGCCTCAGCTAGTTAAGTTGACGAGGACTGAGCAAGAAAATGAAATAACGCCTTCTAGTTGACTCTCTTTTTCTCTCAGCAGATTTTCATAGTGTGATAACCTACAGATATCTGGCTCGCATGATTGAATATTAAAAGAATCGATTATTCTATACAGTCAATATTGTGAAAGCTTCCGGACGTTGATATCAAATTGTCAAAACTCTGGCCGCTTCTTTTACCATGAAAATTGGATTGAACAAGTAAGAACGGAGTCTAATCTGTAACTGGTTTGGTCATCTGGTGAAAGCACAGGCGACATAAGCGTACTAAGCGTGATTTCGGGTTTTTAGAAAAGTTTTCAATGGGTATACGTTATTTAATGAATATGTGCGCTGACTGGAGTAGTGGGCCGCTTGTGGTGAAACTTTCTCCTCAGGGACATTTAACCAAGACGTGGTTTCATGAATTTCATGTTATTATTCAAATCGATCTTGATTTTGTTTAAGAAGTCGACCAAGAAAGCGGTCGAATACTTTTACTTGAAAAGAAAACCGAGCAAGAATCATCACTGAAAAGTTCCAATGAAGCGAAACAAAGAATTCCAGCGTGGGTGGAAATATCCACTTTCTTTCCCGCCCTGGTAACTATTCAACAATTTGCATGCGATAGTCTTCCTTGACGTTTTCATAATTGTTTAGCGACCTTCAGGGTCAAGGACCGGTGCAATTACGTTACTATCTCTTTTGTTGTGGAACACGAATGGCACAGAAAAGAAAGATATGCTAATGAATAACAGTGACAAGCACACTTCGTCTAAACGCGTTTTTAGACTATCTGTAAAATTAACACGCGCATACACGTATAGTACTAGACTATACGAGTCTGAGAAGTCCCTAATCTTTGAATTACAGCTCCACTCAACTTCGCTAGCACGCTGGTGGTCAAGCCTGAGGCAATTTTTTAGTGGGTGATAAATATTCATATATGTCGTGCAGTGCCCAACGTTCCGCACGTTTACCGCCTACAAGAATAATCGCTTTCGAAATCCGGTAAAACTTTCTCCACACGGAAATGGTTAAAACCTTGTTTGACTAAGACCTTATTACATTTGATTATTAAAAGCGATCACGCTTTTGTGAAAGAAGTCGACCAAACTTAGAGCATCATGGATATGGAACAACTGAAAAGAAATCAGATACTTGGTAACAGTACCGAGCAGGAGCCGTTAATGGAAAGTTCCAGTGAAGCGAAACCAAGAATTCCAGCCTGCGTGTATATTTTCACTTTCTTCGCTGCCATTGGAGGCTTTGAAATGGGATACAACTTCTCGGTCGTTTCTGGAGCAATGATCCTCGTAAAACAAGAGTTTCATTTGTCGACATTTTGGCAGGAGCTCATCGTGAGCGTAGCAATTGGTACAGCCATTGTGGGAGCACTTCTGGGAGGTTTTGTGAATCAAAGATGTGGGCGGAAACCCATGCTGTTAGCTTGTGCTATGGTGCTAACGGTAGGAGCCGTGGTGGAGGCAATTGCTACATCGAGAAATGTTCTACTCATTGGTCGGCTCATTGTCGGTTTTGGAATAGGTAAGTAAGCAAAAAATTAGGCTTCTACGAAATATCCATAATATGTAAATCGCTGTGCAATATTTGCATGTTTATCGGGGAAAATCTCGGAATCAAAAGTTCTCACAAGCTCAAGAACAGTAGCAAGTACCTTAATTAAAGTTGAGGCTCCTTAGAGCACAGGCGTCTCAAGTTCACGTCTCGAGAGAAAGCAAACAATTTTTTCATGAATTAAAATTCATAAAAGCATCACGCGTCGTGTGACCCGGGGCTAGTTTCCAGAGGAACCGCTGAGAATTTGAACACGTTATAAGGAATAATATGGGGAACGAAATATGGTCGATTTACAACGGTAAATATTCGAAATGATAACATTTTGCACGTAAAATTAATAAAATCTTCTCACATTTTGTGTGTCCGTCGTGGTTTCCGGCGTTTTCTGTCGTTTTAAGCTTGCTTTGTCATCTCTGTTATTCCTGTTATAAGACGAAGTAACAGTGATTGTAAAGCAAGCTTAGAACGGCAGAGAACGCCGGAAACCACAACGAACATACAAGGAGTGATTAATTTCTAATGATTTTACGCGTTCATATTTCGAAATATTTATCGATACCACAAGTGGAAGTTACGGATGTGTGTCACGTCCATTCTAGGGGTTGAAGGGTTATTCAGCCGAATATCCTATTTTGAAACTAGACCCTGTGAGCAGGGTAACTGGGATACCTGGATGGTATTGGATCCTTAGGATCAAGTGTAGTGATACTACGGGTATCGGACTAGTATACTGAAACAGTGAGCTCAAGTCTGGCCAAGGGCATACACCTATTTCAAAAAATGTTGTCATCAGGCGATAGGTGATAGGTCATTCCAAGACGGAAAGGAATCATGGGTATACAACTCAGTAAATAGTTCTTGCTGAGTGTTGTACATTTGTTTTTTTTAACTGGATAACAGTTTTTCTGTATTGTATTCTGTTACAAACAGAGAAAATATAATATGAACCTTCTCTAATCTTACTTTGAAAAGCTGTGATCTTTTGATCTAAATCAAGTTGAACTAAGTTTCTATGGGTTTCCTTATTAGCTTGGACTTGTGATGTAATCTTATCTTTGTCTGCAGGATCCAGCGTTTTATACCATTCTGCTCTGCCAGACAAAAGTTTTTCTTTTTCTTCAGGATTCAATGACTTATACCATTCTGCTCTTTTTTTGTTTTTGTGCAGAATTGAGCAAGTTAAATAATTCTGCTCTCTTTTGTTTCTGTGCAGTATCCAGTGATTTATACCAAATTGCTCTGCTAGACAAAAGATCTTGTTTTTCTGCAGAACCAAGTGATTTATACCAATCTGTTGATTTGGACAAAAGCTTCTCTTTTTCTTCGGGATCCAGTGATTTATACCACTCAGCCCTGTGAGATAAAAGTTTTTCTTTTTCTGCAGGATCTAGTGACTTGTACCATATTGCTTTATCAGGTGAAACTCTTTTTTTCATGGCAGGTTCCATTTGTGCATAGCTTTCTTTTCTCCTTTTTGCATGTAGTTCTTTCTGACTATGAAGACTCATGTTTTGCCATTACCTTCTGTCTTGCAGCATTTGACAAATCGGTTGAATAACGTGCAAATTTAATACAATATTCTACATCTTTACTCTGGAATTGTTGTTTTTTTTTTTACAATATTCACTAATGACTGAATAAGAAAATCTATGTAATTCATTTTTTCAAATATATTAAATGTGCCATGGGGACTGAATCTTATAATATAGTACTCAAGAATTTTTGCTTTTGTTTTCATATTATTGTGCTGAAAAATACAGCTGAAGCAATAATTTGAAATCCACATTAAAAACCCAGTATTATCCTAAGTATTATCTGTGATTAACTTCTGAAGCAATAATTTGCTACCAAGAGGTGTACGGCATATTCCTTGTTTCTCCTAATTTAAGGCAATATTAATATCTGCAACATATATTTGAAGTGTCCTTAGGAAATTGTTGATAGTCAGTGGATGGTTATCACCATTGAGTTTTCCTTTGTAAAACTTGTTTGCATGGTCAGTGATTCTATCTAGAGTCTGTGAATTCCAATACCCACGGTAGTGGTGTTGTTCAATAGATTGCATAGAGTATATGCAGTTTGGTTTCAGCTTTAAGATTTTACTTTTTTCAACAAATGTACGTTTTTCAACTAAGACACTGGCTTACTTGGCATACAAGGCATACAAGGCATACATGGCTTTCAAGGCATACAAGGCTTTCATGGCTTTCAAGCGTTCGCGACTCAATCCGTTCCAAAAATACCGCTCAGTAACATCTTTTAGTGTGGATTGGCCGCGAACAATACGACTTGTGTATGCGGCTGTAAGTATTTTGAGCGTTTGCACCATAAAGCTCCAGGTAGCTTGCAGTGATATTCGTTGAGATAGATGACAGGACCTTAAGTTTTTTTTCTTTAATTGTTTGCAGGAGGGGTGTCTACTACCGTTCCAGTTTATATTGCTGAAATTGCACCATGGAGTATCAGGGGTCGTTTAGTCTCCGTCTATTACCTATTTGTAACGGGAGCTGAATTTGTCGCTTCTGTTATTGACGGTATCTTAAGCCCTTACAAGAAGACAGGATGGAGGTAAAGAGATCTAGAATTATTTCTTTTGTCTTGTGTATAAGCTTAATTAGATTACTTTCAACATAATCCGGTCAAAATTTCAAGATTAATTTTTTGCTCTTTAGTCAAAGAAAGCAGTTATGTTTAATTTGTGGAGAGAAAATCACAAAACTTTAAAACGAACGCCAGATACGGCTGAAAGAGGAACTTGTTGCGAAGAGCGAAAGGGTTGTCCTAATTGTCGTAAAATAACGGAAATTAAGCTTCTCACTGGAATGTAAAAAAGTTGTAAAAAAAATTGCCAAAAATCCAAAAAGTTGCAACCTACATTTCTTTATATTTTTACATAAACTTTGATTAAAAGCTCTATTTTTCGTTATTCACAATAATTGCTAACATCGGTCAAGAAAAATTGATTGAAACTGGGTGTTATTAAACAGTGGATCAGTTGACCCCTGAGCCTCCAGAATCTGCGGAACCTCCGGAACCCACATTTTTTTGGTTAAAGAAAAGTAAAGAGAGTTACTTCTATTTAAACTAATAAATAAAGGTATGTAGATTTGTTGGATTTTCATGAAAATTGGCTGGAATGTTCGTCAGATATTAACGCAGTAAATATTGTGAGGCTTATACGAAA